TCGTGTCCTTATTTTTCCTATTTCTACGTAAACAAATTCGATGTCTTTGTCAATAATTAATAAAACAAATCAAAATTTAGCCGACGTTGTTTATGTAATCAAAATAATCGATATGATGGCTATAAATAAGGTAGTAATCAATCATTACTTTTAAAGTTATGTCCTTATTTTCCTATTCCCTCGCTCTATACCGGCGCGTCACTATTTTAAGGTTTTACCTAAATGCAAATAAGTTGATTTAGCTAGTATTATTTATATGGCGAAGAAAAACAGGAATAGCAAGCACGGCAACGGTAGTGGTGACCATTTAGCTTTTAAATAAGCAATTTCCTTTTGTTTTTCGCCTCTATATTCTATTGTATATTATCAGGAAGTAATTTTAATGCAGGGAAAAAACGATCTTGTTTTTCGTTGGATAATATAATCTAAAATGGATTAACTTTAATAGTAAAATACTTGCTATCTATTCGCATTTTTGTACAGAATCTGTCGTCACTGCATCTGATGCTTGTACTAGTAATATTAGATATTTACTCAGTTAATCTATAATAAAAGATAGAGAAAATAGTAAGAAAAAATTATCGAATTGTCCTTATTTTTATCCTTTGCTAAATTTCGGTAACTATTAATCAAAATTTAGTCTTGATATCTAAACGTTTCTAGTACTAGTATAACTAATTGCCATGTTATGATCAATTTTTATAAATTGAAATTGATCGTAGCAAATATTTCAGAGTTGACCAGATTATATCCTCTTCCTGACTCGAGTCTATAAAATGGGATAGGGATCCGTCGAATATACTGTATAGCATTAAGTAAATTGCCAACAGATGGACATTGCACGCTATGCTTTGGCTTCTTATTACCTTAACTTTAGATTAATTATTTCTTCTCAATAATGAAAAGAACTGAGAGTAAATCAAGCATAACCTTAGTGTTCACGTGCATTAATTATCATTATTATTATAAATACCATCATGATTAATTATTAATGGTCAAACTTGCTACTCTAATATACTTATACTTTCAAGTTCAATAGACAATTATAACTAAAGTTAATCACCTTTTATTTTGTTAATGTATAGGGATTTATTATATAAATAATAAGGTGGTGTTACGATTTAGACTTACGGAAATAAGAGTAATTGGGTCCTCCTTATTGGGGTTTATTTTAACTGGCTTCTAGCCATTGCCAATATTTCAATTGTGATATAGATTTTTCTTATAGTAAGAAACCTGTTTTCTGTAAGGAGTCAAAAGCGGAGACTAAGTTTGCAACTCTATTATAGGCTCTGATTGATTGGAACTGCACTCTTTCATATATGTTAAATCTACGCAATTCTTGCCACCCATTGATTACATAATTATAACGATCTTTAGTAAATCAATGTTTGTAAATACTTTAACTCCGCCTTAAACTCTTATTTAAATCAGTTCTTGATATTTACAACTATCGCGATGTTTTGTAAAGGATTTAAGGTAGCCAAACTGTCTTCTATATTTAATTAAATGAATTGGCAATTATGGATTATAATTACTAGAGTTGAATTTCGGTGTGGGCATTCGGTGAACACTCAAACGCTTTTGCGGTCAACTAGAAGTTAAAGTAATCCAAGTCAACCCAACAGAAATATTTTACTAATGTAAAATCCTATTTTTCTTTTTAATCCACACCCAATGTAATAAAATACTTTAACTCCGCCCTAAAATGATTCGATTTAATCACTGCAGTTCTTGATATTTACGAATATCATCATAATTTTTGATAGACTTTTTCTTATAGTGCTAGATAAAAAACAATTTATGCATATTCAATGTGTCATATAGGATCGTAGTTTAACTCCGCTTCGAAATGGATTATATTAAAATCTGCTCTAGATCTATCCATTAGCATCATTTAGGCTCTCAACAATAAAGATTACTACATTGACATATTACTCTTCCCGGTTGTAACTAGCTCTTGCCATATCAACATCCAACATGATCATCGTAGTATAAAAGTAAACTTATATGCGATAATTGATAGCGTGGTTACTAGAATCCGTAATACCTACCGTATGTAACTTGATTTCCTAAGAATAATTTTGTCATTTCTACTAAGCAACTACACGACCATCATCATTCCGACTGCGTATATATTATACATAATACGATTATTTTAGTCCATATTGAAATGTATCTGTACCATTCCATTGGACAAAATTAGTTTAAAACTACAAGATATTCCATTACTGTTCGCATGCATATCATGTCTATCCTTTCTGTTCTACGATATCCAAGTTGAGCAGGATCGAAATAGCAGCTTTTAATTACCACTCAGGCGTAGGAAATAAAAATAAACCTCTTGCCACTCAATATAGCAATGTGTGATATGAAAGGTGAAAATATTTTTACACTAGGGCTCCATTGATAATTAAAATCACAGGTTAATTAATTTGTTTATTCTCCTGATTTTCTAGAATTTACATGCTAACCGGATTAGAATTATAATATAATCACTGTAGCATAGAAATAAACTTATTCACGATAACCGATAGAGTAATTATAATAACTGGTGATACCACAAGTAACTTAGTTTCCAAAAAATAATCCTGTCATTCATGCAAAGTAATTATACGATTATTCTGATTGCATACAGATTATAGATATACAGTACGATCACAGTCTCATCTAGCATGTCCAAGTTAGCAGGGTCGAAATAATGACTTTTAATTATCGCTCTAGCGTAAAGAGTAAAAATAAACCTCTTATTGCTCAGAATATAACAACATAGGGTATGAAAGGGTGAAAATAAATTTACCTTACTGCTCTATTGACAATTAATATATTAAAATCACAGGTTAATTAATTGTTGATTTTTCTAGGACTTGTAGGTTAATGGGATTTGAATTACAATAAAATTTACCTTTTCAAATACTTACGTAGCCTATTCACTATTGATACTGAAATGAATCTGCTATAAATAGATCAACGCAGAATAAGAATAAGAAAGTATGAATGAAAGTCAAACTGAGCTTAAAATTGATCCTATGTTTATCAGAATCGTGATATTTATCTGATAAAATTGTTAACTCATGATCCTCGCATCATAATGTTCTAAAAGTTTTTCAATACTATAATTTTATAACTAATAACTGTAAAAATATTTTCAGCATCTTGTATTGAAAGATTAATATTATGATGAGAAGTATAAAGAAAGCTTTCATTCCTTTTACGTTATTATCAAGACAAGAGTAGTTTAGTATTTCCTACCTATTATTTAAAACTTCATATTCATCATGTCCAGATTCGTATTTGTCATGCAAATGATGGCTTGTGGTCAGTATTCGAAGAGTAAAAACAAATTGTTTGCTTTTCTTCGTGTTGATCGCTAAACAAGAATAGTTTAAATTTTAATCTCTTGCGTGCAGTTTGATATCCCGTCTTCCGGCTATTATTTAAAAGATCTACACTCAGAACGCCGAAATTTGTATTTGTCATGCAAATAATAACTTCTAGTTAGTATTAATTAAAAATTAACTAAGGCATTGATGTTTATTCGTCATGATAGCGAGAGAAGAATAGTCTGCAATTCAATCGTCCGGGTATTATTCTGTAATTATTTTTATCACGTCTAATATTATGCTTGTCATACGTTACTAATAATGCCTTGATAAAAATAAGAAATAAAGTATTCATCTTTCTTCGTCAGCAAGACAAGAATAATTGCATTTCCTGACTACTATTTTGGAATCTATTTTCTCTAAGTCTAAAAATTATACTCATTATGCTAACGTTGATTGGTGGTTAATTTTGATAAGAAAGGAATCATCCGTCCTTCTCCATCCTGTTAGAAAGACAAGAATAACTGAACATTCTAAATATCTAGCCATTATTCTAAAGTCTACATTATTTAATACCCATCACGCCTAAAATTACGTTAGTCATTCAAATAAACATTATAATTTAATAAAAACAAGAAATTTACTGATAAAATAATCATTTTTCTCTTTCGATTTGATAGCAAGATAGGAACAACTGAGTATTTCTAAATATTATATTTGAAGATTCATTATACCAATATTGACTTATGCGTACAGTTCCCTTACGTACGAAATCAACGGTTCATTTTCTCTCACTTGAATATCAAAGCTACTTTAAAATTCTAGGAATCTAGGTACTATTATAAAATCTATTTTCATCACACCTTCAATTCTATTTGTCATGCTAATGACGCCTTAATATCCTCATTGTAATCAAGAATCTTTCATCAACATCCATTAGTAAACAATAATCATCACGGTAACATGAGGATTAATCTATTGAAGGCGTTAAAAAAACAATCATTCAAATTCACCACATATGTTGCAAGGTGATAACAATTAATTTGAGACAAAAATAAAGAGGATCATCCATTTATTTATAATCTACCGGTAAATCTTCCTTAGCAACAATGGATAAGATAGCCGACGATAATCTCAAGCAGAAATAAGTATTGATTTCTTTTTAATGATGATATCAATAGAATTTACATAACACTAGTAGAAAAACAGAGCATAATCGAATGAGATTCGTATTTACAATCAAGATCAAATAACGGAAGTTAGATTGGATATGTCAAATTATCCTATAAACAAAATACTCATTCAGATCAATTTGTAATTGATGACGGCTTTATAAACTAATCTATATACCATATTGGATACAATTTGCCATTAAGTAGTTATTCAATGACATATTGAAATTATCAACTTGTCTGACATTGGTTATCTCGCATACCTCTGTCATTCTTATTCTCCAACTTCTTTACTGACAATTAATCAATAGAATATTGTACTATTAATTCAATTTTCTACTTTTTTGCTCATTTGCATTGAAATTGATCGACATCATCTAGGACTATCAATGTTTCTTAGATTAGATTGATTACGATCATAATTTCCATTAGTTAATTTACATTGTAGTAGTACTAATACGATTAAAATCTTGTAGGATAGGAAATTGATTGCTTAAATACAAATATGAAGATTAGCATAGATCGGAAATCGAATCTTTCGATACGCATATTGATTATAATTGGTTTAGTAGTCCCCTATCATGCTGTTACGTTGAATCATGATGTTAAAGGATGGGCTACTACATTAGGCGAAGAGATGATGGTATTCACCGAAAAAATTCTCTCACCTGGTAAAATTCAACGATTCTATGATGGAATTGATTATCAACAAAATTTAACATCAGCTGTAGCAATCGTTGAAGATTTAAGGAGGCAGTTGAATGCAAGTTTAGCAGATATCATCAAGTTTGTTCAATCAGCAAAAAGTAATATTGAATCCGGTTACTCATCCAAGCAAGCTCAATCATCGACCAGTTATCAACTATGCTGCAATCCAATTAATTTAAGATTTAATAAAGAATTAAATGATAAAATCAATTTATCATCGCCATGCATCACTTTTCCGGTGGAAACAACGCAGAGTTATATACCTAATTCTTTAAAATTGGCCTATCGACAAAATTTCGCCGACAATTTATCTGTTAAATGGCAATATTTTGCTGGAGCGGATAACATTTTCTATCAATATCCAACAACCCAAAGATATTGCAAAACGAATTATACCACTGAGACCAAATTCAAGTAAGAATAGCTTATTATAATTTATTAATATCATGATCAGAATATATTGCGAAATAATCATTCCTAGAGCTTAAATTAGGATGATAGATTTTATAGAAGTTAACATTATATCGGTCCTACACTTTCATATTTCATGTTGACTGATTTTATTCCTCCGGGTATACGTAATAAAAATTTTCGAAGCTAGTTGTAGTACCTGAAGAAAGCACTCCAGTAAAAATTATTCCACGTAGATGTCCGAATAAGAAATTGATTTATTGCATCATATAGCTTCTTACCATTAAGTTAAATTAGTATAAAGATACACGCATGTTTAATTTGAATATATTTAGAGCGAGTACGTGAGTACGCACTGCGTGACTCAATTTTCAGTCCTACAAATATATGACAGGACTTAGAAAATATGTTATCATTATAAAGTCTAAATTCTTCTAGTAGATTAGCTCTGAAATAATAATTTAAAACCTAGCAAGATTCAATTTGGGTTATGCGACCTGGTATAGTAAAATTTTAAGATAAATAGCAAATAAATGACAAAATTATAGATACCAAGCTGTTAATAACACTTTACCCTATAATTACGCCACGCACGATCTAACTCTTTTGCAAATTACAGTAGTCTGCTATACTAAAGTATTTCAGGATAATATTTCACACAGGCAGTCAAAATTAAAAGTCTACGTTTATTTATAATCCTTTCTAATTTCTGAAGAAGATCTTAAGCGCATTCATTTAAACATCTAATAATATCGCTTGTGTTGGTCCTAAATTTTCAGAAATTTAGTCTTACTCTTCATTCAAAAATACTGTATTTAAATAATACAGAATTTCTTCACCACACACACTAAAACACTATAACATTGGCCATTTATTTTATTCTCTATTTACAGGCAATGGTATGTTAATGCTGCATCACCAAGTTCCAAGCGCTTGGTATTAGTGTTGGATAGAAGTGGATCAATGTCTGGTGATCGATTTTTGAAAGTTAAGGAAGCAGCTACAGCTGTTCTAGACAGTCTTGGACCAAATGATGAGGTTAATATATGCACTGTATGGAAAACATGCCTAAAATATTTTGTTACTTGTAGAATATCACTTTTCTAATATTATCTACGTAGTACATAAATGTTTAAAAAATAGAACACTGAACCTAGACGTTCCAAAGTTTTATCTAAATTAAATAATTATATTTAGAGCATGCATACGGCAATATCAGAGTTAAATAATAGTGGCATAATATCCAATTTCAGTAATCTTCAAGTAATCATTTCATATAAATTACATGAGATATTTGCAACAACTTGCAGAATATATCACTCCATTGCGGTAGTTTCTTAATAAACAACTTACGGCTAATAGAACACTAAAGTTGAGATTTTCAAACGAGTAGTCGTAAAAGAATTTTTAATTGGAGTATACCTACAGTATTATCATAGTTCGAATAGTATTGTCGTAATATCAAGTCTAAAATCTACAATTAGAAATGATCATTCCACATTTAAAACTAGTAGTGTTTAATAAATATTATGAAATTAAATACAATTACATGGTAAAAACTTTCTATTCATGATGGTATCAATATATTGATAGATTGGAGTCATTGCTTTTGACGATGAAATCAGAATTCATGGAGGTTGCAAAGTAACCACAGTTTCACCAGCAACACCACAGTCTATAATATTTCTTAAAGATTTCATTAACAACAAAATTCAACCAGAATTTGGTAAATTTAATACTCTTCATTACAAGCAATTTTAAAAACTTTTAGATCATCAACTTAGAAAGCAATATTTATGTTGAAAATAAGAAATACAATAAGCATCATCTTCCATTAACTTTACGTTTACTGCTTGATATTAAATTCAGGGAGTACTGGCTACGTACCAGCCTTGAAACATGCCTTTGATATGTTGTCCACGAATATGACATCTAAGGTCTAGCAATAATTCTATAATTAAATAATAGGTTTCTAGATATATCATTAAGGGGAAAAGTATTTTCTTGACCATTTATTTCTATAATTCAGCCCCATAATGTAGGAAAATGTTAGGCTATTATTTATTAACCTGACAGAATTATCAAGCAGGCGTAAGATAAAAACTAATAATCTTAACCTTCTTATATTGGATACTGACAGGCTAAAACGAAAACCAACCTTATTGTATTTCTAACGGATGGTCATCCAGATGAACCAGAGTCTCAGATTTTGGATGTTATAAAGAACAGAAATGAGGCCTTGGTATGAATAATTTTACAATTGATGGGCATTATATATAGTAAAACAACAGTTTTATTCATTAAAAATTACCTAGGAATCCGTTCTTAATTACAACTATTGAGTGTCGAGACAGCAAAAAATTTGTCCTAATCAATCCTAGCTCTCATACTGAGAGTTATTTTAGAATAATCCAGCACAATTTTTAATCTTCCTTTCCGGGATTCTGTTTCTCTTCCTGAAACTTATTCTAGAACAATTCTGTGCTAATTTTCACCTACGGTTTTGGAAATCTGAATAATGACGGAAGATCAATATTGACAAAAATGGCGACTCAAAACCACGATTTTTCATGGGGAAATCCTATCAAAGTGTGTAAAGATAACATATCTATAATATTATGCTTTAGATAGTGTTCTAAATAAGTCTTCTATATATTACGCAAAGTATCCAAAGCCCTATGGACCCAACGGTACTATGACTTATCTAATGGACTACTCTGGCCATCGATTAAGAAATCAGATGGGAACATATTACATGAACTTACGGGAATATTCTATCGATATTCAATATACTGTTCCTTATTACGATATAACCTTAGGTAAAAGATTTTAATGAATATTCTCTTATAATTCAGATACTACAGCTACAAGATTTTCTATAAACGAGTAGTATGCACTTACATAATTATTAATTACTTTCATGTACAGGATCCGGATTATTTTTTACGATGTCCATAGCTTGCTACGACTCCAATGAATTGATAGGAGTAGTTGCAAGTGATGTATCACTCATCGAATTATTCCAAAGACTTCCCTACTTTCGCTATGGGAAATATTCATATGCTTTCCTAATCGATAAGCAAGGTAAAATTAGCTAATCTTATGAGCTATAGTTACAAAGAAAATGTTGAAAATCCAATTACTAACTCGAACGCTTCTTAAAATAAATCTATTGACAACATGAGATAATTATAATAACTCTTAGCTTGAAATTTTAAAATAAAAGGTCGACTATTGATACATCCTAAACAAGCCTATGCAACGAAAACCAATCCTATGCCTAGTATTTTGCAATTGGAAACGATGGAACCAGAATTTATTCAAGTAGCTGGGATCAATACGATTTTAGATGGAGAAGGAGGAGAAATTTCAGTATTTGTAAGTTATTAAACTTTTGTTAATTTGAGTGGCTTTTACAAGTTATTCCCAAATTATCCCAATTATTTTAACAATTATTTTAACAATTATTAGTAAGATGATGTGCTACGCTATTCATGATTAAATATAAAGCTGCAATAATTCTAATGATTTAGAAAATGTAGTAACATGTCTATCCAAAAACTATGTATCAATGTCATTTTTTATATCAGGCACCCCTTTATCTTGCAAATGGTAAAGATCCGGCTGATGGTAGCCAAGTATTATTTAAGAATCTTACCTATGTCTGGCGCCCAATACCAAAGTCCCCATTTATTGTTGTGGGCGTATTTCCAATAGAAGATTACGTTCAAAATAAAGCCCAAAACGTGAGTGAAATGACAAATTTTAATGTTAATGTCACATCTAGAACCTTCCCAATTCTACGCTATATAGACTTTGTTATCGCATTTTAAATATCTACGGTTCCGTAATGCATAAAATATCTAACACTTTGACTATTAACAGTTGTAGATATTCAATGAATGAGCGTTTTTATGCTATAAAACAATCCTAATATTAACATGAATTATTTCATCCCTAAGGTGTATTGGCAGTCATTTGATGAGCCAGCTAATTATCACAATTTGGATAATGAATCCATTGCTAATGGAATCAATATTTGCCTGCTAAACACGATAGCACTCTCTCCTAATAATTCAACCGTTAAGGTAATATCTATTCATCCAATCTGAGATCTCTACAAATTGATTATCTAAGGTATTCCATTTGCAAGATAAGAAATAATTAACTTCACGATATTAAATTCCGTCTTTACCATCTTTACAAAACAATCATTATGACTAGCTGGCTCCTGGTAGTTTCGTGCTCCCACTAAGCTATATCGTCTATGGTGAAACAGAAAGGCTGAAATTAAATATTCAACAATATTTGAATAGCAATGCAACTAACAATACCAATACAAGTAGGTTATAAAGTCTTTAATACTCTGCATAATCAGGTAAATTAAATTTCGTAATCATAAGCTAAGATTGCAATTAAAATCTTGGTCATCTTGTTCCACTAACTTCCTACTGTAGTCATCAATTCAGATGTTAAGCCAGATGTTATTACTACTGCCCATATCATTCCAACATGGCTGAAAAATAAAAAGTATAGTGAGGAAAATGGAGTTATATTTAGGTACAGTACGTCATAGTTATCATTTTTAAGTAGTAATAATACTGATATTAACATATATATTAGTATGTGAGCAACTCTTTCTCTTTTTATTTTTCTTTTACTGTTTTACTTCATATTATACATTTATGTTGTTATATTACTACTTAAAATAAATTAAGGGATAATCCATATAATTTTGAACTCCACGTAACTAATATCTGCTGCGTTAGCAATGCGATATTTTATTAAGTAAAACAAGTTGTATTGGGTCATAATCAAGAGTGCTCATAATATATTATGCGAAATCGATATTTACATCATTACTTTGAAGTCCTTCAAAATTTTATTGATAGCTTGGTAACTTTACTCAATTTTCCTAGATATATGGCAACTGAAAGTGGAGTATTCCGTATATTTCCTGGTGTAGAAGCGAATATGGAATATGATCCGAGGCTTGATAGTTGGTATCACAGATCATTAAAGAGCTACTCCAAGATTACTGTATCATCACCGTTTAGCGAAAATGATAAAGCTTGGAATGGTTATGTTACTGTTAGTAAAACTATCTATCAAGGAAGGTATAGAGTGCTAGTTTTATCTCTTAACTTGTTTAATATATGATTTAAGAGGGTTCTATGGCCATAAAAATACCATATATATTCTTACAGAAAAGATCATTACCATCCTGGCAAAGGTGAAGTACCTGTTGGTGTTGCTGGCATGGATGTAACTTTTGGCCACTTTCGTAATGTGTTAATAACTGGGGTGAGAAATGATTTCTGAACGTCTAGCAAAGAAAAACGTAGACTATTTTACCTAGATCAGCCGCTAAATGAATCGATAATGTTGAAATGTTCAGCATAGCGATGTATTCGTCAAATTATTGCGATATGTGCTAATATATATTTTACTAAATCAAGTTGACACCATGATCTAAAATGTTGATTTCTGTTATTGTAGGCTCCACAATGTGTTCTTTCCGATAACGATTGCTATATTTTGGATAAATTAGGGTAAATAAAAATTCGTCGATATGGCGCATTTTGAGCGTTATTAGCGTTACTAAATGAGAATCTGTAAAACCATCTATTAGTAATTATGATTTTTCATATCTTACTCTTGACTAGGTATATTATTGCTGACTTTAATAACAAAGCTGCGCAAAAGAAGGAACATATTAGTCAAAAATTTCCTTGGCTCACCGCTTATTTAGTTAGCAAATCTTCAGTTCTTGAGGTATTTCTTAACAATGTTATCATGGAACAGCTATATCGGGTAAAATTGAATATCTCTAGCAGAATAACTCTAATGCACTCGTTTATATCATTTGCGTATAGGGAACCTACTGCCGAGACTTTGAGCATGATAAAGCACATTTATTCTATTCGCTGAAAAACTTCACCATAATCAATCCTGATGTCAGCAATCCATGTTATAGTTTTGCTTTAGCATCAGTTCCTTACGGAGATTTCTACCTATTGGTTAGACCACAATCGGCACGATCATGTAATTTTAATAGCCCACCTCCAGAATTTGAGGTAGGTTTCTAATGTAACGTCGCATCCAATTTTCTTTAATTTTTGGCTCCTAACATAAAAGGGAGCTCTAATTTTTATCAATTCACCAATGCTTTGAAATTCACTTTTATAAAATACTTCTAGAGTACTTGTAGCTGTAATAGTAATAAGACGTGCTCTAACTGCAACGGAATAACTTCGATATGTCAGGTTAGTATACTTAGCGGAAAGTAATATTCATCTTACCGCTTCGGTGCATAAAGATTGTACGATAAAAGTAACTCTTGGTTGAAGGCATTTAATAACTCGTAATTATGTCAGATTGCTCTTTCCTCTCCTAATTGCACAAGAACTGACTTATACTACCCCTTAATTAATATTTTCTCAGTGCCCTTGTTCTTGCCCGCTTGGGCATGATCCTTGTACTCTTAAGACGACTAGCAATGCATCCGTTGTCTGTCCAAGTAAGTGTACTGCGTATACTGTAAAGACATTATGTCGTTATGGATAACAATATTCGCTAGCGTAGAAAATTGAAACAGAATGATCAAATCAGTTGTAAAGTCTAACGGAATCATTTTTGATATTCTAGTTTATTTGCCCTATAAAAATGCAACCTATAATACTGCTACTCGATTAATTAATACCGCTAACCAATGCGATAGGGCATGCGAAATAGCGTAAGTCAATTTCATGTCATGAAGATATTCTGTTATATTTCCCTTTGATATTAATTTTGTCAGATAGTACTTTTATGGACTTGATTTGTTTCTGCATTGACATCTCTGATTTTATGAAGAGCTAATGAAGAGCTCTGCTTGATTAAATCATCGTGTAAATGGTGTGGAAATCAGAAAGTGCCAGCTTGTTCTACATTTTGTTTAACTAATACAAGGTAAAAATGCCACGCAAGGACGCTTTAACAACTCTTTACTAAGTATTAATGCTATTTCTTTCTCTCCTACATCAGTTCTAGCGGATCATTTTGTATTTTTGGTGAGAATCCTCTATTACTAGATGCTTTCGAAAGAGATAAGCTTAGAACATCAGTTGTCCAAAGTCTTAATGCATTCATTGGTAATATCAATCCAAAATTGATATGGAACATTCGATTTACTACCGTAAGTTTGAGTATTGATAAAGCATGCAATGTTTTACTATAGGGAAAGAAGTAGCATTCTATTCGTTGCCCGGAATTTAAAATTAATAGGATAGAGCTTGCATTATTATTACGGCTTCTACAGCCGAGATAGTGTAGAGCTATTCTTCAATTTTCTGTTATCTGATGCTGTCAAGAAGCTGTAAAAGTATAAAATCTTTATCTTAATTACAGTCAAAACATAATTTCTATATAAAAGTAAATTTTAGTTCTATAATAACACATAATATAGCCATACTGAATTCTTACTTTTAAAATTAAAGGCTGGCCAAGTTTTCTATACTATTTTGGGCTCCGATGTGACACCAAATCCAGGATATTTAACTAGCAATATCTCCCAAGCAATTAACAACAGCCAAGTTTATATCAATTATTATAATAGGAAATTGGCACATATGGAAAATATTTGCACAACAGGCCAGTAAGTCTGAACTAAGTATCAATTAACTATGGTATGATTTTATGCGTTAATATCTAACATGTGTATAACTAGAATAGATTGCTTAAGAATAATGTTAAACAGCGTCCTATCTAAAAATAGCGAAGATTCTATACCTTATTCTTTATAGAACGAGTTTCAATTCTCGTAATTTCAAAAGAATTATCTTATATTCGTAGCAAATTGTTAGAGTATTTCATTGACTCGTAAACCTTTACTTCATGATTCGATAGCTTGAAAATAAATATTACATTTAAGCCACAAGATTTCTCTGAATACAACCAAGATACCGTCAAGATTGAATTTCTTAGATTTATCGAGGCTATAACGAGAACAACATTTCAATCAAGAATTTTGCAACGTCGATTGGAAAGCGTATGTGTTACTATTATAATTTATTATCGTTACCTTTAGTATTTACGCGGATCAGAAAAAGCAGTAAGTAGATGATTATATCAATAACAGTTTATCTCTTGTATCCTGTTGTAGTCTTCTTTCATGTTAGCTGTCATTAAATCTAAAAGTAAAGACCAAATCGAGGCAGAAGTAAAATCGCTTCAACAAGCTATCCGCAATGGGATATCCATAGATCTACTTACTTTGCACAAGTCCTTAAAAATTCATCGACTTTATATCAATGGCAATCTAACTGAAACTTTCGTCCCAACGTAGGTTATCAACGGCTGTCGTCGTTATCGATAAATTCCTATCACATACTTAGATATCTATATCTGCGTCTTGATTTTGGTTAGTTACGTTTATGTCTGCAAATAGTCTCGAAATCATGATGTCCATCTAAGAGCTTTTAATTACAATCTATTACTTACATATTTTCTCTACGCCTACCTTTTTGGGTAGCAAAGTTATACCTAGAAAAATGTGTAGAATTATTTCTAATATTTAGATATCTCTTTCTGCGTCTGTGTTAGGTAGTTAAATTTATATCAGGAGAAAATTTGAAAACTATCGTAGTTATCTAAAGCTTTTTAATAATCGTATCTACCATTTAGATTTCTTCCCACTCTTATTTATTATCATTAATATTAGATTATTTTTGCATCATCTCTATTTTAAAATTCTAGGTTACTTATTACCTTGTAATGTTTTTAAGTACTACAACAGCTATCAACATTGTTTAATAGAATTTAATACTTAAAGTACCGGTTTCTACTTGTACTTCCGATAAATAATTATATCTGCAGAAGGTCTGAGAAAAACTTACTGTATTACAGTCTTCCATATGGTCTTATCAAAATTGAAACTTGGATATTTTCAATACTTTGGGTGAAACTTATACTAGTGAAAGCTCGATAGACATTAGAATCGTCTACAGCCGAGTTAACATTTAATATAAAACTTCCGCCGCTTGCATCATATTTTAGATAGCGAATTTATAGTATTTTAGTACCTAAAAATGTTCAGTAATCGCGCAAGTTAATTTTTAGACTAATACTTGATATTTCAAAGTATTTGCAGCGTCTATGGTTTAAGTAATTAATTTATGCTATATTGAAAGAAAACTTCAATTTTAGCATAATTATGATAGATATTTGCGGCACTTGCTTTTTTTGACAACTATGATATGGAACAAAGCAGCTAAATACTTAGCTTAATTTTATCTTACAATACAGGATTAACGTGACATTCCAAATGTCCCGAAATATGTCAAACTTTTCTATGCCAGAAAGGGCTGAAATTTCAAATCAAGTTATTCCACTCCTGAGTGAATTATTTAACGCATCAGTTGCTTCCAATGTGAAGAATCTACGAATAGTAGATGAGGTTAGATATGTCATAAAATTGGCCATAATGCGTTTTCATCATAATCTTTAATATTATATGAATAAATCGCATACAGGGTGTTACATTTACCTTGGTTGGCGGTATCATCAATGATCTCTATTCATTCAGAGATGAAGAGATACGATTAGAAGAAGCCACTAAAACTGGTCAGATAGTCCTGAATACAACTGACGAAGCTGGAATTATTGCACAAAAGTTATATATAAATGATGGCTTTCGAGTCAAGTTGATAGTACCCTCGTAAGTGTCAGGAACAGCAATCATTCGTTAACCTGTTCTAAGCAAATTCTATACTATTTTTACGATTACTTAAAGTAAATCTTACTATAGACTGTATATTTAGTAACAAAATGCTACACATAAAATCTTACATCAATACTGAAGATTAATCCTATTTTCATTCATATTTAGCATGCTATTGAATCTAACCTTCTCCCATATGAATATGGACAGCAATGACTCAAGATTGTTTTCTGAAAGAGTCATAGTCAGTTTAGAAGATATATTACAAACCAGTCTTAAAAATAGGCTAAAGGATATTAGCATGGTTAAGGTAACTTATAAAAATTATGTTAAAAAATAGACAACTGCAACAGTAATACTAATTTAAGATAATACAAAAAATGTAATTTCATTTTCTTACGTTACTATAATAAATTAATTATAGAGCCATTTTGGCTGCCAGTTAGCGGGTCAACTGATTCAAAAATGGTATCCTATATCGCAAGAAATTGAAAAAATTAGAGCTTCAGTTAACAGAGGATTATATATTCAAAAATTGGATAATCATTACGCTTATGTTGTTCGATTGTTTCAAGAATTCAGGGTTATCGCTGAATATTCACCATTGTAAGGAACATATTGCATAGTTAAAGTGTTATTATTTATTTTACCTAAGCTTTATCCTAATTTTCGAGATATTATGATTTTTATTACTTAAAAAATAGATTAATGAGCTCGCACTCAGTGTTTAACGTGAACATGATATTAACAAAATTAGAGAGATTGAATTGATGCATCAGTTCAATTTTAATTTGATTTGATTTAGTCAACCTTTGTCCCTACATTTCCCTCGAATATATTTTGGTAACTTTCAAGAAACACGAATGAACGCCATCTCCAAGAAATTATTATCTATTGTTCAAAAGATCTATAATGGTGATAGCATTAACTTTGTTCAGGATGTTATATATTCCTTGGTAAACAGACACTGAATTGTGTGGTGATTCTACATGATTAATCCTAACCATCGAAAACCAAAATAAAGCTTAAGAGGTCTTTTAATTCGTAATTTATTTATAGGATAAAATAAAATTTCATCTACTCCGTGAAGTCTGGAATGAAGGAAGCATCAAAATTTACGATTTAAGTTTCTTATCAAATGGGGTTGCAGACGGAAAATTTACTCATTTAATCGATGATATACCACGATTAAATGCTCTCTATTCTGATAACCTTATGCAATCGCAATACATTCCTAGGTAAATTGCTTATTCCTATTTAATTTAACATTCAACTAAAGTAGATGCATTTTGAACTGTTTAAAGATGCTCTTTTTAATACAGAAATTAATCATTTTGAACGATAAAAATAACTGTATGCTATTTTCATTACTTTAATATCAGAATACCTATGATCATGCAATTCCCAAGTTATATTACCAAATCTCTCGATATATATGAGAGTAAAGAAATGGAAACTGATATTATTACACAAATGAATAAGATTTTATCCGATAATATGATCAACCGAATTTTAAAATCAAATCTTACGGCTGATGTAAGTAATCTCTAATTAAGAAATTTAACATACTTGCAGTCTTCTAGTTACATCAATATGCGGCAGTATAACACAATGTCGTATTTTACCTAATGCAACGCTATATCTCTCCCCGTTTGCAAATGTAGGGTAGATTTGATTTTATATTGCGAGGTACAGGTAGCGCGAATTTACCAAGTCTACAGCAAGAGACGAATACTTTAGCTCAGAGTATTAAGAAGAAATTGCTTATACAATTACCACAGAATAAAACAGTTCCAGTATACCGATATTATTCCAACAGAGTACTGAAAGCAGAATATCTGAATAGGTAAAAATGTCTAATAATTCCTATGGTTACATTTTATTGCTAGACTGAGATTTAATAGTCACCTAATTTAAAGGACATTAATCAAAAAATTTTCTAATATGGATAATTTTACTTGCAGCATTGGATTTTCGTTTACCTTCACTTGTCAGAATTTGAATGGTATCAATCTTACAGATATCAGTGCAATCCAACTGGCAATTGATAAAAAGTTAGACCACGTTCTCGACAATGGTGGAACCGTTAAACCAAATAGCACCATCATGTGGCAGGTAAATCAATAACCTAGTGATGTAGTAAAAGACTATCTGCGGTAATCATCACTCAATTAAACAGATCTACTTGTACTAAGATAGTCATGTATAAGCTACAAATACTGTATATATCAATGCGAGCTCACAAAACTGTACCTCGGTTTATCTCACAATCTACATAATTATTAATTATTCCAATCGGTGAAATATCTTATTAGAATCAAATCATATTTAATGTATATGAAAATGTACACTTTCGAAATTGGTCGGATATTGCAAAACAAGATTTAATTTATGGTGTCAAAAGCAAATTAGAAATTGATCTGCCTTCAAATAATTGTACTATTATTGCCACAAAGCTTTACTCACAAGCTGAGTTACTGGCAATCTATGTTCCAAGGTAAATTTAAACTATTTGATTTATTCATCTTTAGCCCTTTCATAAATAAGCATGGAAAAATTTGCTAAGACTAGAAGACAACCTTGTTGTGTAATATTGTAAGAAGATTTAACTCTATTCCCTCATCCATTGTTGTTTTAGTACCCCAATCACTTTTGCCTTAGCACTCAAAGTGCCAGTTATGTGGAGTAATGAAATTCTTTTCAACAGCATAAAGCAAGCAATGAAGACACATACAGGAAGAGGATTAGAGAACAAATTGGCCAAATTCTCATTATCGGGGGTATGGCTTACAAGAGATATTAAATCAAAATGCTTTACTAAGAATCGATCGTGATGCCGCAGAAACTAAAATTTAATAGCCGTTTTTTCAGTAATCCTATAAATTATAATATCATAATAATACAATGCTAAGCAAGTACAGTAGATTAGCTCACAATATATAATGCATTTTGGTATATCTGAGTATACAATAAATTATTCATACCGATTTTCAAATTGTAAACCCGTTTTTCGTCATACACATTGCTACACTAAATATAGCCGTAAGTAAAATTAATAACTTTTACGAAATTTTACCGTAGAGAAACGCTACGTTCTATGTCAATGGATTGCATTACTACAATCAGTCATTTATGGATACCGATGTTGAAGCTATTAGTCTAAGTGTAGAAAACAAGCTTACCCTCCAATTATCCAATAATTCGATGACATATGTAACTGAAATGATACAGAATGGCACAGTCCAAGCAAGTTATATGAAAAAGTGAGTACTTCTTTAGTAGGATATGGTTAAAATCTTGATTAAATTTATATTAATGAAAGCTTGATTCAGCAATTTCTTGAAATATTAAGCACTATGCTAATGTATTGAATGATACAATGATTTCGTCATTTTTTTAAATAGGTCCGTTATGGTGCTAACACTACCGCCAATCTACTTAAGCTCACTCAGTACCGGAGATAAAAGTATCGTTAGCCAACGTTTAATGGAAAGTCTTCAACAAACAATTGGAATAAATACGAAGCAACGCATGATTGGTGGTGTTACCATCTATAATGTAAGTGATCAATTTGCTCCTCTACTTAATACAAGCGGTAAAGAAATTATTTTAGTATTTATAATTACGTATCCAGAAATATCTTAATTCTATCATATAACGTAGAAGTGATATTAACTCCTCAAGATGACAACTCGCCAGATGAGTCTTACTTTTTCTATATTTTTAGAGTAATATCACCTTCATGTTGATGGCAGATATAGAAAACGATGCTGAAAATAAGAAAGCTATAGAAGATATTAAAAAATTAGTTATCGTAGGATTTACGATTTATTTACCAAAATCAAACGCGCTTGTCCGCAAGTTTTACTCTGATGATATATTTCAAGCAGAGCACGTGCCAAGGTAATGACTGCGTTTTAGGTTTGATATGCGCATTTTCTAATCTTTATGGCTATAAAGCAAAATTTAAATATCAAAAATGGATAATAAATAACGCTTTAGTATGTGGACTCTGAGCGTCAATTGGTCCACTTTCAATTTGTAAAGCATGATATTGATGCATTGAATACGAATATTACGATATGGATCCTTGAGATATAAAAATTTGAGTGCCAGTTCTCTCATGCATTTAATCTTATTTTGCAGGTCTTTGATACGATTTGAGTTGCCAGCTGCTAATTTATTAGATTATAGCCAACTACAGCAGAATTCTATCAAGCACTCGATTCTGCTCGAGCTGCAAGAACGTTTCCTTACTAATAGCAGTGCCAAATTTACAAATGTCACTTTACTCAATGTAAGAATCCCTGAAAATTGCTATGAACTATTCTCTTACTTTATCGCATTTAATAATAATTGCTTCTTGCTTGGCTAAAAAAGGATTAAAATATCACCTTAGTCAATGTAAGAGTCTCAGAAAATAGCTCTGAAAACTGTGATACCTTCAGTAAAGTCTTGTTAATAAGTCAAATAGCTCAATTATCCTACTTCTCTTTTAATTTATTACATTTATTAATAATTGTGTCTTGCTTGGCTATTAAAAACTAATTTATCAGCTTAGTCAATGCAAGAGTCTCAAAAAATAGTAATGAAAATTTTTATACCTCTAATAGAGTCTCATTAAAAACTACATAGATTTGTTTTCCTATTACTTTTTACCTATCCTCATTGTTCATAACCGCTTATCCTATTGACTAATAAAGAAGTACTCTAGATTCAACCGTTAATACCTCTATTCTGTTTTATTTTATCACTAAAAATTGCTTTTTATCCGACTAATAATGTCCTCTCAACGCTTACAGAACGGAATCACCTTTGCATTGTATGAGGATATAGATGTTGAAAAATCACTCTTTGAAGAAGTTAGCTATATCGGGAAAACAGTGCAGCAGGGTTTTTATTTAACCTATCTCGAATCGAAGAAAATTGTTCGTAGGATGTTTGTTGATAAAGCATTCTGGTCTGAATATCTACCGAGGTATATTTAGATGCTATCATTGATCAGAGATTGTAAAACATTATATAATTCTAATTTCTTGTATCTTTGCTTAATCTAGCGAGTTGGTTTTGTTAGAATTCCTGGGTGTCGCTTTTGATAATATGACAGCAAGTGAACTAAATCAAGTAAAAACAACACTTTTTGAGAAAGTTAACCAAACTATTGGTCTATCGGCAATCCATCGTATAACTGAAACCGCTATTACTGACGTAAGTTGTCTGAATATTTGTACATGGGATTGCACTACATGACGATATTTTGATGTTCGTTGATATCATTCGATTGTAGCAGTATACATCAATGTAATTTTACATGGATCACTGATAAAGTCGATAATGACATTTGGAGTAGTTATCGTTACGATTATTGCTTAAACTAAATGATCATCAACAGTCTATTCATCATTACTAACTTTAATACTTATGATTGTTAATTTATTAGAATACAATTTCCTTCACCCTGACTGAACATCCGTTTAATGGTGATTCTAATGTACCTGAAACACTCCATAGTGATATCGCAAAACTAAATGTCAAAGTCAAGAGCGGATGGTATTGGCAACTTCCAGTCTATCAAATGACACCAATATCTGGCATCTACATTAATGGAAATCTTACCGAAGAATATATACCACCCACAACAGAATCACCTCTATTCCAAACAGCATTTCCAGATAATACAACAGCAAACAACCAGAGCAGCCTCAATAATCATGTTGTTATTACATTTAGCTCGCTTCAAATGAATCCTATATTAATAGTAGTCATATCGGTTATGGTTTTCATTATACTTGGAGTTGGAGCAACTGCAGTTGTCATCATGAAAAGGCGAGAAGAAACGAAATATCGATTGTTGCGGTCCAGTGCTGATGTAGCCATTTCTGCTGATGATAATGACGATTATGTCACACCTATCGAAGTAAAGCGGCAAATATTAGAAAGTGCTAGAAAATTGCCTCCGCCTCCAACTGAAGTCTCTAACAGTAGTTATTCAGCACCATATTAAATGATGGTTATTACTTTACCCTTGATAGTTATTCTTGATCCTATAACTACATAAATTAGTTATGGCCGTAACAATGACGTATTAGTATCATGACTCAAAATATGCTCTTTTCATCCAGTTGCAGACGGTTTTTCTATCTAAAGCTGGGAAATTATCCGTCCATATTGGTACTAATTGATGATATATCTTTAGTATTTCTATAGATAATAAAAGGATATACTGCAATTTTCTAATTATTCTAATACATTATTTGAAATGTACAAAAGTATTTATAGTGCTAATTAGTTAATATGATATGGCTTCGTTGATAATATTAGAAAAAATTATCAAATCAATACAGTATGTCAACAAGATGCCAGTAAATGTCAAATTTTTGCTGCTAATCGTGTCGATTTCGAGCAATAAATTTGTCGGACAATCAAAAAAAGATTTAGATTACAGAATAGGTCAGTTTTTGAAGAGCTGTTGTTCACTATTGCTAAGAGATCAACTGATGTACATTCTGTTACAATATTATTCTACAGCAGTACTACGTCAATCATATTAGAAAATAACATGGGAACAAAATACCTTCTAGTTAATATGAACTTGAAATGGCCAGAAAGATATTTTATTTTACAATGCTGTGCTAACACTATAACATTTAATTTAATGCTATCTATTTAACGTGAATTATTATCCAATTTAATTAATAAGTTTGCCTTTTCAATAAATAGAGTCAAACCTCTAATCAGAAAATTGATGATACCAATTAAGATAATTTTAAGCTGAAAACTTACACGATAGAGGATATAATTATAAAAATTATTAAACTCAAAATAAAACTATTGATAAACCGTCTTCTGCCTCGTGTTTCGGATATAACCTTCTATTTTAGGACATTAAGAGAAAATTTCCAACATTATAAACGCGTCTTTGCTGTACTGTATACTCGTATCCAGGGTATTGTATAATCGATTTTATTGCTCCTTTCAACTTAAAATAATCCTATGGATGTTTTATTCTATTTTTGTGATTGCAAGTCCACCCGAATTTTTAAGATTACTGAAGAAGTGTAGTAGTCCAAAAGTGAGACATTCTGAGTATATTCTAAACATTTAGATGTCGTTCCTATCTGTTATCACATTAGCAACGCACTGCACATTTAAGTGAAAAAATTTAAGGTCAATATACGTATAATATAAACGCATAGAGATTGACCGATTTGGCTGCTTTAGCAGAAAGAATTTCGTTATTTCGCATTTTGGTGAGTAGAGCTCGTCCGATATGAACTTTCTGTGGCATCAATATCGTGGAAACAGTATGTAGAGTACTTATTGCTTGGTCTAACATTTGATTACAACAGTTTTTCATAAAAATGTACCGGCACACTATAAATTCAATTTAATGTAGTTTGCTATGGCGATTCCTTTTGATTCAGAGACGCAGTAGTCGGGCATTTTGTAAAATTCCTGGTCATTTTGCAAATTGCCCTTGATCTGTAGTCGGGTATTTTGTAAATGCCCGGTCATTTTGCAAAATGATCGATTATCTATACGGTAAACGACAATATATATTATTATAATATTATGGAAGTCAACTAAAATGCATACGTATAATCTTGCGACAATAATACATGTAGAGTTACTTCTGCGATCTTTTTTTTTTATTTCGAACGACTCATTTATATATGTCATATATATAATTGTTAATATCCCTTAATAATATAAATACTCAGTGGCAACTATAATCATTTTTATTCAAATTGCGCGGCAGACACACCATGATTTTAATTGGCATATGCTTAAAACATAACTATAGCGCTGCATACTCCATTTTGACTGTTACAGAACGATTGCACAGTGTAATTGCAACCACTTCTTAGAAGTTTTCTCACCAGCGGTAAAGGCCGGCCTTTTTCATACTTCTGTAAATGCTGGTAAGAAAACTTCTATGAAATAGTTGTAATTATATCCTCGTGCAAGGCTATTACAACAATGCAGTTAGCATGACAAATAGACATGTTTTACGGTTAGCAGCCAAATTTCCAGTTAGAATTGAAAACCGAACTTCTATTCTAGTCTTTTCTAGTCACTTTAAGAATTGTTCATACAAAAACATGCTTCGCGGAAACGTCCAGAAATTAGTATGAAACAGGCCGAAAGGCCGATCTGTTTCATACAAATTCCTACTCCAACATTTCCGCGATGGATATTTTTGTATGGGCAATTTTTATCCATGACTAGAAAATGTGGTTGGTTACTAATTCTAGCTGGAAATTTGACTACTGACAGGAAAACATGTCTATTTGGCATGCTAACTGCATCGTTGTAACAGCCTTGTTTGAGGGTATAATTATAACCATTTCATAAAAGTTTTCTTACCAGGAATTAGTATGGAAAAGGCTGGCCTGCCTCCACTTCACCTACACAGTGATGTCGTAAATCTAGCGTAGCAGCAGCGTTTCGCAAATACGAAAATTTTGATGCTTGGAACCCAACCGACTACTTGATACTTGCAACCTAGCCAACCCTTACTTTTTATTTTCTCAGCCCAACCCGAACCCGAATACTGTCATGGCCATTGCGAAATGCTGCAGCATAGTTACAGTCTTACGACAGACTCTAGGCCGGCCTTAACCGGTAACAGTCTTTAAGCAAGACTACGAAAAAAGAAAGAGTGACTGTAATAAAAGTGTCTCGCAATAGCTATCTTAGTCAAATGGTATTTTCTAAAAGGCTTTTTATTATAAGATTTTAGGAATAGTAGAGCAATCATCCATTACTACAAGAATCTAGTCTAAAATCGAAAGTATTCCGAGATCAAAGCGAAGTGAAGTCTCTTCTCTCTCGTGAGCTCATCTCTGCAGCTCTCATGTACATTTCGTTCAATCCATTCAAGACAACTTGATCAATCTACAATCAGACACATGAGTTATCGAATAAAATACTTTTCTCAAAGAGTACATCATTATCTTCTACAATCGAAATCATTCTACTTAATTAAGATATCACAGCTCTTCTATGAACGTCTAGCGTCTTTCTCCGAAGGGCATCTTAACAACTACAGTGTTTCTAGCCACCTAAATGTTGTACCATAATTAGTCAACTGGCTACTATTAGTCATCAACAATTTCTAACATAGCCGTTGGCCATCATCTAATTTTAGCTTTACGATCATATCTATTCAGAGTAACCTAACTATATCAAACAGAGCTATCCTTATAATCTAATATGGATGCATCACTGCAGAGCGGTAAAACCGTCTCTCTTTCTCTCTTTTTAGCGTCTACTGGCGACAGGACTACTAAAAAGGAAGAAAAAATGACGTAAAACCGTCTCTCCTTTTACTTCCTGGTGGTCCTTTCCTGACGACATTATTAGCAGGTTCCGACAGATTCCCGCCCCACCCATGCCAACACTATAGTACAGTAGAGTACCGTAGTACAGCACTGTACACTATTGTAACAGAGAGGAAGCTTTTTATAGGAAGTTTCGAACCTTGGTCAATGAAAGCTATACTGTACTCTGTCTGCTTGGAACTCTATATGAGCACATGTAAATTACACAGTACTAGAGGGCAAGAAATCGCTCTATCAATTTCTTCTGAAATTGCAGTCATAATAACAAATCTGCTCGTCGACAGGAAGGATCTACTTGCAATCTCTCAATCTACATTGGAAACATGTGTGATATTTGCTTCGATAATCTCTTGCTATTAACCGATTCCTATAAGGTAATTTGAAAGGACTTGAAGGTAGAAAGACTGACTTTATCTATACTCGTTGACCATAGCATAAAGAGTAGCAATGTCAATGAAGAGAGGAAAATAACCTTGTCCTCTTTTCTTGCAATGTTTTTTTCCCGATGTTGTTCATGGCTTGAGTATGCAATAACTTTGAGGTGGCTGCATATTTTGCATATTTTGAGATCTTATTCGTTACTGTAGTGAGAATCAATTCCCGTAGTCAGGCTTACAACTACTGGCATTAATACTGAATTACGCCGGCAGATTGTTGCTACAGGACTGTAACAAATTCATTGCTTGCCATCCTTGGTCTATCTCGCTTTCTCTTTAAAAGTAGCGTTGTATTGGACAAAAGTGAATTTCACTCAAGTACTTGGATGAGAATGCCGCCAGAACCATTTCTCTCACCAGTCTGTCTATAGTAGTGCAGCAAACCTTGTATAGATCAGATCTATCAATGAAAGTTTCCCCATCGTATGGAATAAAACGCCGTTATTACATATGATCCAACATTTCTTTTATCAGCCTATTCTTACCATTTCATTTAATAACTTGGATGAAAGTAAATTTCACCACAGTCTATTCTAGTACCAGATGAGAATGCTATACTGTACTATTAATTCTAAATTGAAAATTGACTGTCCTACATTATATACAGTATAATAAACAATGATTAATATTCTTGGCTACGAGATTGGACTAAAATATCCCAGTACCGTATATTGCTAGACCAGCTCGATTCAGGTTACAAGTCCACTCATGCTACTTAAAATACTTGTAGATAATTATATAAAAAGATGTCGATGCGTTATATACTCTGCTGTAGAAACAAGGTAAAACGTCTTTAATGAGCTTCTGAATAAGGGTTTCTTACGACTTACTGCTGTATTGTAGTGTTAACTGTAAGTAACCGTAATGAATTGTACTATGCAATTAACTATTAATTAATAAATACTGTAAATAGATGAGTAAGACTGTGGTAGCTATTCACCTTTTTGAGTCACAAGCTTGTGATATCCGGCAGTTATCCACTTTGACATCAATGGACTCTTGCCCTTTCGTAGTAAAATAGCCAATTATCCGCCTTGATATGATGTACCTTCCCTAGAATATACAGCGTTCTACTTCAACTTTAAATTGAATGTACAGTATAATTATTATCCATCCCTTGCATAATATAGATACTGTATAATATTAGTCGTTAATCATGATCCGACACTTCAACTATCGAGCTTTATAATGTACCCCACCTTTCCGATACTAGACGCGTATATTACCTTTAAATTTGGTGTACATTCTTTGCATTATCATCGTTAGACACTGCAATGATAATCTTCAATGGATCATGATCTAATCCTTAAACCTATTACTTTAATCGTTTACAGTTCACCCACTTTAAGCAGTATCCTCCCAAGACAACAAAAGTCTATTCTTATTTTGAAAGTCGTGGTGGCAAATTTGAAAATGTCGTCTTTTTTGGATTACAATATATTATCAAGGTAAACAAGTCCAAAGCATCTCGTTCTTTTATTTCATTACATAGTCTCAATTTTCAAGAATATACTCTATAAATCTGTAGTACTGTATATTTTTTAATCACAATCAATACCAAATAATCTATGGTTAATCTATACCTATTGATACTAAGTCATCTTTCTTAACACTGTAAATACACAAAGTTCTACTTACATTCAATCTAGAACTATAGCAATTTTTATACATTCAATCTAGATTTATTTCGTGTACTTACATCAGTGTGCTGTACAATGTAATTCAACCAGGTTATCTCTTAATGATGTTATTCCTTCTGTGCAATCAATGGGATTACTCATCATCATTGCTAAATAATTTTATATCTGTTAATGTTATCGGTAACACTACGAAAGTAAAATATCAATACCTAGCTATATCAACTCATTGATAATGACCTATTCTAGAAATGCATTAATACAATTTATTAATTTCAATACAAGTTTTAAAGTTTATTTGTATACAGTTATAGTAAAATCCTGACTTAGCTACACCCTTAGTACTTAGTACAGCGTAATGACCTCATGATGTGATCATTTCAATAATTGGAAACAGCAAAAAATTAACTCACTTTCCAAAAACATAAATATAGCGCCTACTACTTGGAAAAGTAGTCACAAAAGAAAAAATTGACGAAGCTAAAGCATTTTCTAAGGCACACTTTGGCAGAAGCGATGCCTTCAACGAAGCGGGTATGCAACTTTGAAAACTATAAAAAAAATACAATGGATATGGTGTCTGCATATAGCCATGATAATTTGTAGTATTCTTCTCATAGTTTGTAATTATAGTAGCAAATCTTTGGCAATGTTTCTTTACTATACAAATTAACTTCACACCTTCTTACAATATCGTCCTTAATTTATATGCGTATGGGTCTATTTAGTTGACCTTTGATCAAAAAGAATAAATTCTGGAAGTAAAATCTACATAGCTTGAACTCAACAATTGTTAAACTATGTGCTTGCAATAATTGATCATAATTTCGATAATTATAGAAACACTAAACATGACCGTATTACTCATCACTTCTCGTAGTTCATAGTGTCAATAACCAGTACTGTATTAGGATTTCTGTATGCCATGCTTATCAATGCTACTTTTATGCAGGATGGCAGTATATTTTAGACGCACACGATGGTAAATTGCCTATAAAAATAAAAGCCGTACCTGAAGGGACTGTTTTACCACAAAAGAACGGTAAGAAAGGACATATCACTAGGCTATGCTATCTTATTACTAGCATAGTGTTAAACTTATTTCGATTCTGTACAATGTTATATCATAAATCAGTTTTGTATTGTAATTCCTAATGATGACGTATTGCAATTTTAAACAGTACAGTTATCACTACATTAATATGATCCTATTCTTATAGTTTTGTTTACAGTCGAAAATACGGATCCCAACTGCTTTTGGTTAACAAATTATCTCGAGGTAAGAATTTAAATTGTACAGTCTAAGAATTAACACCGTTAAATAACTGGTTTTCCTTTCAAAACTTTTTACAAATCATGCATTTATGCATAATATTTTATGTATTATCGATTATCGTTTTATTATCTACTCCATTAACATCGTTAACGCTATTTAAGACTTTATTTGTGCAAGTTTGGTATCCAATAACAGTTGCATCCAATTCAAGAGCACAAAAAGAAGTAATTGCTCAGGTAATAATTATCGTTATATTCTGAAAGCTTACTTAATTATGATGGCTCCCTCAAAACAGTTTAATACATGATGGTGAATTGTAAAATAGTTTTATAGCATTCTACCGTCTATTTATGAAATTTCCTATTTGATAGTTTTTACATGAAACAGCTGATGATATGAAAGGACTGCCATTTAAATTGCATGATTTTGGTTTTCGTGGTGCAACTTCAATTGAGGTATATCATAACTTTTAAATCAATAAGCTAAATCTTGATTTTATTCCATTACTATGTTTGTAAGTGTACCAACATTGCAATTATCTTTTCAATGTTGATAACATCGACGGAATAGGCTGCTGGTATCGGAGGCATGTCCCATTTAGTTAATTTTCTAGGTACTGACACTTTAGCTGGAATACTTACAGCAAGGTTAGAACTTTAGTGAGTTGCACTAGAAAAATACTTATATCAGTCTATCAAATAATGTTTTATGTACGTACTCGTACATATTTAACTCACTTTTATAGCGATATCATGATACCGTTATTAACTTATGCGCTTTACTTTTATTAAAAAATAATTGCAAAAACGCTAGTGTGCTTTGAAGATTTGCTAAATCTAACTCATTATGTTTTAGGAAGTACTATGGATGTCCAATGGCTGGATTTTCTATTCCTGCAGCGGAACATAGGTAGCCGTCACGATTCCTTGTATTAAGAAATCGTTTAGCGATAATTACAAATTTATTCGTGTTTCTTAGTACTATTACTACATGGCAAAAGTCCGGTGAAAAGGACGCATTTGAAAATATGTGCAGACAGGTTAACTTTTAAACAAGAATAATATTATTTTCACAAAATAATTAGATAATTGTAATCAAATTAAAGTTCATTTATGTTATATTAATTTTTCTTGATAGTTTCCTACTGGCACTATAGCTTGTGTAAGCGACAGTTATGACATCTGGTATGCTAACAGAAGTATAGTAATTATAATCTTAATTTTTTGTTAGTGAAAGATTAATAGCTACGCTCAACTCCATCCTAATATTGCATCTTGTTTAGGAATGCTTGTGAAAATCTCTGGGGTAAGCAGTTAAAAAATCTCCTCAAGTGTCGCGATGGTACGCTTGTTGTTAGACCAGATTCTGGTGATCCTCCTGAAGTCGTATCAAAAGTGCTACATCTACTAGGTAATCAACAATTATACCATATCAAAATTTTTTTCCTACATTTTTCAATTCGTGAACTTTGATTTGTAACTGAAATATGCTGTAAAATGTAGGTGAAGCATTTGGAACAATTATTAATAAGAAAGGTTATAAGACATTACCTCCTTTTGTGCGCATAATTCAGGTAAGGAAGTTTGATATTCTATTTTGATTGGGGATTTTATTTTCTGTAATAAAAGTGAATATTACTATCAAAAATATTTCATATATATTTTGTTATCCTGAACCAATTGTTGTTGCTGTAGGGAGATGGAATTGATCTAGAAATGATAAAACGAATCTTAAATAAACTCAAGTCAGAGCGTTGGAGTTCAGATAACTTAGCGTTTGGTAGTGGAGGTGCTTTGCTGCAGAAATTAAATCGAGATACTCTAAAATGTGCTTATAAGTGTAGTATGGTTACCGTTGATAGCAAAGAGGTATTGGTTAACGTTTCCAATTAAGATTATACAGAAATTTCCTTATTCTGACCAAGCTGATGGTATTTTGTTACTGTGCGATCTAACGTGTAAATTAAATTTTTCGATATTAAATTAAAGATAAATGTATTCAAACAACCAATTGACGACCCTGGAAAGAAGTCTAAAAAAGGCCTCCTTACGCTAGAATATAGTAGTAGAGACGGCTATAAAACAGTCGAAGAAGGACGTGGTAACGCTACAAAGGTAACCTACTATCCTGAAGTGATAAATTAGAACGAAATATCCGATGCTGACAGCTAGCAAGTTGAATAAATATTTTTTTAACTTCTAAAACAGGATCTTTTAATACCGGTATTTGAAAATGGGAAACTCCTTAAGGAATACACCTTTGATGAAATTCGATCAAGGTGTGAAATACCGCTTCTAAAGAAATAATCGAGACAGCTAGATTTCTAGAATGGACGTGTAGTGTTTCAGAGATAGATAATGCTTTATGCAAGTAATAGTACCTCTACGTCTACTTAGTATTAAAAGTCTTTGCCTTAGCTGTAACTTCTTTCATAAGACGACTCTTTTAATTATTCAGACACCAGCTAACAATCAAAATCGAATTCAATAACGCTTGTTGCTACATAAATATGTTGCTAATTGTTGCATAAACTTTACAACGTATAGACGATGTGTTATAATTTTAGAACTTAATTTTATAGCGCATTTTGGAATATACGAATACGCATTAATGTGTTATTCGCTCATAACCATCATATTCGTATCATATCGTATAACTACAATTACAATTAATGCTAGTATAACTCCTGCAATATATATCAACCAAATTATGGACGGTAGCATTCAATAGTATTTTTAAGTTTACATTTTATGTTCGATTCGATTTCCTTCAAATTTTTTTCTAACACTGTAATTACGTACATGCGGTATTATTACGAGCTGATTATCAATTACGGTTTGTAATTTGTAATTCTGCAGATTCTGTATACTGCTTTCTTGTCGTGAAATAACGGTCACTTAATATTACAACTGCTTCTCTGATCAACTATCGTTAACATGTTATGCACTCATCCGCACTGCTACATTTTAAGACGATGCAGTTCCTGAATTGCCAAAGGATTAAATGAAATAACTCAAACAAGGATCATCATTGATTTCATTTTAAGTACTATATTATTATAAAAAGATCTGAGATTCTCGACCAGACTTTAACTTTTCTGCTACGAATCTATTTATAGTATCATGTACGAGTATATATGATCACTTATAGCCTACAAGGAAGGAATTAATGTACAGATACATTCGCAGTATTAATATTTATAGATAAACGCTCAAACACTAAAATATAGATTAAGCTCAATGTACGTGTATCGATGTTATACTTACGCACAAGAATTCGGAATGTTACAATCTTTACTGTCTGTAACTCTTCCCAGCCTAATGATGCTTCAAACTGAAGACTTTGCCAAGATAACATATTAACAAGATGCCAAACTTAAACATTTGAAACAATCTTTTAGAAAACTGACGCACAATAACTTAAAAATCCTTTATTTTCAATCTTAAAAGATCATAATAGATATGCTTGAGAACTCAATACTTATTAAAATTCACATTAACAATATATATATATATATATCACTTCTTTTCCATGAACAAAAATATTATAGCGTCGCAAGTTGAGTTTATAGTTTCATATTGATGCAAGTATTGCTACTTGGAAGGTTATACTATATCGGTTGATTCTTCTTTTATTCCTTCGGAATTGACTTCATTTACCGTTATTGTGCCACCGGTAGTAGCTTCCTCTACGTGACTTTCACCTCCAGGTTCATCTAAAGAAGGCCAACTACCAGACTGATCTACTCCACTTAATCTTTTGTCTAATTCCTTCAAAGCTAATTGCCTATGTCAATAAAGTAACTATATGTAAACACAAATTCGTGGACATAACAAGCTAATATAATAATATTACGAACTACTCAGCACATATCCTAGTATAGAAAGTAAGAAGTTGTCGTACTTTCTCCGTTCTGCATCTGCAGGATCGATTCCTGGGAGGCTTATCGTCACTGAAGACGGTCCTCCAACGTTATAACGTCTGACTTGTTTTGGGCAAATCTTCATTGATATGAGTAGAAGAAATAAGCTATTTGAAAACCATTTTATCGGTGGCCTAGAAAAGTAGTCGGAAAGATACAAACCAATTTATTAATTTATCTAACATAAAGCACGTAAAAAATGTAAATTTACTGAATAACTTCAGGGAAAAAGGTAGCAAATGCAAATCCATCGGAAAAATCTCCTTTAGATTCATTGGCTTTCTTCTGCAAAAATCTTAAGTATATCCAGCCATTGAGAAAACCGAAAAAAGCCATGCATAGATCGGACATATTTAAGACTTTTAACAGCGATAACGATGCCACGATACAAATTAGAATAATTGGAACGTGCTATAGGTTAAGACATTAAACAAAAATTTTTATCGTCATAAATATTTTTGCCTACAATGTTTTTAAATTGTATATATCATATAAGAAGTATTGCTTACTTTAGCTCTAACTGAAGAAGTTCTTAATGGAATAATTTTAACTTCGCTGTATGACTGCTTAAGCGCGACAGATAAGGCAAAAGTGGTTCCGATCAATCCACCGAAGCCAGTAAATCTTGAGAACAATCATGGATATTAATTTAAAAGTTGATAAAATTCGAGAAATGAAAGCGCTAGAGTTATATCACCTATAAATTAAACTACATATAGATAAAATGTTCGTTTTAAGTTCACATACAAATAAGCACTTCTTTTACTAATTGCATACGCTATGATATAAGTCATAGCGGCACCACCAGTTACTGTGGCATTGATCAAGCCAATAAATTTCTGTTCAAAAAGATATACGAATTAGAGTCGAATAGTTATCTAACGTTACTTAAATTATCAAAGATTATATTCAGAAATACTACTGAAACCATATACGAATATGAAACTATATCATGCAATAACATAACTGTACTTTACAAGTAATTATGTTATGCACTTTGAAATATATCCTACCAAAAACTCAAGTGCTCCCCAAGATGGTTCAATAAGTTTACCAGCAGTTAATAATACGGCTATATCAATGATAACCTAAGATACCAAAGAAGATAATACAGTAATAGTTATAACTACTGTCTCATTGCCAATGTGATAATTATACTTAAGGGTATATCAATTATTTTATACATTTGATGCAAACAATTACAAATCAACATAACACACTAAGTTAAAAGAGCTGCAGTTTAATTAAATTAATTGCTATAGATACTGAATAATTAGTTACTATGATATCCTATTCAATGTTTAGTACATGATTTCTAATAAGAATCTAAAACGTATCTACAAGTGTGAAGCTATTTTAGAAGGTGCATACTCTTTATAGCATAAAAATACCATTAAAAGCTAGTGTAAAGACGATCTAGAGCTGGAATTATAACTTGTATTAACGTAATTTGTATTTACGAAAATGAAATAACAAAATTTCCAATGCTATACCATTACTACCAATTTTCTCACAAAGTGTACACATACTATTTAAATACGTAGTATCTCAAGAGCTATAAAATTTTATTGCATATTAACATTTTAGCATTTATTGTAAACACAATTCTGTAAAAATTTTACCTTAACTATAGAGTTTTCTGTTAACCCAGCGGTAACTAACATCCACAAAGAGAAATTTGGTGGAATTAAGCTATAATTAATCAAATACAATTACAATCGTCTTCAATCCTTCAAGTCAATAATAGCTTCACTGTAAAAATTATTATTCTTATTATTTTTATAATTTTATATAGCTTTTCAATACAGAATATATGAGTGTAAACCATAACAAAATTTTTATTTTCATTCAGAATTGAGAGCTGTAAGTTTACAATTACAAAGGCATCATGCTTTGTTAACAGCGATATTTGAGTAATGCTGTACAGTATATATTACTGTAATAATAATTTAGCAGTTAGACTATCATGAAACTAATACATAACAACAACAACAATCACTCATATCTTTCTGCTTGCATCTATCAAAATACCTTTGCTACTGCTGTACTAAGAATACCGTGTCTAAAATATTTATAACTCACCGGCCTGGTGCCATCAAGAGTACTTTTTGCACCGAAGGTATTAATGCCAAAAGATAGCAAGATATCACAGAAACAATAGCAGACTTGATTACAACGGATGAATTATTTACCGAAGATATCACGTAAGCCTTTTATCAAATAGAAAATGGGAAAAGAGTTTTTAATGTAAATTGCTGGGCGAATGAAAGTTTAAGATAGAGACCATCGCCTAGCCTAAACTCTGTCACTGCTAATGTCTATGTCAAAAAGATTAGCCATCATGAACACCAAGCACACTGTTTAGAACAGGAATGGGTGTACTACCGTATGTATTTACTGCACATTTGTCCAGTCATTACAGCCTTAAGCTTAGTACTTGACTACTTCTATCCTTATCCTACGAGTTTTTACTCAGTAAGTACCATAATTCAGGTAATATGCAAATCGGACATTAAAATTACCTTGAAATTATTGCCAAAAGGAGAGCTATATTGTCCTGTCAAGGCTGCCATTTTCTCTTTTATGAGAGTATATCGTGATACGTATCTTCGTGTAGTCTGTCACAAATCTTACAAATTTGGATTTTTGGAAAGAATAGTATTATTACCGGTATATCTTGGACTTGGATTGATTGCCTGCTCTATAATCGCAATTAATTCCAACTTGAAATTAAATCGATAGCACCATCTTGATCCAACCACTACCTTCCATTTCAGCAGCAGTCCAGTACTGAAAGCAGCTGCAAGCTTGTAGTTATACTTTGGTCTCGATACTGTAGCCTGATACTGTAATTATTACCAAGACTATGCATTACACTGCTTTGTAGTACAGTATATAGGATCGCCAACAGATAGCTGGACAGAATGACGCTGTATTCTACAGTGTACAGTACAGTATTCTACAGTACTCATCGCTCAGCACGGTACATTGTACAGTACCGTATTGTACGCGTACTGTACATTCATCAATCATGACACGTTGCAAACTAAGGATATATTGGCCATAGAAGCAGTTGATATCTTGGATGTATACTAGGTACAGACTGGGTTAAGGACTACTACAACAGCACCTGGTTAGGCGATTGATTGATAAACCATCGAGTAATAGGACTGTATGATACAGATACCTCTACAAATTGAGACTGGATGAGTATCCCTAGCAATGGAAAATGGCCTTAGTTTTAGAATGTTTTAACTTAATTTAACATTAAATTACTTTAGAACATGCTTGGAGTAATATTAAACTTGTTTGCATTTTGATGCATTGCAGCTCTTACAAGAAATCTAGAGTATAACAGTTTATGTTATACCCTATGCAGCCGTTGATTGTATGACCTCTTCTTAGTGGAGGATAAATACCGCCATAGTGCAGCGTTTTTCTAGTTGTTTTAGCATGTTTTAACTTAATTTAACATTAAATTACTTCAGAACCTGCTTGGAGTAATATTAAACTTGTTTGCATTTTATGCATTGCAGCTCTTACAAGAAATCTAGAGTACAACAGTATATGTTATACCATCTGCAGCCGTTGATTGTATGACCTCTTCTTAGTGGAGGATAAATACCGCCATAATGCAGCGTTTTTCTAGTTTAGTATGGCGCTATGCCAGCCAATTCTACCTGCGTGAAAATATATTCTCCACGGTGTAATTATATCGTATAGTGTGTCGGGAAGTTCAGTGCCCACAGTGATAGAATCAAATTGAATTTAAATTTATTGGTTGACCGTATTAATTATATTAATTAAATTTTAATTGCGCTTACACACGATTATGGCTGTTACTCGTTGTAGCGTGGAAAAGCAGTCGCCAACAGACCACAGACACAGCTGTGGTAGTGGGATTTTAGTCATATTATCTTTTAAGGTTAGAACCGATCATAACCAAGAGATTGTTCGAAAATCTATTTTCTATTTTTCATTTTTAATAAAGAATCTCTGCCATAGTTTGCAGTGTAGGTGTATATTAACCGTAAGTAAATAGTCTAGTCAAGTTTGGTCAATACATTGTACCGAATAGTATCAGTGTACCCTACTAAAGCCTGTATGCTTAGGTGTCTTACGCGCATAATTTGTCAAATCTTTGCGCTATAGTATACAATTATGCAGTTGCTAAGGAGACGGAGAATGTTTTATTACTGCACTCAATTAGCCACTGCTTAGTCTACTAATCGGAAATCTTCAATAGTAACTGCTATCCCTGATAGCAGCATACAGAATTAGCTAGAGTTGAGTGGAATTGCTTTTTTCTTTTTAAATAAACTCCATTAGAATATCAACGACTCTACCCAATTATCCTGTACAGTGTGCGTACATTGACTATGGCAACTGAAATTATCAAAGCAGTCATATATAATGATGCAGAAAAAATACAGCAATTCATAACCAATGAAGAAGGCGAGATTAATGGTGAATTATTGGATATTAGAGATGATGAAGGCAAATCTCCATTAGATATAGCATGTATGTTAGGTAAAGTTGACGTCATTGAAGGCTTAATAGCAAATGGAGCAAATATGGATAGCATATCGAGCCAAGGTTAGAACATAAAAATAAATCAGTAGCATAGTAATAAAATGATGCGATAACTGTTCTCGAAATGACATCATGACTAATTGTAAGATTGGACTATGTCAATACACGATCAATTATTACATTGTATAACTCAATAATTAATTTGATATCGGTATGCTGTACGTTCCTATAAATACAAGATGGCCAATATGATGGAGCAGAAATCCTGTAGAGTAATACACTATTATTTCATCACAAAAATTGGATTTTTTTTTATCATTTATTCAAAAATTATTATGTAATTTACAATCGATGTAGGCAATACTGCTATGCATAGAGCTGCATCATGGGGAAGGATTGAATGTCTAAAAATCTTAGCCGAAAAGGGTGCAAACTTACATTTAAAAAACCTGAAAGGAGAATGCCCGCGTGATATAGCTAGACGTTATGGACATAGTGCGTGCTACGACTACTTAGTACGAGCAGGTATTTCATTTTTAAAATATATCATAATGTTATAATATTACTGAAGAGGTTCAATTTTAATTATGCCACATTATTTATATGCGCCTATAATTAGCCATACGAAGAAATTATAAGTACAAAATGCTAGCGTATAATGAAACCCTAACAGATCATGACCTAATCGCTGGAAAACTTAATAAAGACGATAGGGTAAGATATAAAGTAAGACCATACATCATTTACTAATATAGCTGAGAATCGGTAACACATTAGCAGTACATTAAATTTGTATGCAAGCTACTGATATACATTTTAGAAAACGTGCAAGATATTTTTTATATAACCACCATTCCCAGATATACTTACACTTTATTTAGTAATACTTTACCATATCTAGTACAATGTTTATTACTGTATTCAATGCGCAACAGAATAACTATTTAGTATGTGATTATCCCAAGTGCACTCATATTTGTGCTGGTATTATAATTAAATTTTAAAGATGAGAAGAATTACTATAACATGGCGATGATAACTATTGTTCCATCATATACATGATATATCAATAGACTTTAAATTCGTATGGTGCCTACAGTAATTATTACAAAATCTTCCTGGGCCAATGTACGAGCCTTATATAGTAATCCTGTACATCATATAACAACGATCTGAATAGCAATAACAATAAAACAAATAAATAATAAATTGGAGCTTTAAATTTATTGTGAAGCTTAAATGCGATTTTCTTACAGATACAAGCGGCAGCGTTATTTAAAACATTAACGGAATGGTACGAGAGCAATACAGATCCTATAATTGCCGAAGTGCAGGAACAAACGAAAGTATTGCTGGAAGGCGTACTTCCATTTATACGAAAACTAATACCTGAGAAAGGTAAATCATTAAAAGTGTAATACATGCAACTTGGAATATTCTACAAGTAGTAATATCGTATATTTAGTTCAATACTTTAAAAAAACTCAACTTATTGACACTTGCTATGTCATACTATACCATACAAAAGCTTTCTATTAAAAAATTATAGATATTATTTTAAACCTTTTATAAAGTGATGCTAAAATGAACATTTATGAAGTGAAGGCATAAACTATTACTTATCTTTCTTCTTGAACCACAATCAAAGTCAATTATGGTAACATTTCATTTTATTGTGCTTTTTCTCTCACAGTAAATAAGGAATTACTGCAAGAAATCAAGCAATACGAGGAAGATAGAGTTGCAGAACAAGTTTCTCAACAATCTTAGTAAATTTTGTAATATTTGCTTTGTACAATTATCTTATCAAACTTTAAATTACATTTTTTACTCATTTTACGACCTTTGATGTCATATAATGTAAAGCATCTATTACAAGTTCAGGCATTAACAAAGTTCATAAGTAAGTTGGCTTAATCGTACTATAATATATGTTTGTATGAAATTAAGAACTATCGAGGTAGCCAGAACGTATTTTACTATTTAGTTATTATATTATAGTATTTATTTGAGTATGGACTAACAGCATGAATACAAGCGTTTACACAGCCCTGTCAAAATCTTTTCTGACGTCCAGCTATGTACGATGTCTAAGAAAATAAACAATTTTCAAGTAACAGTATAAAAAATAAGGAGAATAAAGTACTCAGCAGGGAAACCTTTAAATCATTGCTGTAATACCTTAAGATTATGGGACACATTCCATAATTCAGGAATAAAAATCTTTAATAAAAATCGCCAGTTGGCCTTCAATTCTTACAATCGATTGGGCAGTAAAAATGATTAATTAGTTATTGAAAGACCATGAACTACAAATAATACACATAGGATACAGTGGATATTGCATTTTTCCCATATTACTATCTAGTTTTAGAGTCTATTTCTATTGAAGAACGCTAAGCAACGACGCCAATAATTCTCACGTACGAACACTTTTCAGTTTGGCTTAAGCGATTGGTACTTTTTTAGATTATTCCATACATCATGAACTCTTCTTCTCAAAATTTGAACTTACCATTTGCTTTAAATGAGCGCCCTAGAGGCGGCTCAAGATCATCATCAACTGCTAGTGCTGATATCAGCAGTAATGGAATTAAGCATAGATCCAGGAAACACGCTGCTAAGGTATTACATTATTTCAATAAATTGCGACGTAAAGGTCAGTTGTGTGATGTAACATTGGTCGTTGAAAGTAAAAGATTCTACTGCCATCGTGGTATTCTAGCGGCTTGTAGCCCTTATTTTCGTGCCGTATTTAACGAAAATTCATCAATAAATCCTGAAGAAGAAATTTGCATTCAGGATGCGGACGAAGAATCAGTTGAAGCTATCCTTGATTATATGTATACGGCAAATATTATAATTAACGAAAATAACGCACATATTCTATTTCCTATTGCTAGTCTAATGCAACTGGATGAAATATTGGATACTTGCTCTCAATTTTTAAGGGATCAGCTAACTCTTTCCAACTGTTTAAGTGTACGAACTTATGCTGATGATCATTCGTCTCAAGACTTATATCAAACCGCAACAGCTTATATTCAAGAAAATTTTACTGAGATTGTACTACAAACTGAATTTTTGGCATTATCCATAACACAATTAGTGGCAATCTTAAGATCAGGTAATCTTAATGTTCCGAACGAAGAATTTATTTACCAAGCAATTATCGATTGGGCAAGGTATGATATTAAGCAAAGGCGAGATCAGTTACATCAGGCTTTACAGCATGTTCGTTTATCCTCGCTTAATCCTCGATATCTAGTTACCGTTGTAAGTCAAGAACCACTAATTAGATGTGATGAAAAATGTCGTGATTTAGTAGATCAAGCAAAAAATATCCTACTTTTACCAGAGGCGATTGCGAATAGAGCTAACACTACCACCGTTAGAATTCATCAATCAAAGCAACCTCCTGTTACTAACATGAATGGAGCCAGCACTACTATGATTTACGTTGTAGGTGGTTGGAGCCATGGAAAAGCTGATAATACTGTTGAAGTTTGCCATGCATGCTATGGAAACTGGAAAGTAGTTTCTAAAATGAATAAACCGCGATATGGAGTTGGTGTAGCAGTCTTGGAAGATAGTATCTTTGCTATTGGAGGTCATGGTAAGTTTCTTGATATCAGATCTTCGTATCTATTCTTTGCTAAGTTAAACTTATCATCCAAAATCTCCATCACAGATTGTACAAGAGCTACTATGTAGGATAAATTACCTCATTCTTCATTAACAGATTGATCTATCCCTGTATTAACTTGTGTAGAAATACTAAGTTAGTTAAAAAAAAGAAAAATAAATAGTATTGCAATCAATTTTTTAACATTCACATCACCAACCTTGCGTACTATCGATCCTGTCATTCAATTACTATGTATATAAACACTAATTTAAAAGCGTACGACAAAGTAAGTCAGAGGTACGATTACTGCATATATAATTTGTCTAATTCTTTGAACTACTATAATACTTTTTACATCACGTAGATGGTAAAAATTATTTAGACACTGTGGAACAATTTAATCCGAAAACAAAGTATTGGTCTCTAGACATTGCGACGACTCGCACTTGCCATACCAGTCATGGCGTTGCTACTGTAAATAACTGTATTTACGCCATTGGAGGCCAAGATGGCGTTTCCAGTTTAAATCTAGTCGAACGTTATGATCCTCATCACAATGAGTGGTATTCTGTTGTACCCATGAAATCTCGTCGATTAGGGCTTGCAACGGCTGTAGTAAATAATTGTATTTATGCTGCAGGTGGATTTGATGGTACTGCGATTCTTTCAACAGTTGAACGGTTAGATCCTAGAGAGAATCAATGGGTAGCAATATCGCCCATGAATAAAAGAAGAAAGCATCATGGAGCAACGGTTATCAACGGTAAGTGTAGTTTTACTGCTATCGATACCATTTTAGTATCTACAAACGCAAAATGAAATCTACTAAAATATTTATGCTAATAATGATATGGTAATAATAGATACAGCTAAGGATTAGCTGCTTTTTTTATTAAACTTTTAACCAAATAGCGCCGTCTACATTAAATTGTAGCCATGTAAAGGTTAATATCTTAATTAAACTTTCATACCAATCGTACAATCTTCATTGAATAGCAACTATCCACTTAATTTTTCTTCTAAGGGGGATTAATGTAACATCCATTTTAAAAGTCTAATAAATGAAGTCTTCTATTCCTATTCATATAACAGAAGAAGTTGAAATAAATGCTTTAGTAGACATTGTCATTACATTAGAAACTTTCACGATATAATATGATATTGAAATAGACAACGGCAGAAGTAGATATCTTGGATAGGCTGGATAGCTAGCGTCAATTAAATGATTAATAGCTGAATTGAATAACTATTCATTTACCCTATCATTGCGGTTGTTTTGACCTAAATTAAAGTATGATTGATTTGTCATAATATTCTTCATGAATAGCTTACAGTTGTAGTCAATAATTTAGGTATAAATTATAGAAATTTGACTTGTTCTTTAAAATCTCAGAATCAAGTCAAATATTATTAAATTCTAGGAATATTGCATGTCGCTGGTGGACGAGATGACTCTAAAGAACTTAAAACTGTAGAATATTACGATAGCAGAAATAACACCTGGATTCCAACCACGTCTATGACTACGTTACGTAGTGGAATGATCCTGACTGCATTCAATGACCAATTAGCTGTAATTGGCGGCTTTGATGGTGTAGATTACTTGAAAAGTGTAGAGATACTTGATAGGGAATTAGAGGAGTGGAAATATTGTTCAGGAATGAATCATTCGCGCTTAGGAGCTGGTGTTGCCGTGTTAGAGTCGCCTTGACTCCTTTCGACTGAACTATTTGTTTATGGGAAAGTCCAGCTAGCGAGCTGATTTTTGAAGCCTTTCTGTCTAATAGCTTTGTAACAACAAAATTCAAACCTCTAAGCGTTAATTCATTAATATTCTAGCGTTCATTTATTAATCCAAAAAAATAGGTTAATGATTCGCTTTCTAGTGCAGAAAAATACAAATTTTAATGTATTACAAATATAATCAGAACGTAGTAATACTTGAATTTTAACAACGCCTCATATAATTTGGCAAAATGGCATAATTTAGGTCAATCAAACGGTCAATTTTGCTCTAATTGGTGTTTCAATAGTGTAAATTACTTAAAAATTGTGGAGATCAGAGTACTGCATAATACTCCCCAAGGTGACCACCTTTCTGTACACAAATTAGGAAAGTAGATCAAAAATGGAAGCTGGTATTATGGCATTGAAATCACTTCAATTACCTGTTCGTTTTTGCACTGGATGGCCTCTAGAACAGCAAGCTCATTGTTAACTTTCTGTCATCTTTTCTTTAGTAAATGAATACAAACTAATCTAATCTTAAACTTTAGCTATCCCATTAATTTATTATGGACTTCCGATATTAAATAATCATTGTCTATTCTCATAGAGAAATGTGCTAACAAGAATAACTGTTAATAATATAAATATCCCCAATTTCTTTTTGTATAATATTCCAATCGATCATTGTAAAAGTCCTCCTATTCTGAATATTACTATAGCAAGGATTATCTAGTAAACTCTCTTAAATAGATTGACAATATCATCACTATTGATCTTCTGCAAGTAACATTATAGTTTCAACCATAGTAGTTAGACGAAAAGAATATTGATAGCTTAGTAAGCTTAAGACTTCTCTACGTGCTGCTTCTAATGATTTATGCAACACAGTCTATCGATAATACTGCTAATAGTCATAAGGAAGTTCTATAATTTCATCTATTCGTATAGTTGTTATTAATGCTTGTTAGGCTTTTCGTTCATGCTATCATAGAAATTTGACGTCATATGAAGAGAAAGAGATTATAGGAAATTGACAAGGATAAATATTATTCATGCGTGCCAAAAAGTAATACTTATGAATTAAATAATCTATCAAAAGCGATGATAAACTTACTATTAAAAAGAATCAGATAATTTTCATGGAAGATTAGTTCTCAATCCTATAATGTAATATTAAATCGCATCTAAACTGGAAAGTTTTTGAAGAATTCCAATATCACAACAAAGCTTGTCACAATATCAAAATGATACTTAGAATCTCATATGTCAAGTGTAAAGCATTGATGTAAGCTAGGAAATATTATTCGTAATTTCATCTAGATAACTAGATATTAAGAATAATATCTCCTAACTTACATAAATGAGCTATTTCTAATTAGAAGTATAGGATATTTAAAAGCTGCTGTATTTACTGAGAATAGTTATAAAATTAGTTAATACATGACATCGCTGAATTTAAAACGCTCATCAGAAGCAAAATTTATTAACATTACGTATTAAATATACTAATAGGATAATATTTCATCACATATATCTATTAAGTTAACTTAATGAAGAATTCTGTAGATGATTGGGATCCACCGTCTTCCGTATTAATTTATACGCTTGATTGAGCAATAAGATTTTAATTATAAACTAATACTAAGTCACACATTATTTTGAACATCTACTATTATAGCAGAAGAAATTTCTTTCGCTAAAATCGCTTATCTATTCATTTAGGGTTAAAAGTTAAGACAATTGTTTCAATCACTTCCATTCAGGATCAATGATTGACTAATTACAGCAACTCTAAATAAGGACTGCTTATCATGTCAGTAAACATATGCTTTCATTTATTAATTGTAAGTTACTTTAATGCAAGATAGAGGATGATTTCTTTTGCGGTTGATATATAGATCAATTTATACTAGGCTCAAGCTTATTTAAATAAGGATAGCATAGTAAGCTGGTTAAAAAACAACTTCAGTCCTCTTTAATATACGCGTATTTGTGGTTGAAATGAAAGGAGATGTTTTAGCGTAATTACGGCAGCTGTAGATTGATCACTGTCAAACTAGCTTACTACTATTAATAATAAGCTTATTTTTATATAGAGTTTAAGAATGATGGCTGTTATTTTTCACCTTTATAAATATTATAAAGGATAGGAGTACTTAACTGTCAATTTGGATCCCAAAAATGTTAATTTCACTATAAAATTAAAATGAGAACATGGCTTCTCTTGTAATCTCTTTATTGCAGTGGGCTTTTAAGTCCACTCTCAGTGATAAAAGTTATTACAGTATTATAAGGTTAAAGATTGTCCATGAATAAACCTGTAAATGATTCTTATATCAATTTTAATACCTAGATTAAAATGCTTATTTACTAAAAAATTATGCTTCGCCATCGAACTAATACCCTTAATTAACGTAGAATAAGCAATAACATAAAGATATGTAAATTGAATGAGCTCTCGTTCATTATTAGAGTCAGATGAAATGTTGTTTCTATTCCATTGGTGTATTAATAAGATACATTAAGATGAGAATATCTTGCCATCCTAATCGAATATGCTCTGACTTACTACCGTATGCTGATCTTGTAGGGCTAGGAAAAAATAGATATTTCTATCACGCTAGTGCGCTAATGAAAATGTACGCGTACTTATGTCAACGATAAATAAAGGATCTTTCACTACGCTAAATAATATAAATCTCCTTTGTTAACTTAGTCTTCTACAGAGTTTGTGAGCAATTGTTTTCAACTAGTTAGTTGCCAAATGGTGCTATTAGATAGATTATAGACAAATACTTTTTAGTAGGCTTGCCAAGCAAAGGTTAAAGATATATATAATACATAAAATACAGACAACTCAAGCATGGCAATGCGTTTTTTTTAATCCTGGAGTGTAAGCATATAACACAGTATCACGAAACAGCTTCGTAATAAGGGCTAGGTAACAGCAAGTCTCTAAAATTCTAAAATCTCCAGGATCGGGTATCCCTTAGCTTCTTACGAGAAATTAGACGCCTTTGCTTCTACGTGATACGACTAGAGAATTAATTTTATTTAATTGCATACCAAGATTATATACCGTACTCTTCAGTAACAGCTAAAATTGATGGATCATCTTAATATTCTAACAGCTAATTCATGTTCGATAACCAAATTAATACAGAAATATTCATATTAGCCATAAATCTTTACTGACTAATTCTAGATATAATGGGTTATCATCAGGATTGCATTCACAGAAAGTAGTACTGTAATCCGTGAATGTCAATTACTATATGAGAATTCTTATTACAGTATAGTATATAATTAACTGTAACAAGGTATAACCATGGTGATTCCCATCCAGTAATTCATCATAATCACCATATAAAAATGTTAAATTCACCAAATTTAGTCATCTAATTCTCCATGGTATTTCATACCGTGACAAACAGTTATATGTCAAATAGAAAATACGTATGAAGTCGTATTTATTAAAGCTATATTGATTATGCTCAATCAAGCAGAAATGCTTGGCTACTATATGAACCCGTAAACAATTCAATATTTTGTTGAATATTAGACTTAGCTCTAATGTCATTAAACGTTATTAACATTCATATCACGGAATTAGTCGCTGCTGTAACAACTAACAGACAGATATTTATATCAGAATGAAATAGCATCATCTATCAGACATCTTCAATAAAAAAATCTCAGATTATTGTAAATATAGTTTAAATAATTTATTGGACATTAGCAACTAAGATCATATTTGTGAAAGCGATTTATCAATTTCATTCTTATCATTTCGTCTATGACTGACAGTAAGAAATATTAGCGATTCTTCCTTCATATAAGTCTTTGTCTATTCAATACTAATATATACTATCAGATAGCATTTCCTATTTATAAGGGCCACAATGTTATTTTAACATAATAGGTATCAAAGTACAATCTAAAATATTTTCTTGTCAAATTTCATCAATTATTTTAAATCAGGGATACACGTATATCCAATAACGTAGCCATAGTTTAGCATAACATATTGTCCACGAAACATCGATAAATCTCACCAAAGCTAAACCTGTCTCTGATAGAACCATAGTATCACTATATCCGCCTTTTGATCAACAAATGTTCTATTGCATATATTCTTTAACAGAAAAAAATCAAATTAAATATTTTTATCCAGTATTACAGATCTCTCGATCATAAAACAACGTAGTCATATATAATTGGAGAATTTCTCTACAGATAAATGTATACAATTACAATTTCATTTTAAATCTTTAGCCTTATTCAATTCAATTTTGCTTGACATGTACAATCTTCCAATTTACTTTTTATTCAAGTATTGCATAGACGTCAGCATTGAACTACAGATTTACCTGATCGAGGATTATAATATTGATGTAAAATAAAACCTCTTGCGATGCTACTATCTATTGACGTGCAAGCATATAAAAATAGACAGAAGTAAAAAAGTAGGCTCGTTCATGCTTTTAATAAAGAATGAATTTGTCGTAATATACTGTAGTATAAATTAAACATTATAAAATGATCTTTAATACTGGTTATAATTATTGATGTTCATGACACATAGGATACTACACTATCCCATAATTATTACAAAATAGCTAGTTTATAATTTTCTATCTAGCTTATAAATATTAGACGAAATCTATCCGCACACAATAGCTTTCAATTCATAAAATAACTAAAATTCAATAACCTCATCAACTTCATTTGCCCATCCTACGCTATTGACCGGATATATTGAACTAATTGTTCGATATAACCATGACTACCTATTCTATTCGGTACTGAAGTAAGATACCAAGTTGCCACATAATTTCATATTCGATTGTAATCAACTATGGATCTTCACATCTGCCCATTATATTCTTCAATCGTCCAATCACGAAATTAACCTTATTTGCTGGCAAAGTATTCATGCTAGGAAGTTACACTTTTTTTAGCGATTAGTCCAATTTAATATTATGTAAAATTGGCACTTGAGATCTTAAAGTATTTCTAGAAATGAAATTTTCTTGCTAGAATTGTTATTAAAAATTATGACACAACAAAAACAATAGATGGTCAATTTCTAGAAATGGATTTCATTATTGCCTCCAAACACAATTACGTTGTAATCATTTGGTACAAAATTAGACCTTAAAATAGCTTAAACTTGACTAAATTAATTTAAAGAATCGCCACCCATACAAATTATTACTTTAGACGCTATTTATACAAGAAATAGTTGCCGTCTTCTTCATAAAAAAATGGATATCGCGATTTTGTATTGAAAAATTATTTAATCAATTTCTAATTTGCGTATGAATCCCCAAAACCAATTGTACGATCATCAAAATAATATCTTTCCAGCGGCTTTAACTTGGGCTATTAATTAACTTAATAATAACTTTGATCCATCTCAATTACAAGAAAGAGCCGATGAAGATTGTGTCAGTAAGGTTTGAGTATTGTGTGACGATTATTGTATTACAATTATCAATTTCGTTTTTACTATCTGCGGCTTAATCTTGTTTTTAAGTTTAATTATAGTATCGAGCTTAAGGGATAGTGGGTTTTATTATCGAATTAAACCAGTACTATAACAGTATACATAATCAATGTGTAAAGCAAACATATAAATAAAAGTTTAATTAGATATCAATTTATTTCGATAAATATGAATCCAGTTGTAAAATTATCTGCTACTTTTCCTGTATAAAATTACATCATTAGCAGACATTTTATCGACTAAATCAATCGCATAGCGCTGTGCGACTCGTTTAATCTAAACGGTTGTTTGCCAATAGAGATCTTATGTAGATCAGACAAGGGTTATAAAATATAAACTGTACAGATTATATATAATGATTGGTTTATCTAAAAATTACTTCTCCTATGAATAATATTATGACAATTCCTTGATTTTCGTTCACTTACTTTACTCCCACGACACTTTGTTAACATTCTGTTAACGATTTTGTACTTTAACATCGATATCAGATACGAATTTATGTCATGAAAATGCGACCGGCATGCTTGTTCTACTATATAAGCTTAAGCAGTAATATAATTTGCATTTAGTTTACTTAGTTATTCAGTTTTTTCATCGATGCAATTTATCGTAATTATTTAATTAAATATCAACCAGTATTATCGGTTAATGTTGGTCTTCTACAAGTAAATATACTACAATCAGTTTCTTTTCCATCCTGAATAGTAATCTGAGCCAATATTTATGTGTTAGGTAAAAATTAGACGGAAAAGTCATGACTAGAAGCTGGTTTGATAAAAGTTTCTATAATCCATTATTAGCTACCGTATTCAATATGGGCTGTAAGAAATACTATTTTAAGTGAGTCGATCGCTAGGGTTGTCAGTTTTTCAAAATCTTGAACCGAGCATTTTTCCAGTACTTGCTTTAACTTCTATATTCTAAACATACCTAATTGAAAGTGCCAATCTATTGACGAAATCTCTTATCGCACTGTGATGAATAATAATTTTGATAAATTGACTTTAAGAGGAAATTTTAAGACACATTACGGAGTCTTCTCAATCCTAAGCGTAACGTTTTGTCAATTTTCTAATTATGATGACGTTCATGGGAAGATTTCGTAAAATTTCAATGTGTTCACTAACCCCATAGTGACTTTTACATTGTTATTATTAAATTTAGGTACTAATATTGAAGGAAAATGTTGATTCTATATTGCAATAATTCAGAATCACAGTTAATATAAAATAAAAACAAAATTTATGACCTACGATAATATAGTTTTATCAACTGATTTCTAATATTACACCATTATTTTAGTAAGAGTACCGTAGTTTAATACTTTATTGTATTTACTATCAGCATAATTCCATTTCAGAAGTGTGCGTAACATGTACCATATATCATAATTAATACTGAATAGGGTTTAAAGTGAACGTGCGCAATTTTCCATTTATTTCTGAAATAGAATACAAACAATTTAGTATCTTTATTTGTGTACAAAGATAACGAGTTTTTATATACAGTTTGACGGCAATAAATAGGTTAAACCAGTTTACTATTGATCAGAAGTTACCGCAGCGTAGGGTGGAGTACATCGCTCGATGCGAATACCATTATCAAATAGAAAGAATTTTTGCATTTAATAAACATTCATACAGACAATTTTATCTAAATTGAGTCTTCTAAAGAAATAATCCATTTTATGTAGCATCATTTAAAGATCTTTGATTTCTACTTCATGGCATAGATTGATTCGCGAAAGGTCACTAATAGAGGTACTGCATAAATACTCCATAATCGTTCGGCTATTTCCAACGTCACTAAGATTATAAACTGACAATTCGAAAAATATTTTAATACCTATGATGGTTATAGCTTACTTTGCTACGCAATCAGTTGATTATTAAGAATAATTAGCCTTTCATTAATCGACATGTCGCATTTGAAAGATGTAAGATCGCCACAAGCTATTAATCAATATTATTTTATTAGTAATTTTGACACCTTCAAAGTACATTTTTCTATTTGATGAAGCGACTACTGAAACAAGTTCTTATAAAGTTATAGAATCATAAAGGATAAAAGTCGTAATGTGATTATGAATAGGGAAGTACAATTCTGATATTATTGGTTAGTTCTTGATTTACGTCAAGGAGTCTTTCGAAGATAATACCATATTTGTTTCATAAGAACTTTATCATTTATCTTGTGTACATATGGCTGGTTCAAATTCTATTTGAATGGATGCTTGAACTTTAGATGGACGTGTTTGTCCGGTATAGAAATCTCCACCGTTATAGCTTTAATCCTATTAAAGTGTTGCAAAATCTTCAACAGCTTCTCATTGATTCACTTTTATGAATTGTTATCGGTTAAGATATTTTAAAGCCCTAGCATTAGAATTAATTCATCTTTATTTTAGTATTTATTCCTAATTTTTCTATTTTCCTTCTAACTCTATCGTCTAGCTGTAATATGGAGGAGGATTCATCTATGAATGAACGCCTAAATTATTCACGTTTTACTAATTCAAAAAGAAGTTTGGGAGGCGCCTTCTTCATTTTACTATATATTACCATTATCGTTAGTAACTTTATCTGTGTCATTAAAATAATAAAGCAACATTATAGAAGAAAGAAACGAACACTCGATATTTACAGTCAATATTCCTATGGTAAAGCTCATGCGTTTATTATCGTTTTATCATCATCTAATATTTTTTTTCCATTAACATTATCGCCTATCATATTAGTACCCAATTTTATTGGTAGATGGATTGGTCATCATTCTGCTTGCTATGCTAGCACCTTTCTATTGGTGACATGGACTAATATTAGCACGATTGTATCCCTTTTTATGGGTTTTGAACGTTATGTTGCGGTAAAAAAGCCATTTCAATATCAGCGTATCTTAACATGGTATAACTTTACATTAGCTAACGTATGTATGGTGATCTATTGCTTGATGATAGCCGGGCTTACTATTCGATTTGATATGACACGATTTTATGAACAAGTACCGTTATGCTATACATATTATAATTTATCTTCAAGAGAACAACAAGGAGTTTTAGCTACCAGCACCATTACACATAGCTTATGTTTCATTTTATTAACTCTGACAAGTATACTAGTTTTACAAGAATTGCGGCAGATGCATCATCGCATATGTCAAGTTGCTTCTGTACAGGCTAATTCACGAGATGATCTGAATATACAGCGTTCTAGACTTATTAGCGTTGGGCGGAATCCAGTAGCTGCAACGCGAAAAACAGCTAAAGTTACAATTTTAGTAACGACAGTCCATTTAATTTCATGGCTTCCAGGCAGGGTAAGTAATTCTTAAACTTCTTCTATTTTAATCTGTTTGATACCAAAATTCCATTTTTACCTTTTACTAGCAGAATAGAATTATTAATTACTCTATTGATATCAATTAGATATTAAATTTTTTATTTAATCTATTTTAGTGTCACAATTTTATTACTATTCGCTCTAGTTTCAACAAATTGGTATTAATCTTTTCTATTTTCTAATGCTTAACATCATTTCACGCTATGCCCTTTCCATATCCAACGAATAGGAGCATTTTGTTTCCTATTTTTCACTAGTGGAAGCTGCCATTCACACTATCTAGTAAATAAGCAGCGAAATATTGACTACAGAGTCGTTGTGTTTGCTATTTAGTATACACAAATGAGATTATTATTCGATGAGAGCAATTTGTTATGTAACGTCTTTGTGCCTCTTATTTGTGTTCATTACTTTAGTAATATGTTCATAGGCAATTTGACAGGAAGTCAGCACAGTACTTGAATAATGCAATAGAAATATGTTCGTAGACAATTTGACAGGACGTCAGCACAGTACTTGAATAATGCCTTAGCAGATTCTAATACGATTACGATTGTGTTAACACATAATCAAGAAGCTATAAAAAAATTTCTATTATCTCTACTGTTCTGTGTTAAAGTGAGGACTATTATAAGTTATTGTAGCTGAAAGATCACAAATTTCATCCTCTTTATGTACCAAAGTTTGAAGTTATAAACCAAATGATAGTATTTTATCTTAAAAGATAGAACAACAATGAATGCTTACTACCGAAATGATTAAACTTTGTTTAAGAAATTTCATACTGACACTTACAAGATCTTATTTAATATTTGTAGATTGCGCAGTATTGGATGATTACTACAGGAACTATTCCTCCATCTGCTTGGAGAATATCTATTTTACTTGCTCGAATAGCTGAAACAATCATTATTCCGTTAATCATCATTGTATCAAGAAAAAAAAATATTAGACGATATCTTAAAAGATTATTTTGATAATCTTAATCTTTATTATCATATTTTATATTTTATATGTCGAAGATATTTTGAGTGTCGAGTTATTTCGCTTTAAATAGTATACAATTATAAAATGGACAAGAAATTTTAATGCAACATCATTTTATATCACATTCTTTCATGTTAGTTGTGTGAACATGAAATTTTCTTTAATTTACATCTTCAAAGAACTCACATTTGTAAAATTGTTCATACTTGATGCGTTAGTAAATAAAATTGAAAAGATTTTTATAAATCGCTTTAAAAATTAAATGGAAAGAGACAAGAGCTTACACTATACTGAGACTGATACACAGGTAGATTAAGAATTTTAGAAGAACACTGGTAATAGCTATTTAGCACTGAATCAGACCTGCAGCATATAATTCCTGCTTTTAATTTAGCAGGCGGCTAAGTAGCCATGTTTAATATTATTATCATTTACAGCTAGTCAATATTTTTATTTCATAAGTTCGTAGACTAAACATTGTTTTATTTGTTACTTTTATGACATTAAAAACCTTCTTCATAGTATGGTGCGACGGGCATATCTTACTCCGACGGGATTGGCCCCATCATTAGCAGGCAGTTTACATAATCGCCTACTCTTCATTTAGCTACAACCAAATATTACTTTTATTTATTTATATCTTACGTCTCTTCAAAATGGTACGGTACCAAATATTTAAATCTTCGGTAGAATAGGTTGATAGACGGATAAACCGTGAACGTATCAGCGAAGACGGTATCGCTTTACTTTAAACATGTAAAATAGTTGTTAATTTATCTACAATACCCGGCATATATTATATACGAAAGATGAATTTATTGTATAGTATTTCTTATAAAAAGGGTAAATTCATATTCAAGTACTAGTACGGCATATGAAACTTCGTGAAGGGTTACATTCAATCAAATATTATGGACGAGAGAAAAGTTTACAATTAATTGAATATCAGACCTGTTAGGAACCTACAGAGTGTATATGTTCAGAGAGTCAGAATAATGATTAATTATCAATAGGGATATTTAATACATGAACTTGCAGTATAAGTAGAAAAGGCTGTGAGATGGTGCCGATAGATAATAAACTATAGCCAGTAAATTGATTACTAGATCAACAGAAATTATAAGTATGTTAGCAATAGCGTGAATATAGTCATGATTCGTGAATAAGCTGAAACTAATATTATATAATTAAAGACTGATCAGGGTTGAATTTGACACGAAATACCTATTTAGCATTCTAAAATAAATTCTGAGTCATGTTTGTATCTGTACATATGCGAATGTGCTGACAAATAAGAAGGTCAAAATTAGTGTGTCTGACCCATAGCAATCAAATCATATGGCGTCTGGATTTCAGCAAACTAATTTCTTTCTTTTGGTTAAATTTCATAAGGCAAATCCAATTTGATTTTTCGTTTACTTTGAATAAATTTAACAATGTCCTAAACACGATTGAGTAGTATGCTTACTCTTACTTGTATATCCCTGCATATGTTATCGATTTTGCACATTTGAGTACTTGCGACATTTTTACTAGATATTGAAAATAGTAATCCTGACATTTATGTCATTGATAAGATTCAGCGATCAAGTCATAATTTTTTTCCACTTCACTTCCTGTCTAAGCCATATCCGAGTCGATGTACGCATACAGCGAGAATGGAACACACTTGATATTAGCTCATCCACACTTAGTTTCATAAGATCAACTTGTTGGCAATAGTATTAATGGGATTCTCTAATACTAATTTCTAGCTGACTTTTTGTTTATTAAATTTTGATAGCTTATTTCTTTATAAGTTATGGAATCTACCGTATATTTTTAATATCATTCCTTAAAATTGCTATAGTATATAAAATAAATTATGATTATTGTTTCATTCATATCATGTTTATGGAGCCTTTCTATCTGGCGTTGAAGGAAAGAAGGACAAACGTGTGATTGTTCATTATACATATTATTGTATGCAGTATGTTTTATGCATAGATAGTGTTTAATTTTTATAAATATATTACTACGGCTATTTCGAAGTGGTGTTGTACGATAAAATCATCTGCGATGTACGTATAGTTTGTAACTATGAGTGCGCAAGAAAATTATCAGAATAAAAATTTATTTCCGTCCGCTGTTCTAACAATATTTTTAATTTATAAAAGAATTAACACTATAGATAATTTCTTATAAAAGAATTGGTTCTGTTATGAAAGAAAGCTAGACTAAGGCGAATACTGTATTATTAAATACAGTATTGTCTCAAAATGACCTTTTGCCATCGATTTTGCAACTTTAGAAACTTGCTACTACAAAGATGAGTTTTACGTTACTTTGCAAATTTATAGTATGCAAAATATTGATCTAACATAACAGCGTTAAAAAGTAGGATAGTTCTATGAATACATTATGTATAGTATATTCACATCCACATTTTCGTAGTACCGGATGATAAGGACTTCCGTTAGATTTCTAAAGCTAGGATAGAAAAATTGTTTATTTATTTCCTTGTCATACATCTATACTGGCCTGGTTTTCTTTATAATGTCGTGACGGCGCATAAATTTTAACGTCATTGTTAAAATATGTTTCTTTAAATACAATGATGATGTAATCTTTTCTGATTTTTGTAGGCTAATAAGCGTATACTTTATTTTGCTTTATAGTATCTCCTTATTCACATGCCAACAAAAAAATGTCAAATTTTCATTCATATATACTACTGTCATAATATTCATATAGAAAAGCTGTACTTTCTCAAGATCATAGAAAAAGTCTTAAAGCAAAATTCGTATGCCTAACGCCTTATATGATCTCCTTAATATCGAATGTAATCCAAATCTTGATAACCCTCCCATGGAAAGATGAAATTGATATACACAAGCCTCGGGCTAAGCCAAACTGTGAATTCAAAGATTCGAAGTTATGGTTGAATTTCGTAATTACTTCTCATACACTTGTCTATTGGAAAATCGTATCATAATATGTAAAATTATATATACAAAGGTATCAGTAAGTCTATTTGATGTTAACCTAAATTTCATCCAGCAAAACAAAAATTGCGCAGTACTTGCATGATAGGATACTATAGAAATTTATTGAATATAGTAGGTAATGACGTTATAAATATATCATATTATATACATAGATATGAGTTTCGTATATAATATACGGACATACGTACGTATATGCCCTTGCAAAGGTATACATTATCCAGTATACAAGTATAGCAAAAAATTTTTTCTATAGAAATTGAAATGCAATCAAAACACAGTCTAAAAATCGATTGAATCTCTCAATTAATAGATTTAATTACTGGCTCCCGGTATTTTTGTTCGTAACATTAATTACCTACATAAAAGCTCAGATTACTTCCGTCGAAACTAAGAAAAGAGACCGTTAAGTCTGCTACACTAAACAATGCCTCCCGTATAAAAGATAATGAAATAAAGTATCTCTTTGAATACATAACATTACATTGGCCATTGACACGTACGTAACAAAAACTACAATCCGATGCCAAATATCATTACAATCAGAAGATAATCGCCAGTTATAATTGTAAACTAGTTCTGTTTCATTAATGACCATTATTTAAAAATTCTTCAAATAAATTAAATATTCCGTATTATAATTTAAATACAGAATAAAGTACCGGTAATTGTACTGATATTATAGATGCTCTCTCTAGTAGGTACCGTGGTTATGATTAGTTGAAACGAAAAATAGACAAGTCCTAAACATAATCATCGCACGTCAAATAAATTAACTGTACATTATTATACGAAGAGAAATCGATCTACTATTTCCAGAAAGGCTATTACTAATCAAAGCTTTCCGAAATGTTAATCAAATGATTCAATTTCTTTAAATCTCAGCAATTACGAACTTATATCACAAACTTGGTAGTTTAAAGTGACGTTTAAAAATTTATGTAATTATCTCTCCGATGTCACAACATATATACTACTGCTATTTCAGTTTAAGTTTGAAAGTCACGTAGATAGTATACAGTGTGAGATTTAGGAAAATATTAAATAAAGATTTTATACAGTTGGAATTGTCGACTAATAGAGTTAAGGAAATGGTTGAACTCTGTAATGGCCTTCGAAAATAATTAATACAGCATTGTCTATTAATTTGAACTAAGTATTGTCAAAATATGATGAAAAATAATTAAATATCCTTTACTGAAGATTTCATACAAGATATTCTAGAAAAATCATCACTTATATTTTGTCCTGTAGGAAATCTTCATTTAGCTAACGAATATTGCTTCTGTTATGTTATTGGTATTGTTTTCATTTGCATGTCTATTTTTTGAGACTTTATAGTGTTTGTTACGTCATTTATTTTAAATATTACATCATTGTTTTCTATGTCACTTGGAGACTGGATTTACTTAATGTTGCCAATTTAAGCTTGGATACAATTACTTAAAAATGCTATTTACTAAATGTAAATACAATATCTATTTTTAAGTTAAAATGTATAAGGTTTAAATTGCTACAATTCCAGATCAAAGTGATAATTTCAGGTTTGTTCCCATAAGATATCAATTCTTATTCTCAGAGAAGTAAATTGTTTAACGTTTGAGAAATGAAAATCAATCTCTGGCAGAGACTGTTGTATTAATTATTTGTGGAGAAGTAGTAAAAGCAAATTTTATTAATACCACAACCCTTAAGAAACCCATTCAATATTCTAGTTGTATAAATCCTCTCCTACGATAAAGTTATTGGATAGAGATTCTAGATAATCTAGAAGATTCTCTAAGATAAATAGTTACCAACTTTTCAAACTTATAGTGGTACTTACTTTCAGTCCTAATGGTATCATTCTAGTATAACTTTATACGCTGCATTCGAGGTAAAAAATTTTATAGCAAGATATAAATGAATAGGAAAATATGAAGTCATTCACCTCATTTAACTTTTAGGTTACTCAATCTATAGGTAATTTAGAATTAGATTGTTGATTTTATACTGACTGTACAATAAATATCGATAGTCAATGTTATAAAGAAAAACAGCTTTGTTGTTGATCTTAGGAATACAACTACTGTCAGCTTGAGTAATACTAATTATAATCGAAATTTTGCTTTCCTAGGTATCAATAACTTAGAATTAAATTTACTTCCTAGGATAAAAATAACCCTGGGAAGATGTATATAATAAATACTTATAATTTGTAAAACTATAATAATAGCAGGTCCTAGATCATTCTTTATGTTAAATTGTATTTACCGTTGCGATAGTGAAGAAATCACGTAATATCTATAATTTACCTATACAAATCTTAATCTTATACAAGTATTTATTGTTGCCATGATATTATTTTATTTATACTCATTATCTACTGGACATTTGTTGTCTCGGCGTTGTCATTATAGCCTGTACTTTTTATTTATATTATGCGTCATATAGAGTCTGATTAACTAATTATTTGGCAAAATAATTTAACCACCGTTATTTGAATGCTTCCATTTTTTGGCCTATCTATTCATTACTATCCAATCACATGTTTGACATATGCATATATAAAGGGAGTATAGCAAAAGGACATCATTCACAAATTATTACATCCTTACGTTAATATTTCAATTATCGAAAATCATCGTGTTTAGCAAGCAACGTTTCGACTATAATTATCTGCAACGGTCAATACTATGATAATTTATTACTTCAACATTGGCTATCCATCAATTTACCATTAATACATATGTAGATTGCTATTACCAACTAGAAAAATGAATATTCACGACAACATATCTGAATTTATGGAGAACATAAACGGTGCTATTAATGGTTCTATATCCAAAGACTGGCTTTTACCGAAGCGAAGCATTGTAATTGATATTTCATTTATTATTTTAGCATTAGTTATTACAGTCAGCAATGTCAAATGTGTCTATAAGATTGGTAAATCATTTCGAAAATATAAAAGTAACACATTTTATAGCGCCGCTCGTTTACTGATGACCTTGTTAGTCGTTGTCAACACATCATTTTTGATACTAATTTCATCAATCATAGTTCCTAGTCAATTGGTTGGTTATTGGATTGGTGGTATTTATACTTGCAATACTGTAGGAGTCTTAATCGAGATATGGACAAATTTTGTTACATTATTAGCTACTATCATCAGTTTGGAGAGATACCTAGCCATTAAAAAGCCATTCCGCTATAATAATTTATGTAGTCCATGGAAGATTAAACTATTATTAATTTTCATATTAATCATCAGCTCGCTTGTTGGAATATTATCTCTATTTTTAAATAGATTTGCTTTAATCGCTTACGTTCCTGTCTGTCAAATCGTTATTGATAATGTACACGATATTAATTCTTTGGAATATGCTACTCTGTGGCTAGATATGAGCTGTTTTATTCCTTGCTGTGGCATTTTACTGTTAACAACAATGGAAGTTTTACTAGAATTGAAGCAAATGTCAGTTCGAGTTAGAAATCTATCCGTTATACCATTACCTTTATCCCAATACGGTCATAATCGAGATCTTCGGCAAACTAAGAGATTGGCGAGAATTGTAATTATGATAACGGTTCTGCATCTATTATGTTGGATTCCTCAAAGAGTAAGTAAAAAGCGCAATACTACGCATATCTTTACGCAATAGATCGCTTATGCCAAGTTCTAATTAGAATTCTTAGTTCTATAGTAAATCAAATAGATGATACGCGTTGGATTTGAGTTACTTGTAGAATTTATAATGTGAATTCGAGTAGAAGATTACTATTTCTTAAAAGAATTAGCTGGCGAAATAATTAATATTAAGCAAGTGATTAAGAATAATATTTTAGTGTAGAAATTACTTGATGCCATTTAGATTTTATATCAATTTTCAATATCCAATAATTCAATCGTTAATAATTTCAATTTATTATCGCTAAATCAATTCACAATAATTTATTAATTCTTTATCGCCTCTAGATATGTACTTACATACAGCGCTTGAGCGGTATCGATCAAGCAAGCTATGTATTCTACTCTCACGTTTCCGTTATAACAAAAATGCTAGACATGTTAGTTGTGCCATTGGCTATATTCTGGAGTCAGCAAAAATGTATTAGCAAGAAACGTCGGTCAAGAATTGGAAAGTCGTTACCATTGGTTCCGCCATAATTGTTAATATTTCTTTATATGTGACTATGCTGGCTATCTTGATAAACCAGCTTCATACAAATAAAGTTAATGAATGTATATATATGTATGCTTTTGCCAGCTTGAATATTAAAGATGCTATACTACATATTTTATATATTGAAATGCATTATATTTATTTATGCAATAAATAATTGATACCCATTGCAGCTATTATCAATTGTCAGTTAAAGGTGTAATTCATTCACAAATCACGTATTACTTTCTTACTGCATGTATCTTCCGGTCTTCTTGGAGTAAATTCCGGTATGATGTGTCAGCCATTGATAATTTATGGTTAAATTAGCAAAATGGGGCAATTTTAAGGTTTAAATTATTAGAGTAATTTGAAATAATACTCAAACTACAGTATTTGCATTGTATTAACTTGGTTTAGGCTAGATAGTCCTGGACACTATACACGTATCATATTCATTCTAAGTATATCTGTTAATTTACTTTAATTTTTAATTTATCACTAGAGAACATATAAATTCATAATGCAAGTAAAAGCACAACATAATATCTAACATATATCCTGATGACTGTTTGATCTTTTATGAAGATATACTGCTATGGATATTTCGAGTCATGACAAAAATCACATATGAGGTTTGCCCAACTTATAACTATATATTTGCGCGAATAAATCATTGAAACAACTCACCTAACTATTTTTAGCAATATTTTGATTTTTTATGACAGAATTAATGACAAGCAGTTTCGTATTTGAAATGCTTTTCTGTTACAAATGAATTATACATTGGGGTAATTGTGAATTATTGTATTAGCTCAGGAATACTCTCTGATATTGATAAATTTTAAAATTTTAAATCTACGTATGCAAGGTTGTGTGTACATCAAATCATATATTGCATCAAGTGTTTAAAGTAAAATTAGATTTTTAGGTTGTGCTACGATAATTATAATGCTTTGTACCAAATAGAAATCGAAGCGTTCAGCGACGGTAAAATGAAAATTTTTTCATCGTAGTTTCTGCAGCTAGAATGCAAAACAGATTCTACTTATTTCTTGCTCTTACCTCTACATTTACCTCCAGGATTTTCTTGAAATGCTGCTACTGAACGCTAAATCATCTTCTACGTTAGCTTCTTCATAATACCAATGATTTGGCCCTCTGTTATTCTAATAAAGCTTCTAAATGATAACCTTTTAGTATATATTTACTTCATGATACTCATTCAATCAGTTTCATTCGTGTTCACTAATACTACAATGCTCTTATAAAAACGTGCAATTGTAATTATTGATAGCAACTAATAAAGATCGCAAGAGCAAAAGTATCAAGTCTCGTACCCGGTGTGTCCTCCTAAGCATCTTAAATATAATTTATAACTTGATAATATTTCGATGGCAAGTCCGTTTCTTATTAAAATATGCCTCTCTGTAGGCTAATTTATAACTTTAGGAAGTACAATGTAAACCAATTTATAGCAAACCTTAATGAATGCAATTGACATTTATAATTGTATAAAATCGTAGTACCATGTAATTAACTGTATCATTATAGCAGAAAATGTCAATAAAGTCTAGCACATATCAAGTTCAATTGCTATGCACTTAATAAAATGAATAAACCATTTCATAAAATTTATATTTTAGGATACTACAGGACGTTTATGGTGGTATGCTAGGTAATAGCAGTACATTGTAAAGCACAAATATATACTGTCTACGTATAATTATATATAATGAACTACAAAGTGATATTCGCTTATTTATGGAGAGAAAATCTTTTTCAACGGAGATAAAAAATAAAATAAATGTGGTCACGTTTTAACTTGGAAACCTATTGAATTTTAGCGATTACATTGTTCTATTAATCTTCGTTGTTACCGTTCAAGTTTTTAAAACTGAACCATTCTTAATAAACTACATGATATAGAGATTTAAATTTTGTTGCGATTACGAAAAGAGAGAATCTTAAAATATGCTCTATTGTACTACAGTAAGCAAAACATTACTTATGCGATATAATGCAGAGATTCAAATTTTGTTGAAATACAAAAAGAGACTCTTGATTAAAATGTGCTCTGCTGCACTACAGTAGCCAATACATTACTTATGCTATATGATACAGAGATTCAAATTTTGTTTATTTGGAGGGTCCATTATACTATATTACAATCAAAAATATATTCTGTGTGAAAACATCGAGCTAAAAATTTTTCTTCGACTAGAGGATGTTAGATCAGCCGTTGACAGGTGCTTCAGAAATTGGAGATCCCTGTTAGATATCGCTGCAGTATGAAGACGATCACAGCTATAATAAATCATCGTAAGCATATTTTAAATTATTAATAACTTTTGTCTAAACTTCTGACTAAGTTTTTTTCATGGAAAATGATCATTGTTTCATCTAATTTAACTAGAACATAGATACGTTGTCGCGATAAATAGTAAAGCACGGTACCTGCAAGTAATATTAAAATAAAAACGGGTCTAAAATAAAAATTACCTGCATCAAATTATTGCTACATGAAGGCAAATAAATCGATTGCCTCTAACATTAGGTTTAAGCTATACTTTGAGCAATAAAAATCAAATTGTAAATCAAATTGTAACTTTATTCAATCTCATCAACTACCTATGCTATAGCTTTCTGATAGTTGAGGTACTTTAAAGTGATATTAAAAATTAATGCGCTCTTTTCGCTCATATTGCAAACCGTATACTATAGCTATTTCAGTTATATTTGAAGGTCACATAGACCGTCGAACACAAATAGCGAGGTATTGACTTTACTTAATGCTGTGATAACTGTTACATGCTAGTAGAAGCTGTTAAATCTTCGAAAAACGATGGAGAATTAAATTATCATTTTTTATTAATAGAATATTTTGCTTTAGTTTTAGTCAGCTATAGTCAAAATCCTATGGAATAATTAAATCTTCTTCTGCAATATACTTTACAAATTTCCTTTCATATCGAATATATTAAAGATCTTGATTCGATTAATGAGTATCATTTCTATTATTTTAATTATCATTTGTTTTTGTTTTTTTGTTTATCGTCCACTTTCTTCAGATACAATAGTTCAGCTATATGGATAATTTTTCAAATATTTCATTATTGTTTCTTTCCTACCGGTACATTATTAGAAAACCGGATTTATTTAATGTTTATCAAGTTGCAAACGTATTTGCATAAATATAAAATAATGGCACATATGAATATCCATTGAAACACTATAAATTATAGGTCTATCTGATTGTTAATTTCACGATTTATTCACGTACGATAATAATTCGTGTTCTTATCAAATTTAGTAAGAAAATTCATTTCGTGCTTGGAAATAGAAACTTCGATTCACATAGGGACAGCAATATTTAATTGTTTGTTTTGAAATGCTAAAGCAGAATCTTATCAGTTTACTGACTATTAAGAGACACCTCGTCATTTTTGATTTATGTAAATTCCTTCTGTATTTAATTAATACCGGAATACGATACTGATGATTAAAAACCTGCTAATTTCTTGACGGCATTGTCTACTCGCATTTTTATATACATTAAGTCTATTAGATAGTAATTCTACGATAAGAATATAATTAAGATTTGATATTATGTAATATAGAATTCCTAATCTGTTTAATTAATAGGGAATAGGATCTTAAGATCTCAAAGCAAAATCTGCCAATTTATGCATGATTAAAGAGACCCAGCGTCATTTTCTAATTTATGTAAACTCTTCCTGGAAATGATCTAGCATACTGCCTAGATAACCGGTAATCTATCTGTCAATTTCTAAATAGCAGATGATCATGACTGATATACTACTGATATACTGTGTAATTTTATGTTTTCTAGATAGGAATCACACGGTAAAAGAAATCGAAAGTACCAAATTGTCCAATATAGAATTTCTAGATCATTTGACTAATGGATGATATCGAAAGTATCTTGTTTATTTTTCACAACAGTAAAACAAAAATCCATATTGGACGTCATCAAGTAGCTTTCGTCACGAAAGCTGTCAGAATCCGACTGATGTAAACTTTAATGACAAAACTAATTCAAATTTCACATGCGTACGTGTATAATGATGATAACGTAAAATTTAAATTTATTGACTACACCATCATTGTAAATAACTTTGGGCGATATACTGTCTCCATACGTATTAATAAAAACGAACAATTAGTAGAACTGTGGTAACTAACAGCCGAAGGTTGGCCGATTTCTTTATATTAAGTTGTATTTACATTCATGATACTGAATAAGTCACGTAGTATCTATAATTTATTCTTACAAATCTCTATCCAATGCATGCAAGTAAGTATTGTTCTATTCAACTAATTTTGAATTATCCTAATTATCGCTCCGACTTTTGTTGTCTTGCATTTTATATTGTGGTGCTGCATCAATTAATACTCATATTACGTAGCATGTTCTATCTAACCAGTTCATTTTTTAATAGACTAATTCTTAATCGAGGCCACTGAATGCTTTATTTACCTGTTTATTCATTTTTATCCCGATAAAGGGTTAATATTTACATATATAAATAGTACCAAAGTACGCGTAAAAGGATATCATTTCACAATCGTTGTTACACTAATACGTTAATTTACCAATTATTGAGATTCATTTTAATTGATAAACCGACAATTCTTGGGTTATAGTTAAATCTTTATTACCGACAGTCAATAGCGTGCAAATTTATTCAAAGCCTAACTATCCATCCAACTACAGCACCATTAATGTCTACTTAGATTACTACTACCAGTCAAAAATAATGAAAATTTGCAACAACGAATCTAAATTTATGAACTGCATCAATGGTAACATTAATAACTCTATATCCAAGAACTGGATTTTACCAAAACGTAGCATTATTGCCAATGCTTCATTTACTACTTTTATGCTAATTATTACCTTGACTAATATCCAATGCATTTACAAGATTGGTAGATCATTACGAAAGTACAAAAGTAATAATTTTTATAGTATGGCTCGTTTATTGATAATTTTGTTAGCCATTGTCAATACATGGTTCTTGATATTAATTTTATTGATCGTAGTTCCTAGTCAATTGGCTGGTTTTTGGATTGGTGGCATTTATACCTGTAATATTGTAGGCTCCTTGATCGAGATATGGACAAATTTTGTTACATTAATAGCTACTGTAATCAGTTTGGAGAGATATGTAGCTATTAAAAAGCCATTCCGTTATAATTATTTATGTAGTCCATGGAAGATGAAATTGTTGTTGCTGTTGATATTCATTGCCAGCATTCTTACTGGAATAATATCATTATCCCTAAATAAATTTGCTTTAATTTCTTGCATTCCTATCTGTCAGATCTTTATTGATCATAGGCATGAGATTAACTCTTTGGAATATATTACATCATGGTTAGATTTGAGTTGTTTTATTCCTTGCAGTGGCATTTTACTTTTAACAACATTAGCAGTTTTACTGGAATTGAAACGTATGTCAATTCGAGTAAGAAGTATATTCGTTATGCAACCATCCTTATTGCAATCTAGCCGTAGTGGAGATCTTCGACAAACTGAGAAATTAGCGAGGATTGTTATTATAATAACACTTTGGCATCTGTTATGTTGGATTCCTCAAAGAGTAAGTAAAGTTAGTAAAATAGTATTTCATAGAGTAACGAGTATCCATAAAGTTTGTTCTAGTAAGATTAAATGACGATAGGATATTAGAATCGGATGAGAATTTTATATGAAGTGAATATGGACGAAAGGTTACCATCTATTAGTTATATAGTAATCAATATCTGCCAATCTAAAGGAGAGATATTTAATAGCTCAAGAAGACTTCGATTTCATACATACTTGTTAGCATCTGATGATTTAATCATTTAAAAGCTTCAATTTGTTATTACATAGCTAACCTACAATATTATCATTTTTTAAATTATCTTCAGGTATGTTCGTTTATACAGCGCTTGGGCAACATTGATGACTCGTGTTTTATATTCTATGGTTATATTTCTTTCATAACTAAATTGTTGGACATGCTAGTTGTGCCATTAGCTATATTTTGGAGTCACCATAGATGGACTGGATACAGATATCGATCAAGAACGGGGAAATCACTGCCGTGAGGATCGCTTCAATTCTTGATAAATCACCACGTTGGCTATTTCTTACCAGTCAAAATGTTACAAGCACTCATATAAATGTAAAATTGATGAGTAAGGGTATTTCTCGTATACTGTATTTACGACCATAGGGGGTAATCAACCTCCACGTTCACGAATATTGCCTTATGCCTTAGTTACACTATTGTCCTTCATAACTCCCGCCACATGTACTGTATTTTGATAAAAGTATTTGATTAGCTTGCAGTAGTGAGTGGAATTTCTGATTATATTATTTAAAAATTGTAATACGTATAGTATTCAAGTAAATTATATATACATATATAAACTGAATTTAAGAGGCGTCGTATTTGCGACATTTTACATCACTTATGTTATGATTAGACAAATAATTCTAATTTGTATTTATTTGTCGGTAATTTTGGAATCATGTTGAAGATATGTTTACGTCTTCAGACGGGAAAGCTTTTATCCCAGGCAGCAGAAATAAAAATTGAACTGTTCGATTTCCAGGTGTGCATATCGTGCCTCTAGTAGAATTGTAACATAAAGTAACAGAGAGTAGAGCTATTGGCAATTTTACAAGTCAGTTGAAAGGCTACTGTTCAAATAGTGCATCTTGTGGAGTTCATGATTGATTATGTCAGTGAATAGGTAATTAATTTTTGGGTATTAGAAGCCTTATTTCAACACTATATTTGTAATAAGTGTATATCGATATAGATAATACAAGTGTTCAATCTTGGACTGCTAGGCAGTCTAGATGTGCCGTTAATTCGGAGAAATTTGCCGTGTTGTGCAGTACATAACATGTACATATAATAACGGCATTTGGGTTGACTGGTCTGCATCTAACATTGAAGATTTTATAGCAACAATACGCACAAAAACTAACCCTGTGATACAAATGAGACTGTATTGATAGACATCCATTTGGTAGATAAATGTAAACAGTACAGTATACTATATAACCGTTATTGAGATCAAGGGTACAAGTAAATTTCACGATTCAAACATGGCATTCTTTTCACCAAATCTTTTTATTATTCTATGTGGACATATTCAGCAACTGGAATTACATCCACATTGCGACTTTGTTCAAACGAAAATTTTTTACAGATCTTTCCAGTATAGTAAAATGTAATAAGATAGCACATCAGACAAAATAAAATGCTAATGCATTCTTACTCTTTTACAGCATATTTACGTATGGCGTAATGAGCATCGTGCTTTCTTTGTCTAACTGTTTTCCTAGATGCTTCGAACTTGGTTAACCTTCTTCGCATGGCTCGAGTTTTCTTCGATCTCAAATCTAGTGGTACGAACTTCTTCTTCTGGTAGAATTTACGCAAATTTTCTCGTTGATTTTCAGAAATTACCGTCTTGATCCTAGCGATAGCTTTTCTAACCGATTGACTAGATAGCAAAAGAACGGAAAATTAGCAAGTACTTTAGATTATTACACTGTCAGGATACACCTTCATTTCTAGTCGATTGTAATTTTGGTTGAAGTATAGTATTATATTGTCCTATTTAGCCTTTTATACACCAGTGCAACACAACGACAAGTATAATGAAAGATATTACGAATAGTCCTTTGACAGTTAATGGGATTCTAGTACAGTAGTATGATCGAATAACAACTTCTGATAGGCTATCACTAAGCATCTACTAAAGTACCGTACTGGATATACAGTACTGTCAAAGCTAGCAAACAGCGTGTTATCATTGTAGTTAAGGTAGTTCAATTCCATCTGTGTAAGAGTAGTGGCAGTAGAAACTATCCTTGCATTGGTTTCGTTTGGTTTTGCTATCTACAAGTTAGGTTAATCCTACCGAAAGAGCAAGGGATTTCCTACACATCGATTATTAGCTAGAGTGATTCATGCTTGGTTTGATAGACCCAAGTCTAGCAGTAACTACTGTGTTGCAATCGTCTTATTACAGGTGCTATTGGAGTAGATTAAGTTATCGAATTGATTGTATAGGCTTACATTTTGGAAACTTTATTAGGGCCGCCGCTAGTTACTTTAGCAACGCGTAAAGCTTGCAATTCCGTTTTCAGGTCATCGAGCTGTTTGATCAAGTCTTCTTTGCCCTGCCCTCGAAGTTGATGTGCTTTAACTTTAGTGGCCTAAAAAAGTTAGGAGGGAAAGATTAATCAACATCCACGATCCAAGCATAGAATCCATGCAACCGTTGTCAATGGACATCCTAGAAACTACGAATAGCGTTATGACGATTGAAAAATACTAGCGATCGCCATGTTGGAAACTTTTCTCACTGACACAAGGTATTACTCTATTTAGTCATTTCCTATAGAATTGGAAGTACTGCAAGCACGAAACGAGCATGTAGCGTCCTATTGACAATAGTCCATGTCACTATCCACTATCTTGACTGTACCGAAGAATAATTATGAAAAAAAACCAACTATTTCATGATGACTCGATCTCAAATCGGATACATTGGTATTTATTGTTACTGGATAGGAGAAAAAGAGATGAATTGATGCAAAGATGGAGTAAGATTGTGTATAGATTGAAGAATTGGAGATGACCTACCATGACACCTTGCTCGTTGTGGCTGGAAAGTGTAGAAAGAAAGAGAGGAGGAAGTGTGCGCAAACTCCTTGTCTAGCCGAGTTCAGCAGTAGCCAAAGGCTGCGGTACAGTACAGTACAGTAGAACTTTTCCACAGTACACTGTACAGTACAGTACCGTACCTGCACGTGCGCTAAAGCGATCGGACGAGAGGAAAGTTGCCTACAACTAAACACACTGACAGTGCTGTAATGCTACAGTACCATTTTTTGCGTCCAAGGTACAGTACTGGACAAAACTTAGTACTGTACTGTACAGTACAGTACTGTAGTCCCTGCTGTTACATTACTGTATCACCGTAGCTGAGTACCTTACAAGGAATGTCAGTATAGGACAAAAAGAGATCCTAAAATGCCGTTGCAACCCTTGACCAATAAACGGCTCCTCCTTTTCCAGGCTAGCTATGGACATCAAGTCAGGGTCTTGGTGCGTTATCATTTCCTTTAGTATGCCTGTGCGACAAAATATGACCCCAACTCCTTAGCAACTGTACTTTTGCAACTGGAAAAGGAGGAAGAAAAAATCCAGTACAGTACAGGGTATTACAGTTGATTACAGTGGAGGAAGGAACAGTTCACAGTACAGTACAGTAAAGTACTATAGTCCCTGCTGCAGTAAAAAAGAAAACCTAGGGTAAAAACAACTTCACTGCAGCATACTGCTGAAACTTCTCTAGCAATGTATACCAAGGGCTAAATTGCACTCTAGGTTCTTGAAAATAATGAATATACAGTACACTACTGGACTTCATAATGCACACTTGCATTTGGTAGTACAGTAGTAGCAGCGACTACTGAGCGAGAGAGAGAAGTCCACGGCCGTAGTCCCTTCCATTGTCTGTCCATCGACAGACACTGGACGACATCTTCATACTGCTACGTGGAGACGTATCAGACAGACAGACGCTCCGATGTTACAGTCTACAGTACTGTAGGATACAGTAGATTTCTCCAATGTCTCTACAAGATTGATACAGCCTCTTGTCTACAGTACACTGACCGATCCACGTCGACGACGACTATAGAAAGCAGTCAAAACGGTCATAAAAAAAGGAAATGTATTGTTGGACAGAAGTCGTCAGAACTCCGACCAGTTTCGTTGTCAGCAAGGAGTAGAAACTTGGACTTGAATCAATCTAGAAAGGCCGGGACATAATGGCGGTCCCACAAACGATGGCCTTTCCATCATCATTTCTGATGGTTACTTTATTAATAAGTTGGTTGGCATGTACTCTTGCTAGCCATTCACCTGAATTTTGCCGTGGTATGGGATTTTCACCCAATTTATTATGTAATTCTTGTAGTGATTTAAAACAATTTCAGCTTGATCCACTGGTCAATGACTGCCAGCAATGTTGTACTTCAGAACAGAATAAGGAAGATTCCATTCACAAGGTTTGTACCAATTCAAGTAGCTTAATTTCCTAAACGATATTAATCTACCATTGGCTTAGTAAAAATCAATTCAATGATATTGATGTGTCAAATGAAAGTTGCAGTAATAAACTGTCCTGTGGATGTGGAATACAATCCAAACCAATACTGTGCATCACTGGTCTACATCCAGTATACTCTTCAATCTGCAGTGGACAATATTAGCCATGATGTTGATTGAAATCTTACCACATTGTTCGATCTTCAACGGATCTATCAAATTTTTTAATATTGATTTCAGCAATTGAAAATAGCATAGCTTGACTCGGTACTGTAGGTTTTTGTTGTAATAACTGCAATCGTTTTATGAAATGAGGAATCGGTCCGTCAAGTTCAGTCAATCTATTTCCAAATGATGTTGAGATTATCTTTTCTTTCATTCTTTATACTGTATATAAAAATAGTACACTCGAGCTATACTGGAAGTCTGCAGCTGAAAATTGCCACGGTATCCTCACCTTGAAAGTAAGATTCAAATACAAAAACAATGCTTAAAATTATCAGAGTGATCACTGAATTTATACAGTTCTCTTATTTAGGCCACGCTAGACAGTAGTTCATTAATTTTACTTACTGCATTTGCATCGGCTAAAGTACTTGACAGCTTCTATCAGTGGCTCTATAATATAATCTACTGTATTTATCATTATCCATTGAATGAAATCGATAGGGTTGATGTAAACTATAAAGACAGCAATTGTTATGTTAAAAGTTATTTAGTATATATTACGGTAAACTTTCATATTTTGCTCCATTATACAATCAAATAGTGTGATACTAAAACTTTGAATTGATAGTGACAATACTGTACTGTAGCTACGCACGAGTACTCTTCAAGTGTGTATTGCTAATCGAGTATCGTGGTATCTGTCCTTTGCATCTCTTGCTCAGGCTGGTATTATTATACTTAAAAGATTGAAATCTTTCAAAGTCGATGCAATGGATGATTGTAATTCGATACGATCTGCACGTAGACCTCTAGCCTACACTGTGTTAATACTGCTTGTATTCAATTACAGCTTTCATAAAGAGCGGCAAATATCGCAACTATCCCAAGTTGACTATAAAGGTACATAATTAAAAATTATATTCTATAATTTGGAATTCCATATTTGCAATCCTAGTAATCATATAGCTACTAAATGGTGTACATGCAATCTATTTACAGTTTAAAGATTGACACTGTCGATTACTAGTTCAGTTTACAGTGTTATAATAATAACCGACTACAAGAATGCAATATTTCTTTCCGTTCACATTTTTATATCGGAATTAGTCGGTACTTCTCGGTTATGTAATTAATACATGTTTGAATACTATACTTACCGTATTGGTAATACGGTATTAACAATAAGGTTTCAAAGGTGCATATTAATTCATTACCATTGTTGTATTCTGTCGTACTAGTATATGCGTGGTCAAGAACCCATCTTGAAGCTTATAAATGAAAGTAACGAGGTTGAGGATACCTTAAGGTACGGGTACTCTCTATATGTAATCTCTAATGTATTTAGACGTGGCTTACTTCTAATGTCTCATCAAATGAACTCGCAAAATTGGGATAATTTTAATTGGAACATAAGATTGTACTCTTACTGTACAATGAATGTACATGTCATAGCGCAACAAGAGTAGTCAATTATAGTCTTTGAATGGAATACAGTGTTTGATAACTACACGTATTCTTGGGTATTCATATTTAAAATGGCCAGAAGCTGTTTTCTTTGCAGCTGATCATAAAACTGTTATGTGCAAAATAAGCCATTCGTGATTACCAGTATCTGTAGTGGTATGCACGTCTATTGTTATCAGTGACTACGCTTTATTTTGCAATCGTTACAACATTTGATAATTTATATTTTATATTATATTTTACAGTATCGAGAAATGGAAGACCGAGAATGTTGAAGAATACCTGCAACAAATTCTATAACTAGTAAAGAATTTAAATAATTTACATGTTGTCGATTGTAGTTTAGACATTATGTAATTACTGGTGCAGATTAGCTAAGAATTGTACTGTTAGCTCTCATTTGGAGTCAGAATTTATGACGGCATTGTTGGAAATCTTATGATCTACATTGCTTGATGGTGTATATCCTCTGACTCTGATTGATGAGACTTATTACCACAAAATTGTACTGTATTCTGTATGCCTAAATGGTGTCGGGTGTAATATGGATGATTTGCTCTTAAATATGTTAAATGTTTTTTATAATATATATAAAATATGAAATAACTCCCGTATTTGAATCTAGAATTATTATTAAAGCTCTAAAAAAATTGTCGCGTTCCGACAAAATTACGGATTATAACTCAATTTAAATTATATTTTGACTTCTGTTTATATTACCAAAAAATCGAGTCATACACCTCCTACAAACAATCGCCCTATAGTACTAAAGTCTGTTACAGTAACTTGTGCTCTAACTTCCAAATCAACAATTATTATCGAGTTATTTAGGTTTTATAAGGGTTACATTGTTAGTTCACCAGATATCCTGGAGTAATTAATACCGCTAATCTTAACACCGTTACATATTACAGTTTGTTGTCAAAGCGTATAAAATTCGATACATGCGTTTATAAGTGGATAAGAAAAGGTACTTCTGTATACAGTTCTGTATTTACAGTTAATAATAAATAATTCATACAGCCAAAAACACTTTCACTGTGAAATCAAAAAATCAATGTACGCGTATATACAGTATATCTTAATTTTGCTCGTACATTAACATAAGCAGAAAACTTATGCATTGATGTAATGCAACAGGAAATGTTGATATATTTAAGAATTATATTTTTTCTGTAATTTTAAAAATCGCATTTGTACTTTGTAGACAGAATCTTACTAAATATACTCATATCGTAATTTTCAGGCCCAGTTTTGATGCAGTATAAAATAGTTTCTCTTCTTCTAAAGAGTTATCAGTGCACTATAGATGCCTAATTGGAAATTTACCTACAAAGTGCTAAAATAGAGTTTCTAATTGATGTAATCTATAGTAGGATTGCAGTATTAATGCAAACATTTATTGTAATAGGTAAGTCTTGCAGTGGAATATCCCATAGAGACAATTGCCGACTAAAAAGGCTCACGCTTAAAAGCCAATCCGTGGTTATTGTCTATTACAATTTATCAGATAGTTTGACAAATCTAACACGCAAAAATTAAATTAAATCGAATATCTTTTGGTATAGAGGCTATCCATTCCTTATAATACTGTCATCTTGCACTCATGTCGAGTGCTAATTGAGACAATCAGTCGATCTGTACTTTATTATACTACCTGCCATGGTGGATAAGAATGAACAAAAATTTAGAAATTAAAATTTACAATCAGTTACTTTGTCAATTTTGCAAATAGTTCGATATTAACTACAATATTTTCAAATATATTCAAAATATATAATCGTATTTGAGCAGGTAAACGTTACAATTGCCAAGGTACAAAAACGGCTTATAATGTCTTTCGCAGATAAAGATATAATAAGAATTAGATTTATCTCTATCATTGCAATTTACAGATGGATCGTTTCATGTCACTTAAATCTTGTTCTTATGATATAAAAGTACGACTAGCAACAACTAAATTAGAAATCGCAAAGTAACAATATAAATATTGCATTATTTTCCGCAATGCTAAATAAATCAAGGCTTTTATCGTTCATTAAAGTGTTTAACTGCTTATACGCTAGCTTATTAAAGTATACATAACACGCTACAGTGCTATCATACCATCATCATTATCTGTAACGATTGACGTCCAACGGTTGGTACTTGGATTAAAGCGTTCAATGTTATTCAAAAAAGTTGATCCATCGAAACCGCCAATTGCATAGATCCATCCATCAACATTTACAATCCCAACGTTAACCCTTGCGTGGTTCATGTGTTCCTTAAGCAAGATCCACTTGTTCGCTCGAGGATCGAAACACTCAACGGAATTTAGAGGCTGAGATCCATCTGATCCTCCGCAAACATAAAGAAGGCCTTCATATGTAGTTGCGCCCGCTCCTCTCCTGTTAGGATAAATTTAAAATAATTAATTATTGTAAGAAAGCAATCTCTTGCAAATACAAGCAGCATAGCGTATTCGTAACACTCAACTGCTGCATATATAGTGCACAATATCTGGTTGTAAATATTACATGGAGTTATATTTTTGCTTACCGTTTAATTTTCATGTCTACTATTGGATTCCAAACATCATTACCAGCATCGTAGTATTCTACTGAATTGACAACTGCTGACCACTTATCACAACCACCAACAGCATATATTCCTCTATCTTTATGCTCCGTGGCTACTCCTAATAACATCGGATTATCAGGCTACGTTAGCGAAGTCTATCTTCGTTTTAATAATACGGTTTCAATTTATGCATTGTTTTTATTTAATAGCGATAGCGCTAACTGCTAATGGTATCCTGAGGATAACATTATTGTATTACTGTCCACATCTAAAGTTACATAGAAGTACTTTTTCAGGTAATTATTATTATCCTAAATATACCTAAATGGCTCCGTGCTGCAATCATCGGCTTTGCGATATTCCAAGAATTAGAAGCAATGTTACATATTTCCACATTGCTAAGAGTTCCTTTATCATTTTGTCCACCAATTGCAAAAATTTGATCATCTATAACTGTCGCACCCAAGCAACTTCTAGCAATTCTCATACTCTTAAATGGCTTCCAACTATCGGTAATCGGATCGTAACGTTCACAACTTTTTAGATCATGAGAGGCATGCGAGCCACCTAAAGCATAAACATGATCCGATGATGCCGCAACTGCAATTCGTCCATGGCGCTGATTTACTGGCTGACATGTCAACCAAGTATTACTCGCCAGATTATATTTTTCCACAACATTTAAGCAACCTAAGCGATCATAACCACCTACAGCATACACTTCGTTGTTTAAAACTGTAACGCCAAAACTGCATCGCCCACGTTGCATAGAACCTAACAGCGACATTTTAACACTACCACCACTACCATTGTTGGAACTTCTACACAGTAAACTCTCAGGCGATTTGAGATGGAGTGATACAGTGATCAGATTTGCATTATCGATTGCAACTAAAGCGGCGTAAACTTTATCACTGGTTTCACCAACAGCTACCACATGCCAGCTAAATATCGAGTTATCTTGTGGCGATAATATTAGTTGGCGAACAGCGATTGCTGAATTAACACATTTTTCCGGGGTATGCTTCTCGCCAGCAGTTGGAGAAGAAGGACGAGATGATAAGCCATCGTTTCTATATCGCGATTGTAACGCTTTTTGCCTGACAGATTCATCGAGTGAACTTAATTGCTTACTACTTAAGTTATCTATATCTGTTAATTCACCATTTTCAATTAGAAACAAGTATTGAATAGATTCGCCTAATCGATTTCTCTGTCTATTTAACAAATTAGCATTTTTATGTAACCATTTTACTGTCTCCGCTGCATATTGTTCCCCACTTGGTCCACTTGTAGCAGCGTCTTCATCTATATAAATCTCAAAACGTAGCTGAGGAAGGTTTAGGAAAGCTTCCAAACGTGCCACCTGTTCTATATTATTACTAATGAATTTATCAGCTGCTACAATCAAATTGCTACACGAATAACTGCTAGCTAGTGTTCTGATATCCAAGCAATTATTTAGATCAACATTCGACTGTAAGTAGTTATAGCAGGCTTCCGAAATGCTAGAAATTTGTAATTTATTTGAAGCACGAAATATGGGTAAGACTTGCTCCGGGGTAATATTTATAGTACCAGAATAAATAAAATCGATTATAGTTTCTAAAGAAAGCTTATCTACACCCTCAACGCGATATGATGATAAATCTGCGGTATCTTCATCTCGTAACATCTGCTTAATATAACCACTTGACACTGCCAATAATATCCTATGAGCATTAACTTTTCCATCGTCTGCGACTAATTGGATATCGCATAATTCTTGCTGAATTCTTAACTTATCTAATGAGTGAACGACATTGATGAGGTGACGGTTGTCGTTAAAATGAAGATTTTCAGTAGCCATCGTTTTGTTCCTACGTTAGGAAAAGAAAGGTGATAAAAAACGATTTAATAGGATCTAGAATTAAGATCTGGTAGCTACGCGTATATTAATGTTTGAAAGTATGTTAAACTAATGTCGAATGTTGTACAGGAGATAGTAAGGAGGTACTTTAGCGATAATACCGTATACAAAGGCCAATAAATCATAGTGATCTGCGAGCTAATTAAGTTAAGTAATGTCTACTAAATTTTGTAAGAGAAATAATTGGGCGTAGAAGCTCACTAGTATTAGTTACCGTGTAAACGATTTCACGTAAAGCTAGGATATCAACGTAGTTAACTTGTTAACTGGCAAATATAGAGCAAAGTGCCCTATTACTACAGTATAGTATATTACAATTCAGAACTAGTGAAAAATATGATATTTGTTAAATTTGTTTCGTACATTTATATACATCTCAGAGTGGGTAGGTTAAACAAATAGCAACATTTACGAGAATGGCATTGGCTTGTAAATAATATCGATTTCTAAGAATGCTCTTTGATAGCACGCACTATTGTTAATGATGCGTAAACTGCATTCATTAGTCAACTAGTTATATAATGTACAGTGTACAGATTAAATCATATATTATTCACTACTGTAAAAGTATTGTACGGCATAATAGAGCGCAGTATATGCCAAAAAATATCCAGTTCCTACCGGCAACAAGGTACTAATTAAGGACATAACGACCTCGATTGCATGATGATTAGAATTGCGTATGACTCTAAATTAGTTTAATTTGTAAAAATGGATTGTACAGAAATACGAGTAATATACTGTACCGTAATATTGTGAAAACACCTTAGAATTTAGTAACATAACAAAATTCTGACGGGTTACAAACTCTAATGTAGAGTATGTTTATAATGAGGCATAATATATTTATTTATCGCAGGGTCATTATTATCCGCATTTGGGAAATCGTTCATTTGTTAATATTTATAAGACTATGCTAGACGTGATTTTACCCTATCAAAGGTAGCTGCTGCATTAAAGATAATACTGCTACAGTATATCTACTACCGTACATTCTGATTGCATATGGTTCAAAGCCTGTTAATGCTATTAATGTTACTAAATGAAAGAACATATGCTTATTATGCAGTGCCATAAGCTACCGGATTACGACTTTACTGATTAGGTGCTGTGCAGCGTAAGTTCATCTGGTATTATGCTATAAATTTAACGCAAATGTTGTACGACGTATTCTGTGGGATTATTATTTGTTCCATTGCGTATCTAATATGAACTTCTTGCTATCGTCGCGAAGTTACAGTTAGATAGAAATATGAAGCTTTAGCTTACCCTTTTATAGCTAATTACAATTGTTAACTGGGAAGTAGGGAAGCAACTTTTACTGTCTATAAGGCATCGTGGGTTAGGAGCACTGTTTTTGCGGAACAAAAAACACTATAATCAAATTAAGGCATTTATAGATATGCAGATTGCAATTCTAATTATGATGGGCCAAACCCGTTATAGGTAAAGGGTATTTTTGCTAGTACGATTAAGAGCAATTGTTGATTGGAAAGCAAGGAAGTAACAATTACACTGTCTATAATTATATAATTGCGGAACAACGTGCACTGTGGAATAATGGCACTATCGGTCACAGCATTTCTTTATGCTGGAGTTTTTGTAGGATACCGGAAAGCCGGATACGTAAGTATGCTAGAAACTGGTTGGACGATTGGGGGTGTGCAAATTGAGCATGGCAGAGCCGACTGTTACAAGTGGAAAGACAATTGGAGCTCATTCACTGCTACGTGCTGTACCGTGCAAGTGTACACAGTACTGCGTTGTTCTGGATATTTATTTATTTATGAGACATTTTCGTCATAGGATTGCATATGTATAAATTTTTACTTATTTATTTATTGTACAGCATTGATGCTATACTAAACATCTCTATTTCATACTATATAGCCTTTAGTATTTTAGTGTATCGGTAGTGAATACAATATTATGACAAGTTAAGCCTAGTCAATCGAAGCTGTCATTCAATTCTTCAATAAATAATATAAATGATAAATAATGAATATTCATAGATTTCGTTGGCGGGATGTTAAAGAACGTAGCAATGCGGCAAGATAAATAATATAATAGTCAACTATAAAATGTTTATCGAGTCCCTTAAATATTTCCTACTGTACCGTGATGCATGGCAAGTTTAGCCATTTTCTAAATTTGATTGCATGACATTTGGTTGAATTATGGCAATAAAGACAGGCAATTCGATTAGGATGTAGTCAAAGTTACTACAAACTAATTGCTGCTGCAGTACTATATAGTTACGCGTATGATATTTCATGAAAGAATATGCGACGAATCGTCTTGACACCTTGCCAAAATAGGATCACTACTGCACTGTTGTTATTACACTATATACATATTTTTTAGGTAAGCTACTAGAGCACCGTAATTATATAATTAAATCTCCACATTTACAAGAATTGTACTGTATATGAAAGTATCTGAAATTACAGTATACAGAACTTATAAACAGGACAATCGACATAAATTACTATATAGTGTATAAAGTGAATCTCCTATTTGTACAACGACGTATGATCTAGTATTTGTTGAAATAAATCTATCCTACATATGGGCACTTTACCAGTAGAATTAATTCTAGCAGCTTCAGAACTACCATACTTATAGAGAAAAGCAATCAAATTATCTAGGAAGTATCAGCTGTCTATTATATGTTTGGCCTACGGCATGCTCTTTACACAGTCGAAGAATATCAAAAAATCGGTAAAAATCATCGTTCAAAGTCTTTAATTAACATCACTCATCAACAGACTGTTTCAGAGCAAGAATACAACTTTTAGTAAGTTAACTATAATTCATTATACCGTCAATACTTTCTATTCAATCGATCCAGCAAGATTAATCTATCAATATTTATTAGATTACATATTCACGGCGGAGTAAATGAAAATTACCTCGAGACTGCACAAAGCGAAAACTTCAATCCAGGCTCTAAAGAGTTTAATTAGTCTCGTCCCTAGTTTACGAAAAATATTTTGGAAGTCTACGCCGACTACGCGTACGCACGTACACTAATCGAATGCATATAATTATAATTAATGGGACGGGCCATCGTGGGCGGGTATTATCAGAGGCATTAATAATAATATTGTACAATGCACTGAGTGAGAGTCTCTTCTCTTTTTAAAAGTCCCTACTATGGTACTAACTGAACTATGGTGCATTAATTTTTTAGTGTGCAAACTGTCCATGAACCCGAGTGCAGCTCCTATAAGACTATTCTTTTGAGGTAACGTAGACTCACAGCTTACAGGCTGCTATACGTATATATATATAGTGGTAATTTTTTTACCGCGAAATTTAAAAGAGGAACCGCGAAAACCAGAGTATACATACACGCATAGAATGCTGTAACCCTAAATTTCATGAAACTATTCTGGTTCATTTCTTCGCCAAAATTTTGCCAACGAAAACAGAGTCGTGCCGTATACTGTACAGTAAATATCTAAAACGTCCCGACTCTGCAAGTACAATAAACATTTTCACTGTGTATATTGTTATCGCCAATGTATAACATATATCACGGATTACTAGATATACAGTATGTGATATACAGATATCTAGTTGTCCATGTATATGTTACGTATATGTAGGTGTAACTGTAAAGTTAATTATATACAGCAAAAAATTTTATTGTTATTGTTATATACCATAATAAGTACTAGAGACCCTAAGGTCTCTACTGAACAGTATGCAGGTGAGATTTGGTTGGTATCAGGGTAAAAATAAACAGCACGTATTTTCCGGCGCCAACATTTATTATTTATTGGTCAAATCGATACATGCATAAATAAATACAAACGATGCTAAAATTCGGCTCTTTCCTTGTGGTGCCATAACACGATGCTAAAATTCAGCTCTTTCCTTGTGGTGCCATAACATTTTTATGACTATGAGTGACATGCATATATCATCTAGGAGAGAGACTACAGCATATTACTATAAACGTTGCCAAAATTTTAGCATGAAAAAAGTAGTGACGATGGTTTAATGATTTTAATTATCACTTATCAGTTTTTAACACTTAATGCTAATATTAACACATATTTCAAGAGGTATGTAACCATATGCTGTTACGTATTACCCTATAGTCTTATATCATATAGCATATAATAGCTACAGATAAGAGATTCTAAATTGTTTAGAGGAAAGGATTTAAAAGAGCAATATTAACAATGAATTATGTTGTCATCATAAAAATATGGTTACTTATATGAAATACGTGTTTCTTAATTTAAATCTAATTTGCAATTAAATTGAAATCAATAGTGATACAGAGTCTGAGATAATAAACGTGATGACAATACAGTATATAGTTACTGAATAGTTGACTACCTTATAGATATAACTTACGCGAAAGTTTTTTCAAAATAATAAACAGAATTTTTAGAGATAAAACACAGGGATTCCTCTTAAAGTTGACCTTGATGATGGCCAGATAATACTCATGAAAAGCTACATTTATACAATTGCTTAGCTATATTAAACACTATTGCTCAGATATTAACTGTTATTGAGGCATATAGTAGAATTGGATTCGATGATTCAAGCTGGAATATAATCAATATTCTTATTATAAAAATAAATTTAGATTGATTGTTTTAATATTGCCTGATAATAAAATACAATGGTGATTGAAATAATTCATTGTTGTAGAATTTCATCTAGTATTTGGTGAATTAGATAATTTGCTAAGACCCTGGAAGCATTACATTATAATTGCCATAATTGGAAATACATTTATTATTTGTTTTGTTACCGTATACCGTATCATGCGTTGTTCAATGACAACTTTTTTATTCAATCTATAATTGACTGAATAGTTAAAGTTGAACTCAACTCGCATAATTGACTATATTTTACAAACGTTCAACAAATTTGCTACCTTATCGTGTCTAGCTCAAAGATGGTTTTAAATTAATCTGAAATTATGTAGTTACAGCCGAACATAATTTGTGCAACTCACTACATTCCATAAACATCTAGCTATGGCATTCTAAAGATAGATCTATAACGTAACAGCATAGAATTTGATACACGTATACGCGTATTAAAGTATTCTCGTATACCTAAACATTTACGGCCTGAGGCAACAGATAACAAATCAAGGAATACTAAAGCGCCTCTCTACAGCTGGAAAATATTTAAACTATTGTATTTCAACATTACTATATTAATCTCACAGTAAATAAATTTTACTTATATAAATCGCAACAACCATGAAGCAAAATTTGAAGCAAAGTCTTTTTTAATTAAGCTCGTTCAACATTGTTTTCGTACACAAATGTTTGTTGTATATGTGTAAAATATCATATATTAAAATCGTGAAATGAGATGAATTACAGCTTAATTACTTGAATTATATATTTTAATTGGCTGAATTTTAAAATATAAATTAGTTATCGATATCATAATCCCGTTGACGCCGTTGGACGTGATTTACAATATTTAATACGGGGTATAGTATCAGTTTTTGCAACAATGATTATACTTGTTGTGATTGTCACACTTATATAGATCTTTAAATTGCATGTACTATACGTAGTTGAGTCAGTAATTAACCCAAATGCTACGGAGATAATCGATTGAGAATCCACTTGGATTCATTTGTTAATTCAAAACAGATACGATCATGTAATCTGTTTGTTTGGCCTTGCCAAAATTCAAAATAGTTAGGCTTCAAAAGAAATCCTCCCCTGCAAAATTAAGAGTGTGGTAGTTATAGTATTCCAACACATGAGCACGGAATTGAAATCTTTTACATAGATACAACGATTATATCATACGGCTCTACTCTAATACGAATAAAAATTACTGTACGATATTCAAATTGTCTACCGATAGCATTAAGTTTAAAGATTATTAGTACGTAACACACAATATGAACTGCCTACCAGTAATCTGGCTTGGGAATTTCATTGGGTTCTGGATATTTCTTGTTCAAATCATTCCATTTATCTAAAAGATACTAAAAGAAAGCGAAATCAGCTCATATGGATGCTTATAACAAGTCAGTACAGTTTGCTATTTCCATAAACATGGAGAAGAAAAGTTATAATTAAATTTAGAATAATAAAAATTTCTCTAATATTATAGCATTATAGAATCTTTAACTAAAGGCTTACTGATAAAGTAATGTTACGTAGAAATTCATATTTGAAATATACCTGACGATTAGGTATCGCTGTGCTCTGATTGCTTATGGCTGCACTAATCTGGCTGTCACGAGGGCGGCTATGAAAATACTTTTCCGACTCGTCCTTTGACAATTTTTCAACTGTACCTTCAATTCTAACCTTGAAGAATAAACACTACCTTAGTTGTCAACGTATATAGTTAATTAGCAAATGAATTGAGAAATACAATGACTAGTACGAAATAGTAAATATAATAGTGTTACTACTGTTTTATAGACCAAACAAGAAGTATACACTTAAAAATTCAATTGAATTAGTATCGAGCACTCTCTTTCAACATGTACGAAAATCATCAGGATCCAATCTTGTCAAATTTAATTTTATGTTATTTTGGCCTAGCTGTGCTTGTTTGAATATCAAGTAGTTGAGACATTCTGGATAATTTTTTAAATATTGCAGATTAAACAGTCAATATAATAGATTACCTGTCTATGTAACGGAGGCCAATAGAAGAGTATAGCTGCTTGAGGATTGCTAATCTATTTCAATTAAAAATGAGGAGCTACAATTAACTGTTGATAGGTAAGAACATTAATTGTACTTTGTTTGCATGATTTAAAGGTCTAAGAGGGATACAAATTCAATGTTAATACCGAAGTCATTATAGTCGAATGATACGTATATTGATAAATAGCGTATCCTGCTGATAAACTGTACATTGGATTCTTAATCAATGGTTAAACATATAGCTCGGGTAGGTTCGTAGCAGTACATAATATGATCTTTCGCTGGACTACGTCTTCCTATCAGTATTAGAATATATGATGTTGAATTTTTGTTCTCAAAGATTGAACAGTACACTGTAGGGTTTTCATTTGAACGTTCGGTTATGGAGATTTTTAAATCACCCTTTATTACCTGGTCAAAAATTTCTCTGCCAATTGAGGTACGTATTTATACGATACTTTGAAAATGTTTAATTCATAACGGGATGTGATAGATCAAGACGGTTGTAATGACTGTTACATGTCGTATGTTATCATATAGCTGATCATACTATTATTTATAATTGTGGAGAGTACTGTATATTATGACATCAGTATCTCATAATGAAGCACTGTTATACATTTATTAATTCGTATGTCAAAGAGATCGAGTAAATTAATTATCAATCTTTCATACCAGTTGTTGTCCTTTGCGACTTTCGTAATTTGTATAGAATTTGATGCCATCACTACCATAACCTTTGAGGAGAACAGTCCGAGAGGATGGCTTTCCATCACTAAATAACAGATTTAATGGTTGATATAATTGATAGTGGAGTACAAATCAAGTACAGTTAACGTTGTAGAAAGCTAGTACAATAATAATAACTACAGTACAGTATAACAATCTAGCATGGCGCTGTATGGTCATCAAAATCAGGGCTATGTTGGAACTTGTTACTTATGTGTGTACCGTATGTCTTGTAAGATATTGTTATTTTTAATGATTATATTATATAAATTTTGAATTGTAACCACTTTGTGATACTATTATATATATACTGTCATGATAAGCTAACGCGTAAAGTATGAGATGATATCAATACATAAGCAGGTTGAGGCTGACGAGTTTGCATTTCCTACATCAGTTTACAACTACTTTACTGAGTCCGATTGCGGCTTATCCTCAGTAATTGTAAGATAGTCTTTCTTTGTTTTAAATTGTATGTATGCATAGTTTATTTTGACATGAATTCAGTAAGCTACGGCAATCTCTTGATACTGTCTTTCTTTGCAGCATAGCCTCAAAATTTGACCCATTTTGTTGAATGTCTAAAGTTGCAATGAACTAGAGGAACTTGTAAGTAACAAGCTCGTTGGCAAACGATGCCATGAATGTCATCCATTTTGAACAAGGAGCTTAAGTAAACTATAAGACAATTTCTTTTCATTGAAGTGTAGAATGGTAAATCATTGTCACCGAGCGATTTACCTGGTACAAGTAGCTAAAGTCATTGCGTTCGGTTCGACAATACCGAATTCTTTTGCCGCTTCAAGCCAGGCATGGAACTGTGATATCGGATCATCACGCGAAGCGAGCTCTTTCTCCACGAATGCTGTCGCTTCCGATTCGTATTTTGTTCTAATATTGGAGAGATCGTACGATTGTTTGCTAGTCATGGTCGCAATTTGAGCACAATTGAAATAATTATAGATGGCCAACTGTTTACAGTAATGAGCAATTCGACGTTGCAAGCAGATAGGATGGCTAACCAAAGCAATCCTGTTGTACATTCGTGAAAGCGTCAGGGTATTATCGATTGACAAGCACTGATCGTATCCACGTTAGCACGTACTAGCGACACAATGTGACGCAATTGGATGCAAGTCAACAATTCTCCAATCAGCCTCTCGACGTGTCTACCGCCGGGTTTGAAGTAAGATGGATACGTCCATAATGTACAGTACTACACGTACAGTACAATATCGTTTTGTGCTGTATACTGTACACTGTACACTGTACTGTACTGTACTGTATGGTATTGATTCGACGTTGCAAGCAGATAGGATGGCTAACGAAAGCAAGCCTGTGGTACAATGTACATTCGTACTGTAGAAGCGTAAAAGAGTGTTATCGATTTACTGTACTGTACAGTACTGTACAGTACATTCGTACTGTAGAAGCGTAAAAGAGTGTTATCGATTTAGAAGCACTGATACTGTACAGTAGGATGGCTAGCGAAAGCAAGCCTGTGGTACAATGTACTGTACATTCGTACTGTAGAAGCGTAAAAGAGTGTTATCGATTTACAGTAGAAGCACTGATACAGTAGGATGGCTAGCGAAAGCAAGCCTGTGGTACAATGTACAGTACATTCGTACTGTAGAAGCGTAAAAGAGTGTTATCGATTTAGAAGCACTGATACAGTAGGATGGCTAGCGAAAGCAAGCCTGTGGTACAATGTACTGTACATTCGTACTGTAGAAGCGTAAAAGAGTGTTATCGATTTAGAAGCACTGATACAGTAGGATGGCTAGCGAAAGCAAGCCTGTGGTACAATGTACTGTACATTCGTACTGTAGAAGCGTAAAAGAGTGTTATCGATTTAGAAGCACTGATACAGTAGGATGGCTAGCGAAAGCAAGCCTGTGGTACAATGTACTGTACATTCGTACTGTAGAAGCGTAAATCGATTTACTGTACCTGTACACTGTACTGTACAGTCGTAGAAGCGCCAGGGTGCTATCGATTAGAAGCACTGATAGTATCCACGTTACACCTACTAGCGACACAATGGACTATGTGACGCAATTCGATGCAAGTCAAGCAAGGTGGATACGTTCATAGGGCTCAGTACAGTACTGTACTGTACTACAGTACTACACTGTACAGTACTGTATCGTTCTGTACTGTATAGTGTACACTGTACACTGTACACTACTGGACTGTATGGTATTGATCAATCTTGATTTTGCAATGACCACAAATCCAAAATTTGCTTTATCAATCTCGCCATCCATCAATGCGTTAGTACAGTATCATGTCCTGTTGATAAAGGGGTGGAAAGCTTAGTTTAGCTGGAAATTGGCCATTGACATTCTAAGGGGAAAACTGTTTCTTGAATAGTCCTTGCTATAATATGATATATACAATACATGTGCAAGGGTATACACGTACAGTACAGCATATGCGTAATTGGCAACTAAAAGTAAATGGCCATTCTGTATAATAGAGCACGAGGACAATGATGTCAATATGTATGGAAAAAATTGTTGTAACTTTTATTTTCAATAGTACAAGCTGTTCAAATTGTAGCTCAAGATTCTCACTTTTGCTGTCATCATCCATTCAATATGATGTTGCAAACTACCTTGCTCATTTTAACATGTTCGTGATATACGATATTATAATTGACATTTCCATATTTAAGGAACTGATTCCTCCTATTCAAAATACCCAAATCATGATCATCAATCAAGTGTCTACGATTGTACGTTTACAATGCAGTAAAACAGTAAATGAAATAGCACAACAGAATCAATCTAATCTTAATATACTCTGAATGCTATTTCTCACATTTCCGTAACACTTGCTCGTCCAGTTTATAATATCACTACTTTATTAACGACCAATATTGTACCTGACTTTGGTACTGTATGGAATTACCGGTTACTCAATGCGACACCTACAAAGATATCAATTTACAAATTCACATAGTATCAACGAGGATACTCTACTTTGCACACTTACAACGATATACTGCATTGAAATTGATCAACTGCATATGTGCTAAGTTCCGCATGAACCATTCTTGATACTTGTAATGGCGTATATTTTACTTCTGTGATCGAGATCATTTGATTGCATGGAAAACATGAATTTTTGTTCGCGTGCACTCATGATTATAATATACGCTTCATTCTTTCTAAACTGTAAAATTTCTTAGTTTATACAATATATGACAGCACTGTAGTATGTTAGAAATAAGGTAATGATCGTCTGTCTACTCACAGTGCTGAAATCATAATTAGTTTTACTTACATAATAAATAGAAACGCATTTATACAAAATTGAATAATTTATAAATTAAGATTGAAGATTAATAGACTGTCAAATCGCAAGAAATGCAACAACACAGTATACTTGGAATAAATGAAGTGATTAAAATAGTTTTTATATGTCACTCTGGTAATAATCCAGAACTATGCTTGTAATGCTGTTGAATGAAATATCCTTTTTAATTCAGTTGTATGATATGCCACAATCTATAATATGTATCGTAGTAAAATCAGTTTTACACGTATGATTTAAATTTTCAGTAACAAATTATCTATTTGGCAATCAAGTTAGCAACTACACTCCAATATTTATTTATAGAATAATTTCGATCGTGAATATGGATACAAGAAGCTATACAATAGTGTACAGGAGTAAGAGTCTATCATATATGGTGCTATACGTTCTTGACTTACTGGAGGCATCATGATGAATAAATACATGTGTAAATTTAGCAGTCATGTTTACAACTTGTCCAGCTGTATCAGCAAGTCTGCTCAGCGTTAGCAGCATATTCCTGATCACTTAATGTGAACGTAATTTGTACAACACCTTCTAGTACGCATAAAAAAATGTCAAAGTAGTTTTGAATCACTAATCGAGAAGATTTCTTACAGTTAATATACTTCATTTCGCTTTAGATATTAATGTACAGTATGTACAGTTTTGTGATGAACACAGTAAAATTATCTCTTCGAGTTGATAAAATAGTCTTTATAAATATAAATGATAGCTGCTTTTTAAAGATTTACTAGATAAAACAGAAAAGAATGATCATTGAGGATTTGCATGAAATATTTAACCAATTCATTTTACAGTGATTTCGTCAGCTTAACTGAAACCAATAGATTAAGTAGGTGAATCCGATATGTTAGAGGAATGCAACACCATCATGTAAGATTTATGTATATCCCATGCTAACAGGCCCAAGAATAGGACTTGATGTTGACGTATTAATACCAGTACAATTTCAACAGGCTGATTTTAGACATTCTATATACAAAAAAGTGATTTTGTACGGCCCCCCCCCCAAATCGACATTTAAACTCCAAATTGGACAGTTAATCCTTACAACAGGACTTGATGACATACATCTGCATTAATAAAATCAAGGGGATAGCAGTGACGGTGTAAGCTGTCTTTGCACCTTCCAATCGTTGCACCAATAAGATTTTAAAAATCAACATTAACATATACATACTACAGTTAAAGAGGGCGGTATAAATTCCTTTACGCACGTTGCAAGAAGTGCTAATAAAATATCGAATAAAGACGATAGCTGCAAAATAAGCAGCAAGGCCATCCGCAGCGAACATAGGAGCAAAAACGACGTACCATGACAAATTAGCAACACTTTCAACTTTTATGGCCAATAATATAGAGAAAAAGAGCGAGCCAAAGGTGAAAATGAGTATTTGTAAAATTGATATTCCTAGTACCTTTACTAGTTCTTGGTATGTGAGTAACATCGTGAAATAAAACCACCTATACAAGTATTGTGCATTCCAAGTAACGAGAATTTGTGATCCTTCGAAAATGGATCAAAAACTGAGACGATGACGTTGTTGTTATCAATTGAATTTTTACTTCAAAGGCCAAATTTTTGGTATACTATACGTTTATACGTTTACGGATGACAAGTTTCTTGAAATGAGCGCGTGATCAATTTGAGTTCGAAATCATTGGAGGCACTAATGTGCAATTTTATCATTTATTCTCTCATTTTACGGCTATCGTTGTTCTGCAAACGAAGCATTTCCAACCAAACCTTGAGCAGGTACAATAATAAAGTGATTTCAAAGTACGTAGGGCGAGAAGTTGTTGCTGTTTACCCATGAAATGAGAACTACTATATCAGGCAGTTCTGAGTGTAGAAAGTAAATTAAAACTAGCTCCGAAGTTCATAGCGTTTAATATGCTAATTACAATTATGGACCGACTCTATTTGGTAGTATACTATAAGCACTAAGCAGAGTGGCGTTCTCTCTAGGCTAGGATAGCATGTCAGATTGATTGAGTTAGCTCTTTACTATGGGTTATAAGCGCTGGTTTCTGCACCGCTACAGGATGTACTCTGCCAGTGTACAGGACAGAACTCAGTCAAGCGCCACAGCCAGCATTACGGTATCGCTGCATATCGTCATAGTGAGTAGTAAGTAATTGGAATTAGGAAGTTTTGCAGACACGAGCATTTAGCGGATACTATACTACTGATTGTAGATCCATCATCATTGGAATGATTTTCCAGCCCTGACGATGCTTGTTGGCACTCTTCTTCTTCAATTCATATAGTACTATACACTAAGTGTTGTAGTTATACGCTTTCATTTCCAAGATACAAGAATTAAGGTTCAAGATGAAAACTCAGGAATTGCTGACATTACAGGGCCTACACCAATATCTAAAAAGTTTACCTGCGATCATTTTGGATAAACTCTACAATCATCCTGCAGCATGTTTAGCTACTTTTCGGTATGTTTTCTTGATAGCTATAGCAAGCAAATGTATAAATTTGCTGTATTGCACTCTACTCGACTGTCTACTTTGTGCTATTATGGAATGCAGACAGTTGTTATACTGTACAGTCATGCTAAGGATAATACTGTATTGATTGCCTTCTACACGTATTATGTATATCTAGTTTCCTGTTGCGGTCCACTATTTCTAGACTTCGTTTACTTCCAATCTAGCACTAGCGTACAATATGCAAGCTCATTGCAATGGACGGACATGTCTTGATATTGAATGACACTATACACAATTCTCAATTGCCAATATAACCTGTATTAATTAATCAAGTGAATATTACCATCTCATAGAGAATTGTCGCAGCTAGCCAAGCACTACGTCATGAGGACGTTATTTACCATACAAGCAATACCGACTAGCACTATTTCTGCTTGGGTAAACAGTCAACACCAAAAGTAAGTTTTCAATCATGAGTAATGCGTAAATAGACAGAAAACGAGTTACTGCTGTGATAAATTCGAAAAGGATTGAATGTTACAGTTCTTACGTCTAAGTGCAGCTATCTCCATCTCAATACTTCTTAAATCTGAATACTTAGAGAACATCAAGCAGCTCTTAATCAGTTGACGGAAATTCGTATTTGGCAAAGTCACACTTTACCGGGCGGGATGCAAGGCATCAAATTAAATGAATCATTTCGAGCTAATTTAAAAACTGCGCTTTGCGGAGGGTAGGTTGATAGCATTCAATTTGAATGCAGTGAATCTTTATTCTATTACAGTTCCTTGTGAAAATGATAAGATATTGTAAACATGCAGATTCAAGTTAATAATTTCATTTAAAGATAAAAGCTTCACTGTCTGTGTAACTGGTAAGCTTAAGCGCTTAACATTTCCAATAGTTTCTTATTACTATACTTTGCTGTTTCATCATGATTTTGTGATATACGCGAATATAGCGGTGAATCATGGTATGGACCACAACTATCGAAAGCAGATAAATATCAGTTTACATCTGAAGCATTGGATCTAAAATCAAAAGAGCGATGGGAAGTATGTCATCCAATTAAAACTACTTTGTTTTATTGTGGTGTTGCATCACGTTCTACTCATATAATTTGTACAATATACTGACTGTATTTATGGCTGATTTTATAATAACAATTTTTATTGTTAGTGCGTCCTACATTATTTAGTTGGTGCCGGTGAGGACTTGGCTCTTAGTGGCGAAATTCAATCGTTGCTTAATAACTGTGGCCTGGTTAGCAAGTAAGCACAACTTTGGTTATTAAGTTTCAATTGATACCTACTCAAGCTCTGCCAATTTCATGTTTAGTTTATCTGAAATTTTAATATATATAGAAATGGTATTACGGCGGCCGGATTTCAATTTTTGCTGCTAGATAGACCTTCTCAAGTATGGTACATCTTATTGCAATACTTAGATTCAGCTGAAGTAAGTTAAATATAAAAAATTTACATCAAAATTTTTATCTCAGTAACGCCGTTATACGCATATATGTTAAAAATTGAATTATCTCATAATAGTCTCTTGGGATGGATCTTGTTGAAATTTTATCATTTTTGTTCCAGTTAAGCTACTCTACTTTTGGTCAGGTTGGTCTTGAAATCGATACTTTGTAATTGTAGTAGTGAACACTTTATAATGCACGATATATATTTTCTACTCATAATCTCGATTAGAATTACTCGACAGAAGGTTTAACACAAACTCAGTTGACATGTTTGCAACATATGCGCGAAATTGGCTTAGTTGTACAACGTAAGGTATGGTAAAAATCTTTCAGAATTTTTTTAGCATTGGAAGGAGTTTTTCATTGCAAACTTTTGTATGACGTATGATTGCTTTTTACAGAGGAAAGATATGAAATTTTATCCAACGCAACTAGCAATCAATTTGGCTTCCGGTAATAAAATTTATTACTTCATTGTTACTAGTAGGATTGATAATTTCTATCCTGTAAGTGTAAGTTGTTAGACAAAGAAATTAGTGAAATAATAGATTATACTATTTGGATAACAGGTGCAAAGCAAGAGGAGCTGGATCATTCAAAATCGTCTGGTTACATTATTGTTGAAACAAATTATCGTCTATATGCATACACAGGTTTGATCAATATATTGAGATTATCAGTTAGTTAATTAGCCCTGCAATACGATTGAAATATATCTTCAAAATGTAAATTCTTAGAATCTCCTCTTGATATTGCCTTGGTGGCGCTATTTTGCGAAATGATGTACCGGTAAGTTTGAGACAGTAGTGTGTATATGCAACACTATAAAATATTTAGTGTTAAAGTTGAACACTTTTCATTTAATTAGACTGCCCGGCCTATGTGTGGGCTTAATAACCAGAGAAAGTGTACAACAGGTAAATACATAAAGTCGATAGGATATCTTTATATTGAATTCTGTTTACTGATTTTAATCATTTCCTTAGGCGTTTACAAATGGTATCACAGCTAATAAAGTATGTCTTGTAAATTCGTAAAAATAAGAGAACAATGATGTGTAAATACGTTGTTTCGACAGTATGCTTATATATTCTTCCTTTATTCTTTTACTCTAGATCATCAATTTTATTCGAACCCACGCTCATCCAGAAGCCAAGAAAAAGGTAACTGTAATCATGTGTTGAATTGAATGCGTAGGGATTAGTGCCATAGTTTCATTTTAGCGATTGATAAAGTATTAGAAGTTACTAAAAATTAACAATAGTGTTATGCCATGCATAGACCCCAATTGTTCCTTCAACAATTATTGATCAACTATATCTATGGGAATTGGAACGTGGTAGATTATCTTGTTCTGATGGTGAGAATTGGAATGAATTTCGTTTTAATGGCTGTTATATTACTATTTATTTATTAAACTAAAACTTCAGCTAATGTTATCCTTTGCATAAATAATTGATTAGGAGTGCTTTATAATCAGATCTTATCTTCATCTGATTTCGAGGCGCTACGAAAGTACGCAGATGTAAGTTCTATCTAATTTATTCTCCTTCAGAAATGCTACTATACATTGACAGTATATTTGCTATCACTACTATAGAGCTAATATAAGGTATATTTGCCTCTAGGATATGGGTGTTCTATTGTGGGCTAGTCCTGCAAAGCGGTTACTGGTCGTGAATCGTGACGGACATAATCATGTTAAGCACTTCTGGAAGCGTAATAAACAAAAAGATTGATCCAGAGGCTGTTATTTTGTAATTATCTAGAATGTTCATATTAAATATTGACTATATTATTTTCAGTTAGTAAGTATTTATTTAATTATACATTACAGGTACAGGATTGTAGACTGATGATATGGTATACTGTATGTTAGTTAAATTACTGGCCCTTAGTTAGACATTAACCAAATTTCATTTTAAAGATGAAAGTTAAAATATATATGTCATAAGTAACTTTGGATAGTTGTGGTATGTGATATCACGTTTGTAATAAATAAAATTTCAAATTCATCGCAAATACGAAGAACATTCATTTGACTGCACTCTGGGATACGTCAACTCATTATCATAATATACGCGACATTGCATGACCGTGCCATGGACACAAAATGTTCTCTCGCAGTACAGTAAAAAGAACAGCTAAAAGAATAATTTGGATTGGTATTTCGAATCGCCATCCACTGTATTATATTTATCGAGCGAGGGGTATACTAGTAATAATAATTATAATTAGTAATCCAATAAATATTCACAACCTGCTCCTATTTTGGAATCGTACAGTATTGTACTATATTACTGCAATCAGTACTGTACGTGCAATGCACATGATTATCATACTCTGCAACACTGCACTGGCTGTGTATACGGACAGTACGGTAGATTGGACACTGCACTTATGTACTGATTTCGTTATTCGTGAACATGACTCATAGTGAACCTTAGGTCTGTTTTAGTAATACTGGAAACCGTATGCTTTGTATGGAAAATGATGTAATACAGTCAAATACTATACAGTGTACGGTAAAGACCCTTGGTATCCCGTATTGTACTGTACAAAATCGCCAGAATTACGTCGACATTTCTGGAGAATAATGTGCGGAAAGAACGAGCACAAGCCTTGCGGAGATAGCAACATGTCAGATGAGGAAAATCAAAGCGTTGAACAAGATGAGAATGTTATTATTGATCCAATAGGTACCGTATCTTTGTACTGCATGCTATATTAGTTTGAGTGAACTAGTGTTACAAACTACAGTATATATCAATTCATCACTAAATTTCGCAATCCGAGAGACAATTACAGTAGATTTTTTCCATCGAAAGTATTACAAAAAATCGTATAGCGCAACAAAAATCTAGCACATAATCGCTCGTTTCTATCATGTACTTGCCTCCAGAATGTGTTATGTAGTGATTCATATAATGTACAGTTTCTATCACAAGCTAGGCTACCAAGCTGTTTTGCTACCATATGTTGCCAAACTTACGGATTAACTGATCTTTTATAGACTTGCTATTAGTGAGAGAGAGAGATGGCTTCCATCGATAATATCATACGACATAAATTTTGACCTGTCTTGGCTGTATTGTATATATATACAGCATATATCCGTAACATACTCGTATACAGTGAATGATTAGAACGATAACCGAATTTGTACGCTGATTGATGATTGATGTTATTGCACTCGACAGTCACACTGAGTCACTTACTGTTATTTACTATTAGTAAGATTACTGAGATATAAGATATGTACTCGTATAGTTTTTGCCTATTTATAGATATCATACGATTAAATGGCCTACTTGTCTTGGCTATATATTCAGCGAACAATTAGATGATAAAATAGAAATGTTATATAGCTATAACTAATTTTGCACCATAATAGAGCACCAGAAATTTTTTATTATGAAATATAGTATTTAAAAGCGTAGTATTCACGCTTATGACGCTTCTAGAAATGCTTGATGTGTAGAATAATATTTGGATTTAATGATATCATAGGATCACGAATCTAATCAGCTGATAGTAGTAATCAGTAAAGCATTACAATATCACAATTGTAGGAGTAATAATTATTTTAATTTTATACTTTAAGCGGTGGCAGGAGAAATTGAAGAATTGGATCAAACCATTGACAACCTCAATTCTTGCTTGGATCATTTAGAGTCTTGGAGTGATTCATTAAACTCTAAGATGCGAGAATTTATAGAAACTATGCGAAAAGATAGGGAAGAACGCCAAAATCAAGTACCAACTGAGCATTTACAAGATTTAAACTTGAAATCTCAATCAAAAACTCCGGATGCAAAAAATTCATGATTCCGTTGATAAGGACCAAATTAAAATTTTCTCGATATTCTGAATTAAAACAGATACGACCTGTAGCTAGTCGCTAATGGTAGCTATATAATGTTTACAGACGCAATAGGGTTTGTGTTATTGGTAGGGTTAAAATTACGGTTATGGCTACATTTGTTATTACCTTAAGGTATCCTTACATAAAAGACGTAAAATTTAATTAGTAAGACCCTATAAAGCAGTACCATGGGGGTAATAATATTAGTTCGGCGTATGCAAGATTGCAGATCACTCTAGATTTATTATTTTTAAGATCTATCCGTACACTAATTCGCATTGTCAACCTATTCTAAATCGGCGCTATACGAAATTCGGATATATTCTATTGTAAATAATCTCGGATTTACGATAATCATAACTATAAATTGATGTAATTGCTTCTGTCTTGAAATTAAGTTTAGCAATCATCTATTTTTATTACTTTGCTTAGTAAATATACTGTATTTCTTAAATCTTACTGCTCGTATTTATATTTTTAGTCTGTCTAAACGCCAATACCGTATTTAAATCTATGCTATATTGTATAGTACGTTGCTCAAAATCTTAAATTTTACTTGATAATACTTATGTGTATAGAAGAAAAGAGAACACAGTTTAGAATTTGAGTACTGGCGATGGGTATCGTGCAGTACTCTGCAATTTACCCTTTGGATTAATTCCTTCTTTCAGCTGCCTAATACTAGTGATGCTATAAAATATCAGATATACCCAATACTTTTATATTTTCGCTTGAAGTAAAAGTATTTGTACATAGAACATACATTCACGATGGCATTATAAAGATAACAGAAAATAAAGAAAGTTGAATGTGATCTTATGTACTGTACGCGTATCTATTTCTTTGCTAATTGTGTTGTTTGTCTTCTAAGCTGTAAATGTAATTGTTTGTAGCTACGTAGTGCTGTTGTCGATGCAGCATGAGTAAGACATTATCAATCTCTTTTAGTAGTACTGTCATGTGGTTACTGTTTGAAATTTCTGACAGTTAATAGAGTAAATCTACTTATTACTGGTATAGATGGAATAAATAGGATCTATGTCATGGTATCATTAATGATTTACTGTTTTTATCTTAACAGTACAGTAATAGTGAATACCGGTGAATGGTGATATCAACTGCTTAGCTAATTGTGTGCTATTACACGCAATATTTAATGATTGCTTTTACTGAAACAGAGTCTAGGTCAAACAAGGATCATCAGGCTAGAATTCAAATTATTTTTAAGAGTTACTGCGTAAAATATATAGTAACATAGAATAAGAGGTAGCTTGATTACATAAGCTGCATGAACACAGCTTACGTATAATCTTATAAGAGTTATTAAATTAGCATTGATCTTTATCGAAATTTTTACTTAGCTGAAATTGTAGACAGACATTAAGGCCAAGATAATATACAAATAATTTCATTACACTGGTTCGAAAGATGATTTAATTATGCCTAATACGTATGACAGTTCGAGGGTATACAGTAATCCGAAGAAACAATACATAGTATAATATTTATAACAATATATGCTCAATGTTATAAAAATTGTCCAAAGTTTATTAATGCTCAGTAAAAGTATTTTAACTATTAAGTTTTATAATAAAATTGCAACTGAGAAAATGTTTCATTTACTTTAAAGCAAGTTACAGATTGCGAATGACATAAATTTTCTATTTCTGTACACAAAAGTATTTGAATATAAGAGTATTCGTACACTAGGTAAATAGTCAAATTTTGAACTATTGAAGGCTATCTCAACGAGCTTTCTTCTGTTGCTTTTTGAAAGTTATGCCATCACCTTCTAATCCTGAGGACATTAAAGGATTAATGAAACAAATCCACCAATACTTTCCAAATACAACAGCTAAGTTTTCGGTTACTGACAAGCGGTAGCTAAAGTCGTTGGTAGCAGCTTCTTTCCAGGTTTGCCCATTTAATACCAAGTGCATTTCATAATATACCAGGCCTCCAATACTGATAGTAGCTGTTAAAGGTAAGGCACAAAAAAATCCGGCTAGTGCTTCGTACGAAGTAGAATACCCTATGAGCCAAGCTGGGAGAGGCATAAAACAAGCTATCAAACGACCGAGGGTAAATCCGTTATACACCTCTGATGCGAAGGTAAAATTGACAATCGTTGCATACAATACACCGAAGAAAAGGTAGATAATTGAAACAACAAAGTATCGATGATTTTTTAAGCCAATACACATTGAAAAGAAAAAACAATGATGATCTCGTTTAAGGATGCAAATATTGCATTTATAACAGTGAGATGCACGCGGAGGGACATTCCAACCGCAATCAGCGCAATGTTTCCAGCCAGGTTTAAGAGTAGCAGGCAGGATTATGTTACTAGGTGAACTATCAACATATAAAACCATAAAGATGTTGATATAGATATGAACAGCTAAAAAGCTTAGCCAGAGTAAATGTAATAGAAAAGGAGTATCAATGAAAGGATACCATACCACTACTACATGTACTTCGTAAAGGATTATAATAGTAATTAAAAAGTAGGTTAAAATTATTGTTGACCACGATAACTGATAATTGAATTGACGATTTATTCTAGAAATTAATGATGCCATGGTACAACCAGTATTGGATATTGAGAAATACAACAGTCAGGTACAATTCGATTTTAGGACGGATTCTCTGGAAATTAAGCAGGAAATATGTAAAAATATTAATTAACCGATTCCCTGTAACCTTAAATCTTACTATTTGTTGTAAATTAAGGTCATGGGCTCATAGCCATAGTATGTCCAAGAATGCTATACGACAAAGTTGTGCATTGCAAGTTGTAATGACTTTCGCTTCTTGTTGGACCTATAGTACTGCAGGTATACAGTACTATACAGTACAGTACAGTATAGTACCAGGCTTGCCTCGAAATCGAGGTAAAGCAGAACTACATACAGTACGTACAGTACAGTATACTGTACCGTGTAGAGTACTGCACTGTACACTAAAATCCCCTCTGAGGTTTGTACTGTAGACTGCAGAAGGTGTACAGTACTGTACTCTACCCTTGTATTTATTTATATTTTATCCGTGTAGCACTTACTGTACAGTTCTGTGTTTCTTCATTGAGCTAGTCAATTAAGAAATTCAGTTCTACTGCAATCTTCTTACTGTCTTCCATGTGCACGGTTATCACTTCGTTACTTGTTTCTAAGAAGTTGATTCTCCTCTTAATTTTCATCTCCCATACTGTACTGTGCCACAGCTAAACGTTCTTCCACGGTACAGACATACAGACAGTAAGATTGCATGTATAGTCGTTCAATAGCCAAGCATGCGTAGTGAGAAACGCATTGCTATGGTAACGATAAGGTAAAGTATACAAACACTCGCATCATCAGTTGCAATCCATAATACTATACTTATCAGTAATCTTGATCGATTTATCAATTCAGTCAGCAGCATTAGGCTATGGCTACAACAACAGCTAGAGCATAGTACAATATATACTGTGGATAGCAACCTAAAATGATTTTTGCATCTGTCTGCCAAGTGCACAATACAGCCTGCAGCTTCTCTCAATTTTCCTACTGTGGTCACGTTAACTACGGCATACCGATTAATTAATTGTAAAAGGAATAAAGAAAGTGCGTAGCGTAACAACGGTAGTGAATGTGTATTAATTTAAATAAATAAATAGTAGGCACATACACAACACGGCAACACAGCAACTGTAACAGTATTGACTATAAAATTTGAACGCGAAGTATATTGCGTATTAGAGTATATCATTTGTCTGTTTTCAGATACTAGGGTATATGAGTAGTAGTGCATTATTCGTATTTCTGATATTGATATCACATATACCTTGGACACCCAAAGCACTTGATGCAAATACTGTAACATCGTAGCAACCGTCATCGACGAGATAAGTTGTGTTCTGTATCAGATCTTGGCGATAGAGTACAGATACAGAAAGTAGCAGTTTAAATTTCTTATCAGGCGATCAAATCAAGTCGAAGATTTTAAAGCATGACTTCCGAAGATGCAAAGAAATATTTACAATCTAAGAAGATTCCTCAGCTATTCGAGGTTCGAACAAAAATCTTCCTGTTAATATGTTAAATACAAGTAAATACCGTACTTCCTACTAATTTCTGTTAAGTTAAGCTAGCAAGTCATAATCGAATAAAATATAACATTATAATATTCGCATCATTTATAAATTTTTATCGTCCATTTATACCACATAATGAAGATTATAAATATTGGACCTACGTGTGTACTAGTACTTCGTCATACGTACGCTAAATTTCGCTTTGTAATTTCACCCTGCTTTGCAACCTACTAAAGCTGAAATTATGATCGTAACTATTTCTCTGATCAATATAATAAATGGGCAATTGAATAGTTTAGCAAAGTGAAATGCAGTCTGAGCTCAAATATTTAAAATTGATAATGCAAGAAACTATAGATCGTCTAGGTTTATTAATGCAATCATTTTTTCTATCAGAATCAAAGTTATTACATTCGCTGTTCTCATAACTATATCATGTATACTATAATTTCGATTATCGTGACAATTTTCTGAAAATGATGTCTCCTTTTAATCTTTAAGCAATACAAAACAAAGTGTTTCATAACAATATATGATCCGTACGTATCATTTATGGCAATTTAGTCGCACTTTGTGCCACGGATCCAAATTTTGTTGAACCGCAGTACTAACCAACAGCCACATTCTGTACTATTGATATCAATAATAATTTACAAGCACAATTATATTCATTAGTCTACGGATGCTGCATGATTAGTAAGTACAAATGAAGCAAAAAGAAATATGCATTAGATATAAGGATGATGCATAACAATTTAGCTTGATAGACTTTATACGTATGATATTGAAGTCAATTAAAATACTGAAGCCTTGTAAGCAGAAAACTTATGACAACGCCTATACTGCATTTTATGTGATGAAAGCATAAACCTTTAAAAAATAGTAGACTCTATAAAAATTAAGCTTTCATAAAGCTTTATAACATACATCTCTAACTTGCTAAAAAACTTTCGCAATTTTCAATCTATACATGAAAGTTCTTTATAAATCTATAAATTAAACTTATTATTTAGCTCATGAACGGCGAGTCAACTAGCTCTTGAGATATTACATTAATAGATGAGCTTAGTTAGCTTTGAATATTTTTCAAATATCTGATACTATCAATCCATTCATTGACTCTATATTAAATTCATACTGATAATCGTCATTGCTTTCCTAACGCGATTAGAGCTTATTAGCTGGGTTGATGTACAATCGTCCAACCAATCATGTTGATTTTTTATCGGATTGTTTGGAGAAAATAAAAGATGACCGTGAAAAGGACTTACAGTGGAGCTCTTTTCTTAAGCCTTTACCTAATATCGAAAGAGGAAAAGGCGGAAACCTAAGTGAACCATTTAATGGAAATGATGCTGATCTGATGTTCGAAACTGAAGCACCATATTTAGATATGAAAGGAAAAGAGCCACTACCACCTATTTCTAAAAGTTTCCCGAAAACCAAAGATACAACATATATATTTGTTCAGGGTAGGGATTTCTTTGAATCGGTATAGTCGTACATCACTATATTCCTAATCATAACCCACAATGCTATATGGTAATTTAGGAGGCCCTGGATCAGGAAAGAGAGAAGTTTGCAAAGGTATTGAAGATCGTTTTGGACTTACGTATCTGTCAATTGGTGATATCATGCGGGAAGAAGTAGAAAAAAAATCAGAAGCTGGTATCATTATTAAAGAAGCCATGAAGAATGGCTTACTAGTTCCGCAGGTGATGGATGATTCAAACATTCGCATGACATAATTTTCTTGTGAACTATATTAATATGTTAAGCAATCATTTTAGTATTCTATGAAATTAAAAATTGTCTCGGTTGTAGTAAAATGCAGGAAATCAACATTTCATAGCTATTTCATTTCATAAGCTTTAATTGGCATTTAACAACTTCACTAACGGTAGTATGTTTATTTCTTACTTTTACATTTTACAGTATGTTGTTATTGAAATTCTTGAAGACGTAATGCTGAAACTATACAATGACCAGGGCTATGTTATTGAAGGATTTCCAAGAGATTTGAGTCAAGCAAAACAATTTGAGTTGGAAGTAAGGGACTACTATGGATTAAACTAAAATAATGTCATTTTATTAGCTAGCATTTGTCGAGCAATCGGTTCTGTTCATCTTTTTTAAGGTTGGGGAATGTGCATTCTTAATAGATCTGAAATCAGATCCTGAAAGAATGCAAAGACGCCTTGAAAGGAGAGTGAAATTCAATGATAGATTAGACGACTCTGTGGATAATATTAAACGTAAATTGGACCTCTATGATCAATTTACTGTCCCCGTGATCAACTACTATAATTCATTAGGAAAAGTTAGACAGGTTAGAACTAGTTCTCGGATGACAGTAATGAAATCCAAACTAAATTTTAATCTTTATAGTTGTTATTGCATATTCTGGTAGATATCATTAAAATAAACAATATTTCGCACTAAAATTTGCGATTAGGTGGACGTCGATCGTGATATCGATGATGTTATCGAAGATATTGCTAATATTGTTATGGCGGAGCCAACATGTGCAGCGATCGCAGCTACGGCACTCATCAATTCCCTGGATACAAATGTAATGGAAGATTCCCCGCATGAAGCTGCAGTAACTGAAGATAAAATATTAAGTGAACCTGATGGCAAACTTTCTCCTGATCTTCAACCTTCCAATTTAAATGGTAATCCAATGTATAATTATAGGATAAGTCGGTAAAAATAGACAATACAGTGTCTAATGTCTATGAGTATCGTACCGGGAGATGCTGTTCGTAGGATTTCTTTAGGCAGAGCTTGTACGAGGCAGTACCTCTTTCCTTAAAGTCTAATCGATACTAGCATACACACATTTCAATCGTTAATAGTAATCATTTTAAGATAAATTACTCATGATAACTCATATAAGATGCTATTAAATATACATAATCTATGTGTATATAATGTAAGGATAACATCATTCGGTGATGAAATAAGATTCATAGATTTGCGGTAAACGATATACGGTGTTGGGTAGCTTCCGATTTTATTGCCTAGCCATATTCATATTACTGTACATACGAGCGCATATATATATATATATATATATATGATGTGTATAGAATTTGATTGATATGCTAAAATATAATATCTTATAAATTATAGGGCATGACACAACAATGGCATCTGCAGAAGAGATGGTCATTCCGGAACAAAGAGATCTTATTGGTGGCGATACCGGACGATCGCTAGACGTTAGTATTTTAGTATTTCCATTCTTAAGTAGAGTATCATGGAATACCTATGCCCTATAGAATTAAATAATAATCTCATTTATGGCGGCATTTTGTTATTCTTCTAAGAAATTAATGATCCCTAAATTATATGATATGTCTGTACAGGAGATAATGGCAGAAGGGGCAGAACCCAAGATCGAACCGTCCGCACCAGAAGAGACTACTTTGGTGGCTAATTCCGTAACTGGAGATAACATGGAGACTTCACAAGTTCGTTTATGAGAATATTCTTACCGCTATTTGAATCTCGCCGTAAATTTTAAATTCTTAAATTATGCCTTGGTAGTACAATATAGAATAAATTTACAGCACAAATATTCAATATTTCATCATCCGCGTATTGCGGATGTTTATGTTTTACATTTATGCGATACAGTGTTTATCTGAATATGTACTGCTATGCTTACAGTATGTTAATTATATCTAGTACTACCGATATACTTTAAAATGCAGGATATAATATCAATCAAATTAGGGATTATCATGCTCATAAATAGAATAAGCCCATTTCATCTTGAATGATAAACACAAATCTAGATCCAATATACTGTATATTATTATTATTTAACAACCAACAATATTGGCATGGATTCACTATACACTGTATTGTAAAAATGACTGTAGGAAGAAGCAAAAGAAATGATATCGAATGAAGTCATGGAAGAAGAAATTGTTGCTGCAGAATCCAACGTACAAGGTGGTGAGGGCCGTCCATTAGAGGTACAGTACCGAAGCTTTCATACACGCTTGCAGTATAAAGTGTACAAATATGAGTATACAGTATGTTATACGTCCGTAAAGTTTTTCACGACATACAGTATGTAGTCTACTGTAGACGTAGACTAGGAGTGCATCAATGACATAGTAAGTAGTTACAGCAGCTCAAGCACAGTTAGATTTCAATCTGTACCCGATACAGTAGTAACTAACTTGAATAGCAAGCGGACTACGAATGGAGTTTACTGATTACTGTAGTCTACCCTCAGGCATACAGCTAGAGCATAAGATTTCAGTAATGCATGAGAATTGAACATCAAGAATGACATTAGCACGTAATCTCGCATATAGCTGGCAGTATGGCATACTAATGCCATTGCCTTTGCCATTGCCCTATGCCATTGCCCTATGCCATTGCCCTATGCCATTGCCCGATGCCGTTGCCCGATGCCATTGCCCGATGCCGTTGCCCTAAGCCATTGCCCTATGCCATTGCCCTATGCCATTGCCCGATGTCATTGCCCGATGCCGTTGCCCTAAGCCATTGCCCGATGCCATTGCTATTGTCTCGGTCCTACTGTATACCATTGTCGACACAACACTGGTCTAGACAATACAATAAAATCAAATCAAATCAATAATAATAAATAAGATATTTCGGAGCTGACATCCTACTGGAATACGAATTTGTAAATTTAGGAAGTGGTCGCAGAACAAGAAGCGAATGAGCAAACTTCGATGGAAAGAGAAAAGGAAATATTAGAATCTGCTAAAATCATCTTTATCATAGGTAAGAGGGTAGCGTGTAGTCTTGTAGTTTATATTGTGCAGTGTGCACTTCAGAAATACAATTTTTTTATTGCATACTGTACAAACTCGTATAGGGACTAGTTGTAGTATAGTACATCAGTACAGTATTTACTAAACTTTTTTTGTTATGCTGGACGATTTTGGAGATCACATTTAAGCTTCATGATCATTAGACCACAATAATACGTCATCAATAATGGAATGTTTGCTTCTTACTGTTGCCTGCTAGTCATGTAGCTTCTAATGCCGTATTATTTGAAAGTTTTTGGACTTGCGATAGAAATTTATAGCAAACAAAACCGTTTTATTTCCTTCGATTTAAAAAGGTGGTCCTGCCAGTGGTAAACGGACTCAAGCCACTCGTATTGTAGAGAAGTATGGTTACACTCATCTTTCGTACGGAGATCTGTTAAGAGCTGAGATAGAGCAACAATCCGAACGTGGTAGACTTTTGAAACAAAGTGCCGAACAAGGGCAATCTGCTTCTGATGTAGGTCATCTTTTTTTCCCCATTTTTATTGGATTAGTACATTAGTTGACGCCCAAACTGAGTAATTATTCCTTTATAACTCTGCTTTTCTATACAGGATATTATGGTAGATGTAATGCGAGATATAATATTGCAAAATCAGAATCCCAACGGTTACTTAATTTCTGGTTTCCCGTCACGATTGAGCCAGAGTGCAAAGTTTGAATCTGACATAGCTAGCTGCCAGATCGTGTTTTATCTCGATTGCTCAGATGATACTATGATTGAGCGACTAGCTAGCAGTAACGACGCAAACGATGAGGCCTTAAAGATTAGGCTAGGGACGTTCCGTGATTCCATTGAAGCTGTAACCGATTACTATCAGGATAAAGAAGTGCTAAACAAGGTATAACATGTGAACTGACTTACCCACATTTTAGTGAAAAAGTAATTGTTTTATTAATCCCTTATACGTGGGTCAATGAAAATGTTTCAGTAGATATGATTGAAATTAGCGAGTTAGTTTTTATGTGCATCATTTATAAAGCCGTCGATGCTGTAACTATTCCTAATACTACCTCGTAGATATCTGCTGAAGGTTCCCCTGATGAAGTTTTTACTGAAATCTGTAATTCGCTAAATGCTGAACCTGTTAAAGAGGTAGAAGAGACTAAAGAGACACAGGAAGATGTCTGGAAGCCTAATAATGTCATCTTTGTTATTGGTAACTTGTATTTACCTTAAATTTATATTTTAGTTACTTTTCTTAAAGTTATATAAATCAGCGATGACTTCTAGTCATTACTTTCTTTAATTAATCATACCTCTTCGTACTTATATATATATACTGATATGATATAGGTGGACCTGGATGCGGTAAAGGGACACAATGCAAGAATATTGTAGAAAAATATGGATTTGCTCATCTTTCTATAGGTGATTTGTTACGTGCTGAAGTCAAGAGTGGTTCTAAACGAGGAGAGCAATTAACTCAACTAATGGAAAAGGGAGAACTTGTATCAGATGTAATGCTAATACCAAAAACACTTTCTAATCAAACCATTGTTATCTACTTTACTATTATCGCACTAGCAATTTTAGCGTACCGTATAACTATTAAGGCCTTCCAGTACTTTTACTCTCACAATTACATAGTGGTGTTATACAGCTGATAGATAATGTCAGGAATTTGATTTACATATAATTCTTCAATTCTTTTTGACAAGTGCAAATTTTTGTAAATTTTATAGGATATTGTACTGGAATTGCTACGTGACGCGATATTTTCAATAAAGAACGAAAATGGTTACATAATTGATGGATACCCTAGGCAACTTAGTCAGGGAATTCAATTTGATTCCGATGTAACAGAGTGCCGAGCTATGCTTTATTTCGAATGCTCTGATGATACCATGATTTCGAGATTGTTAGAAAGAGCTAAAACATCTGGTCGCGTAGATGATAACGAGGAAACCATCAAATTACGACTAAAAACTTTTCATGAGTTGACACAGCCAGCCGTAGAACATTATCGTGATAGTGGAAAATTGATGACTGTAAGTGCAGTAGGTTGAATACTCTTTTTCATATACGCGCACGATATGTATGTACTGTGTAGGCACATCGTTTACATTATAACAGTAAAGATTAAATTCTTAACTGGATTTAAATTTGTTTACTTCTTGTGGGTTAAGGTTTCCGCTGAGGGAACTCCGGATGAAGTGTTTGTGGAAGTTTGCCAAGCTTTCGATAATCATCTGTGAGGGTACTCTTTCGAAAGGACTAATTGATGATACTCGTAGCAGCCAAAGACGATGTACTATGTATGATTATACGAATTCAATTACGAGCACATCATTAGTTGTTGATGAATTGATCATTTGATTCTTTTTGAAAGTAGACATTTTTTGTAAATATACATGCTATTACAAGATAATATGTATGTTTATACAGTACACTGTATAAGTTATTTGATATAATTACAGTACCCCGAATATGTTCTTTTTCGGTATTGGTAATGCTAAGTGGGAAAGTTCATTTTTTGCCATGAATTACGTCAATGTATTGGCCTGCATTTTTTCGTAGGCATATTCTACATCACTAGTAAATTTGTTTTCCATTCATGATTTAATTTTCTGTCGATCTGTCATAGGTACCAGCATAGTCTTTAACCATTTCAGTAATATCTAATGCTATTGTAGCTATTATCACCTTATTAGTAGTTCTATACGCGAATTCGTTGCGTAGATTTAGCAGGGTATATAACTATAGTATTATACGATTAAATATTATCGGGTTACGATCTTATGAAGAAGAAAATCTGAGTTAATTGAAGATAAAGTTTTCTTAGATGGTGATTTTACAAATGCTAAATAATCATGAATTACTTTACACATGAATCTTTACATACGATCGACTAGTTGTGTTTTAATGGTCATTGTATTTGCATGTATGAAACTAGGGCAATATTCATTAGTACATCAAACCTCCAAGTCTATATAGATTGGAACTTAACATTTTATCTCAATTTTTAAGGAAACATTTAATATGTGATCTCCTCTACAATATTACTTTTATCTGTATTTTGTAATAAAAATATGGTACGCGTAAATACCTCATCGATGGTTGATTATAATTACATATTAAGTGCTTGTATAGAGTAAGCCTTGTTAATTCATTAGAATGATCATTTTTAAGATTGTACATAATTATGGCAATTTGCGTAGTAAGACGGTAGTAAAAAGTCTTGGCGCACTTTATTTCTTCTAGTCGAAGCAGTGCAGCAGTGTATGCCAGTCCCTATTTAAGTTGTTTAGCGATTTTAGTACAAGCAGCAGCATTCAGGTTCAGCACGATACAAATTCTCATAACCGGTTATCCTTTTAATCATTTACGACTTTTTTTGACAGTTTTAAGATAGCACTGATCCAATACACCATATGATGTGCCGTCCATGTCAATCGATCTAGTACTTGAAGTTGCAGTACTAAATCAATGAATCCTACACATTATGATATAGTCCCACTGTATAGTGGGCGAAATCAATTTTTTATTTTTTTATTTACGAGACGTCTGATCGTGTCTGGGAAAAGGGGAAAAGTCTGTAAATGCTCATTCACAGTCATGCATCTGCATACAATAACCTTTACAATATTAATACTATAATTCATGAAGTCCACTGAAGAAGTAGAGTACTCAATACTGTATAGTACTGTACATAGTATTCCTAGACGAAAATTGAGTATTTTTTTCAATATTTCTCAAGCATAAGCTACAAAAAAGATATCATTCTATAGCCTATTAAATTGCGTAATTCAATATTTTATCGGGCGTTTTTTAGTTATCCTTGTCCAAAATGGAAAATTGAGTATTTGCTTTAATATTTCTCGAGCATAAGCTACCTAAAAGATATCATTTTATAGCACATTAAATTGTGTAATTCATTATTTTATCGGGTGTTTTTTAGTTATCCTTGTCCAAAATCGAACACTAGTTAGTGTCATTGAAAGTTAATGTTTACTTGGAGGGCAGTATTATTCTACTTAAAAATGGCCAAATTTCATACACGTTAACCTTTTTTTTCGGTCTGTGCTATCCAAGAATAGGATTAATTTCCCAATTTTATGTTATAAAGGTATTTAGTACGCGTATAATGCATCAGTATAATAGTTTACTTTCAACGAAGTAGTTTAATTTATGAAAAAATAGAGAGAACTTTCAATATCTGTATGACCAAAGGGGTACCGTGGTGGTACATCGAATGGGGGGATATCTGACTATGAAGCAGTAGCAACACGCAGTGTACTGTTCTTCCGGGGTATACTTATTGACGCATCGATCACGAGCGCACCGTCATATTGAATTCTATAATTACTACTCGATCGATCGTAATCTATGCGTCAATAAGTATCACCAAAAAAACAAACAACATCAGTGCATCACCACAAGGATAAGAGCCGCCCCAAAGTAGAGATTGTCCCGTTTAGGGCGCTGACCAGTCACCAGGTAATTGTACTTCCAGTACAGTACAATTACCTACAGTACGACAGTGCATCGTACTGTATGAAGGTGGAACACACTCTTTACTGTACTGTACTGTACAGTACGTCAAAATAGGGTCCAGCGGTCTACAGTAAAGTTTTTCTGAATCAGCGCGGACTTGTGCAGTCGCAATGCAGTCCCAATGCAGTCCCAATGCAGTCCCAATGCAGTCCCAATGCAGTCCCAATGCAGTCCCAATGCAGTCCCAATGCAGTCCCAATGCAGTCCCAATGCAGTCCCAATGCAGTCCCAATGCAGTCCCAATGCAGTCTCAATGCAGTCCCAATGCAGTCCCAATGCAGTCCCAATGCAGTCCCAATGCAGTCTCAATGCAGTCCCAATGCAGTCCCAATGCAGTCCCAATGCAGTCTCAATGCAGTCTCAATGCAGTCTCAATGCGGTCTCAAATTCTCAATACAGTCTCAATGCAGTCCCAATGCAGTCTCAATGCAGTCCCAATGCAGTCCCAACACAGTACCAGTACAGTACCAGTACAGTACCAGTACGATACGGTACCGCATGTTGCAAAGTGATCCAACGTGATTCGGTAAATAAATAACCGTAAACAAATATATTATTGTAGTTGCCTTGTAAGAATTTATAGGCGTTGAACTATTTCCTGCTCTGAGAAGTCCATTTTCCTTGACTACGTAATAACTAATTTGCATGACTGAAGAAATCATGACTTATTACGTTATTACGCTTTTCACAGTCCACTTTATATCAATGAAGATAAAGAAAAATGAATATTAGCTATGATTGGCTAGCTGTTAGTTATTAGAATTAATATATTCATATCGCATTAAGCGCTATTGTTGATATTGTATTTGTTTGCGACACAAGTTTAATGGTGCTATAAAATACATTCTGAATTAGTTGGAGGGTTAAAAATAAAGCCTATACAACTAGACTATACATGCTATTGGGCATAATAATATGATGTAGACACTGGCTCCATCTGATATTTCATCTCATATCATTCTACTGTACGGTACAGAACAACATTTTAATTGAGAAAATAACCCCAAGATATTGACGTGAACAAATTGACTCTTCAATTAAATTAGAATAAATTGTTAAATCGCATTTTTCTAGCCAGGATTAAGAAAATACAAATCTACCAGCTGTTGTTGTTTTGGATATGTACTAATTTTCCTGCAAAGAAAATCATTTTTATCGGAGCAAGTTTTTGATTGCCGATGATTTCATCACCAAGTGCTGTATCAGGCCCGTTCTATGTGTTAATAGTGATCTCATAGGGAGGTAATCTGAATTAGCTTTTGGAAGGCATAAAGTGAACCCTACGGTAAGTCTTTTAATTTAATAAACGATTCCATCATTGCAAGCAATTTTTAGATATAGAAAAGGATACTAAATGCTATCGTACTTTCCACCATTGCAATCGACAAGCGATATGTACATTGCAGTAAATAGAAACTTCTCTGAAAGTACTAATAAAAGTACTAATAAGTAATACCTAGAGCGTGCTTCCGTAACCAATAAACCAACCACACTTTTTTTGTTTGACGTATTTTAATTTGTAATTTAGTGCTTGACAAGTATATAATTCGATTGAAATCTAGCGCTAAAAATTCATTAAAACACCACTAAAATAAAACTATGAATAAAATCAATGCCTGCTAGATAGTATTATCTACTATTAATCCTTTTATATCGTCTTCCAAAATTGTACCGTAACTATATTGAAATAATAAATAAAATGGCTATTCTATATCATCTTTTTTAACGTAATCAATTACGTAGTTTATAGCTAAAAATGAGAATTGACTACTTTGACTTAACAGGTGAAGATTTGCCGTGATAAATCAGTCTGTCTTACTGTATGCTTGTACATCCCAAATAGTTATTTTTAAAAAGTACAGATTCAGTTTGTAAGTAAACGATCGTGACAATTAACCAAAGTCATCGCTGTATTAAGCCAGTTCATGAATTATATATCTTCGTGACTTACAATTGACTCTAGTAGTTACACCGCGTAAACATTAGTTTCCGTATTGTGATACGGTCCTGACTACTATCCCTGGAATTACGCATGATAAAAAAAAAAACACTGCAATGGGCTTTATTAGCAAATCGAGATTTATCGTATTTTGATTACAATAAGAGTTTTATAATTGCTCATAAAATCATGTAGAAGTAATTTTAAAGGTTTAATTACCGTTGCACAGTAGATAGAACGATGTATTACAAAGATAGAATAACTTTTTCAACTTGACTTGGTGACATACTACATTGACTATAAATTTCAACAACCGATTAATAACTTGTCTTGAGTTACAACGTTGTACTGAAAACAGTGAGTTTTTACTGAGCTGAATTCGATGCTAAAGGGGCCAAAAAAATTTTACTAATATATATATACTCCTACCGATAAACTTCGTATAGAATTAAAGAAACCTAGTTTGCCTTGTATAGAAAACAAATAAAAAAACTTGCACTATAGTTAAGATCGTGTATTCGTTGGTAAATTTCCCTCCCTGACAATATCTGCGCTCCTTGAACTAATAATTCGCCCCTAATCTTTTCTACCTTATAATGATTTTTAAAAGAGTCGTATAAGGTTTACGAGTATGTTGACGGTCCCTTAATAAACGTAAAGTTATGGCTACCTTATATTTCTGTTTCCTAAAAGCTATATTTTTTGTCCTGTTTTGATATAGATGGCTGCTACCTAATGGTATTACTGACAATGGTGTTATTTCGTTAATTACGTCAAGAATTTAGCGTTGCACATTCCCGATTATTTTAACTTAATTACACAACAAATTCTTTTCTCCTTAAATTTTCGTCGAACTCAAGTCTAATTGCAAGTGTTAACGATATTAAACGGCACAGGTGTTGGAGTTTAATTTTATTTTAAGGCGAAAAAATTCCGTTACCGCTTGATCTAAACTAGAACGATATCTGTTCTACACCAGTCGTTAGCATATCGACAACGGTGAAATCGTACTGTATCTTTTCAATTCGATATAATATATAATTTGTGAACAAATTACAAAATATGTCCCTTGAAGCAAACACCAATAGATTAAATTATAGAAGGAAAAGCATTGAAGTATTAGGTTTAGGAGATAACATAACGCCGCGCACTCCAAATTCAGCAGGAGAAGGAACAAAAAGTAAATTTAATTTTAAAATTAAGCCGTCATGGAGAAGTGGATCCAAGTCACGCAAGGGTCCCGAAGATCCAGAAGAGAAGATAGCTCAAGTTAGCCGTGATCTAGAACGCGGTGTTGCAATTTTACACTATGTCTGTGCTTTCATCGGCGACACCAACTACGAGTATAATGGATATTACGGATACTTTGGTTTAGCCGTGTGGTGTCTTTCGTTGACGCTGCATTTTTCCTTCGATTTTTACGACGCTTTTGCAGTTTATCAATCAGCCTGGGGTCCAGCATTAGGTGTATTTTTTGTAGCTTTTTGCACTCTTTCATATTGGACAGTAACGAGAACTGTACCTTGGGTTGCCGTGGCATTAAGAACTTTACGTGATGATTCGATAGGAGGCTATACGTATTTCAAAACTATTGAAATTACATCGTTTGTGTGCAAGGTTTGTTTCAAAATGTATATATATATATATTAAAAGGGTTTATTCATAGTAGTCCGCGTCTTAATGATACTTTAAGAAGGCAGAAAAAAATTAGTGCTATATATTATGTCTTAAGTTTGAATTATTTTTTCTTTTATAGTTACGTACAAAAAAAATTATAAGTACGGTATATTTTCTTAATAAGTTAATTAATAATTCTTATAATAAACCACGATAACAACAAATCAAAGGTGATTACAACTATAGAAATATATTATCCTCGTTAGTATTTATTTTAAAAAAATATACTGCTGAGTTTAATTCTTTGTCTCATAAAGATAGTAGTAAAAATTTGCTTTAATGACATTTAATCGCACTATGCAGCGAAAATAATAATCTATATTATCTTATAATTTTAACACATCATAATTTCGCTTAGTCCTTCTGTTTTTATCCTTTATATAATTATAAATCGGATATGCTAAGTACTGTACAAATTTATTTATCATTTAGGCGCTTCCTATTATTATTCCATTTGTTGGACTTTTCAGTACTGGAGGACAATACCTATGCTATGCTATCGATAATGCTTTAACCGTTAATATTTCATCAATTCCAGCCTTATCTTCAGTTAATATGACTGGTTTAAATTGGGTATCCGATACGTTAAGTGCAGTGCGCTTTTTTTCACTCTTACATGTCTTATCTGGCTATTGGGTATTTAATTTATGTCAGCTTGTTTTACTATTTCTTGTTGGAATGTCTATGATTGAATTTCAAGGTATAATAGCATTATATACTTATCTCATTTTGATATGACTAAATATACTTTTTTTGTTGGTGATATACAGGTAGATAATTAGTCCATTTTTATTGTATTGCGTTCTATATTAGTACTTAATGTTGTATTGTATCCTACTGTTCAAAAATCGAATGATATAGTAATATTATACCGCCTTATTGACAACCCCAAACTAATTATAATTATTATTGCTATTAGAACAAGTCAAGCCAAAGTTGAAATCACATACCGGCAGTTATACTTTTCAGCAAGCGGTTGCTGATATATCTAACAGAGCAAGATTTATAAGGGATGCCTCTAAAAGTGGAACTGTAAGTGCTATTAGTGATTTAAACTCCTGTTTGATTTGCATATAAAGTTAAAATGGAGAAAAGCACATGTGATTTAATAATATAATGAAATGTTAATGTCATTTATGTGGAGATTGATAAATTCGAATTGTTGTTCCTTGAGAATCCCCATACTTTAATATTCAATACTGCAAAATAATAATTCTGTACTGGGATAGAACTTTTATTGACAGTGGAAATATTATGATAAACATTAAAAAATTTAGATTCAATTTAAACAATAATCTTATATTATGTTACTTCGAGATAGAATCCATAAATTGATTTTATTTTATAAAAATAATACTACAGTGTCTGTGCAGTATTCAGATTTATTAATAAAAATTTATTTCCTTGAAGTAAGCTATAGACTACTAAAATGCATGGGATAGTGTATCTAGTAATCCATAAAAAATCGCAAAACAAATAATAATAGCAACAACGAAGCGATTGATTAAGCAATAGCTAAAAACAATACAGTTCTGTGTTTTTACAAAGTATTCAGAGTTCTAGTAGTAGTACTATGTGATTTAATTATTAGAAAAATATTTATATGAATTTGAAATTTCATTATATTTGACTTAAAATACAAGATAGCTTGAAAGTAGAGAGCATTCCCTTAAGAATATTTAAGCATACAAGTATTGTTGTATCAAATAATGCTTTCAATGGTCTATAATCATATTTACCTCCATCGAAACTGTTTTGTTACATGACCATGTAATGGAGAATATGTTTTATATTGATATTAATGTGTTTTTATCGAATTTATTGATTAATATTCTACGTATTTTATAAAATTCCGTATACCGTATAAATTCTAAGTACTAACGCATGATATACTTTCATCTTTTGTAATATTATAGCACGTTATGACAATGCTCATGGTCAGCAGCAGCGTATCATTTGTACTCAATATGTATAGCTTTTTCTACATGAAAGTATTCGCCATTTATATGTGGTTTGCTGTCGTTCCTGGTACAATATCCTTGTCAATGTTATTACTGTCGGCATGGGTTACAAGCGTTTATCGGAATTATCGCGTTACTGTTGTTAAAGCTTGGGTGGAAAGGAAGGAGGATAGCGAAGAAGAATCAGAAGACGATGAATCGGATGGCAAATCATATTTCACTGCTATGAGAGAGCGAATTAATAGTGTTTTCAAGCGCAAAAAATTAAAAACTAAAAAAGAAAGAGATTTCTTAGTTTTGGATAAGAGATTTATTATGCCCCCACATTTTCCAATTGTCACCATGCCCGAGATTGCCAGTAGTGAAATCTATCCGAAAGAAGAGATCACGTATTTAAAAAAGATGGAAGAAGAAGAAACAGACGATGAAAGATCTACGAAGAGTAGATTTTCATTTGTTCGCCGCAGAAAAGGTAAATTGTCACTTAAAAATCGTAACGAAAAATCGAATTCTTCCGCTCCAAAAGCAGCTTTCAGAAAGCTTCCTTCAACAATTGTTATTGAGCCGCCATCAAGCTATGTAGACCCGGACATACTAGATAAATCTGATAATGAAGAAGAGCACCCCAAAGATAATGAGGTAGGCAAGGGCATCCTTCAAGTTAGCAGTGTCGAATCTGATCATTCAGAAGACCAGGAAGCACCTCAGGAATATTCGGTTGAAAATGAATTTAATTTATCAAACGAGAAATTTTTGCATCCTGCTCCTGCCACGAAAGGTGATGCATTGAATACTTTACTACCGCCTATTGATAGCCCTATTAAACTATCAGCGCCACTGAGAACCAGCCGACGCCATTCCAGCTCTGGAAGAGTAGAATCTGTTCCGCTTGGTGAATCACCTTCACTAGGAGGCCAAAGTAATTCCAGAGGTTCATTGACTGGATCACACGGTATCCCTTCTACTCTTCCAAATGAATTGCCAAAAGTCGATGAAGTTGATTCTACGACCGATGCTATTAGCAAGATTAAAGAACAATTTGCTCATGGTTTGCCCAAAGATGCTGATTTTTTAAGAGAAAAATTGTTACAATCATCGTTTAATGGAAATATAAAGACTAATAAAGTATCTAAGGAATTGGTACGATCACAATCTTTTAATTCGCTACCAACGGCTGGCATCTTCTCTGACGATAAAGAACCAGTAGACGTAATGACTCGCTTTATTGATCAACGCCCGCATAGCAGACCTCCAAGTCTTGAATCCCTAAACGATACTAATGATATATCTCGCCCATCATCGTCGAATAAGAAAGGATCGAAGAAAGTTTCAATCAAATCCTTAATTTCAATTAAATCCGATCCTGACGAATACAGTAGCAACATTACCACGGCACAAGTTAGGATAAGCAATGATCAATTTACTAATGAAACTTCCAACAAGAGCAAAACAAATCCTGAAGCTGGTAATCCAAAATCGACTGCACCTGTCCTACGATCGTCTAGTGAAGAAGGAACATCGTCAACTTTATCGGTTTCGAAAACTAATGTATGGAAAAAGCTCAGTCTGAAGAGAAATCGTGACGAAATTAGTGAAAAAAGCGAAAATGAAGATACAGAACCAGAGCCATCAACAGAGACTCAGCCAAGGACCAAATATACGACGGCAAAATTGCTTACAACAATGCGTGGCATATCAAAGGCGTTTGGCAAAGTACAACATAAACGAAAAATGCAACATTTTAATTTCAGAAAATACATTGTATATTTAGATAACTTCCTTCCCACGGTGGGTTATCAGATTGGTGGTAAAGTTATTCAACGCGATACCATAGTCTTATATTTGGTCTTTATGCTATCATTTCTGGCATTATTTGCACAAGAAAAGCTATTTGGCCAGACAGCACAACTAGGAACATAGTCGTTGTGTGCTTTTTTTTCATTTTAAAGTAATTATTACATAATTGAAATTAAAATGAATTTAAGTTATACTGATGTCACATTTATTAGCATCTTAAAATGTCTTTCAAAAAAGATACTTAATCAAGATCGTACAGTAAACTGTGCATTGTTATGTGCAGTTATCCGATACTAATATCATTAGTCGGTACTCTTGTTATATAGTGCATCGGAGGAAATTCTAAGTTCAACTATGGGTCTTGTAGAATTGATATCATAGTTTAGCTAGAATTCCACCCAGTTATTATTTTTGATTATCCTTTCCATCTTCATGGTTAAGGTATTATTATTGGTATTGCAGGTATTATACCATAAGTTCTAGACATTAAATTGCAATTGAATGTAGTTTAAGTCTTATATTATCCTGTTGGTACTTAAGGTACTATATATATATTTCTATTTCTATATAAATTATAAATTTTACGGATAGAAGTAGGTACTTTCCTATACAGAAGGTGCTTCTGTTAATATTGTTATTTTATACATCTTCAAATATTGTATATTATCTTTTTCATACCATTTCATAATGTTTAACGCGATAATTGAAAGAAAATTTAAATCTCCTATAATTTTGATTAACAGTAATCATATCTGGATACTTATCGTTACTTCAATATAAGAAAGATTCTGAGGTATACTAATAGTACGTTGAATTGATTTCAACTGCAAATTGTATATCGAACAGTGTAAAATATTGCCAAATTAGATTGCTTTTCCGCTTTCATACTATATTCATTTACTAAGATCACATTGTACAGTATGATATTCATCTGTATCTGTTATTCCTATTGCTATTGTTACATTTCTTACGTATTTGGTTAGGCGATTACCATTAATTATCTTTTTAAATCTTTTGGTAATGCAATGTTCGAAATAATTTTCTTTGAACTACTGTATACATTATTTTATACATGTCTAATGATTTAAGATATTATAATCAATTGAATATTGTTATTTATAAGGATACAATTTGACAATATTAAAGTTGTCGTTTGAAGTAATTATCTATAACGTGAGGGCATATTATCATACCCATGGTATTGGAAAGCCGGCTAAATTGTATGCTTGTGACATAGTTGCTAAGGGGCTAAATATAAAATCCAAGTTAATAATCAATCAGAATGAATTTCGATATTGTACGAAGTGCAAAAGAGGAAAATGATTTGAATGCAAATTTATTTAAAAGATGTAGAATAGTATCCCATTCATCTCTGCCATGTCCATTTTTATATAAATCTTGTTCGCGATGAACCTTATCCTCTTGATCCATTTTTCCGGCCCATTCCTCGACTGTCCGAGGGACAAAAAAAGACAATTCGACTAGTATGATCCCTTGCCATTCCACTCTTGTATACAACATGTTTGCACGTTTATTACTATTAATGTTATGAAATTGTTGGCTCAGTAAACTTGACATTAATATCCGATATTGTACAAAATAATTTATCTACAGAAGAAGAATCGGATCGATTGAGGCCGGGTGGGTTAGGGTTGGATCGTGTTTCAAGCAAATGTTGCCTCTTCGGTTCGAGCTGAGTCAAGCTGTTAATCTTATCGTTTTGCAGCTTTCCGCTACCTATGTTATTTATTGCCCTTCAGTTTAGTAAAATCTGGTGTTTTACAAAATGTTATCCTTGCTGGAAGACCAATATTGAAAGGTCAATACTGTACCAGGGCTGTAGTACAACTTAGCTCGGATTTGGATGGAATGAGTTATTTTGAATTTCTTATTTCAATTGAGTCTATACCTACAGTTTATTCTGTTACTACTGTACTTCAGAGGGTTCTTTCTTTCTTAAAAAAATGGACATTTCACAAAATAATTTTATTATTCTAGATGTAAATTTAATAATTACAATGTTGCAAGGCTTTTGTGAGGCTTAATTCAGGGCATTAGCAGTCATTCGGATAGAATCGCTTACTTTGCAGACCAGAATATTTTCATTCATTTAACTAGGGATTTGTGTGTATGGACCAGAATCTGGCGATAATCTCAAGATAGTAAAATTAAGAGAAAATATCCTCAAAACCTTCATATATGTACTTAATTATAGCAGGGATGCCTAATGCAAGGACTTCTAAGAAGAAATTGTGAGAAGCATCTACCTGCATTTTATGACATTTGCAGTCCCGACACTAACTTGTACCTGCTACGCGTTACATGCGTACCATGACAGTAATCTATTGCAAAGGTCCAGGATAGCACATTAGTCCATTTACAGTATAATACTAATATTACGGTAACATACTATGTACCGTCTAGTGAGGACGGAGTTGTGGCTACACTAGTGAACCAAATGTAGAGGAGCAGTGGCCCCACCGACGCGGATTGAAGACCCATTAATTCTACTAGTTCTACGAGCATATCAAGAAATTAAAGGATTATATAGCATATATTATTTCATCAGAATTTAGCCTTCATGAGATAAAATAGCTTACCAGAGAATGAATCTTGGCATGGAATGTATTGGATGATCTACACATATAGCACTCATTCTATTCGTTATGATGCACGATAACAATTTTATGCAACGTCTAGCAGCTCAACTTTCCAGCCGCATTTTATCATCATTTAAGTCGGTCTATTACAATCAATCGTCTCTAGAATTAGAGAAGAAACTTAAGGATGATGAAATATCAGATATTGCAGCAACTATCGCAAATGACATTAATTCTATTGTAGATGTTGTCTGGAAACAGGAGAAATTTATTGAAAAGCATTGTCTGGAAAGATTAGTCCATGCTTGGATCTGCCAAGAGTTATTTACAAATCAATTTCCTTGCAATCATGCCGTCACAGTCGGACAGGCCAATTTTAGAGTAAAATTTCCAATGTTGCCAAAATTGGATCTAAATTTATATATTGCAATCGTTAAAAACCGAAGGTGGGAGCTATTCCTATGCGAAGTAAGTATCTTGCCGTAAAATAATTTCATTTTTGTGTAAACCCTCGCCGAAGCTTTTGCAATCTTCCTCGATGCATAGGCTCGCGAGATAACGTAGTGCACTCAACAAGGATACTTCAGTTCTCATGCGTTAATTACAAAAAATGCTTTAATTAAATAATGAATGAAAAACGATACGATGGATAGAATAGAAATGTATGACGACTTTTATTTCACAACAGTATATTCAGTAGCACAAGCCCTGCAATGTTTACTATAGCACACACTGATGTTAGATAGTTGTGTCGCAGTAATGTCTAAAGCTTACACTGAGTATTTATTTTTTATTATTATTCTTTGATAACCAGTCTGTCAACGTCGTCGATGAATCCTTTGCAAAGAAATTTTTACAAGCTGTGATAACAACATTTGATAAGAGGGATCTCATCAACGCTAATCACTTTATTTATAAGCTATTTCTATTATCTTTGCAAGAATGGAAAGAAATCACCTCAAAGCAAAATAGGTTATTGATACTGAGCAAATTTCCCATGTGGATCCAACTCGTTTCCTCGTTAGGAAACGACTATTTATTCAATAGTAATATTGGACACGAAGTCGTAGAGTTAATAATGGATTACTGTATAGCTCTAATAAACCTATGGATACAACAAGATGCAAAGCAACAATCTATCAATTCCATACCTATTGAAGAAAGGTATGTTGCTAAAGATATTCTAACAGGTTTGATGCTGAGCTCGCCTGCTGCCAAAGATAGTGAATTGAAAAGTAAGGGCCTAAAGGTTGAAGACCTTAAAAACATTAGTGAACTTTGCAGGCAACGGCAATCTACATCCTACATTTTACATCATGATCGGGACGTCGTTTTACAAAACTTGAAATCAAATATATGTTATGATAGCCCCAATGGTAAATATATATACGATGTTAGACCTGATAGGGTAGCAATTTTTCAGCAAATTAAGATTGCCTTAACATTCGTACTCTCAACGTATGAGAAGATATTACACTATCTGAGTTCTTGGACAACGGAAGATCATTTTAGCTCGATAAAAGATAAATTATTATGTGTATTATTATTTAACAAATGGTTATTCCATAACTCTACACTTTCATTAGATCCTAAAACGGAAGAAATTGTAAGTTTCTTCATGGAAATTAGAAACGAGTGTAAAGTTTTCTCCAATTTCAGTGTTAATTTTTGTCAATTTTGACCAATATCTCTTAATTTGTATTGCCTATAATAGATTAATAACAAATTAGATGGTATGCCAGAGAAACCGCTGTCTGAAACAGAAGTGGTTGCTTTCATCAAGGATCAAAACTTTATAAATCACAGTCCCAGCAAGGAAAAAATAGAAATAACAGTCATGAATGAAGCATCATTGCAATCTTCTTTAAATGAAATTGAGGGGACTTCGTTACCTTCTACAGGTATAAAATAATTGAAGAACTTGTTTACTGCTACTTGATGATGCAATATATTTAATCTGACGAATCTTTTAGATTCAATAATATGGCTGCTAAACAATTCCTCTGAATGGATAAACGTTGAAAGCTCTAAGATAAGGTTTTTTATACCAGCTAATTGCAGGCAACCTAAAAATTTTACTTCATACTTTATGATTTTATCTTCATTTTTCATTCGCAGAGTTTTGAAATGCTTTCTTCAACATGGAACTCTCCTTGCGTCTGCTAGGTAGATGCGTATCTTCGCTTGTAGATTATAATTATCCACAGCAGTCATGATGGTCCTGATTATACCATGTCTTAGTTTTATTTTGATGATAGATTTAGCTCATTGGATCTTACATCTTTTTAATTAATATGGTTGATTATAGCAACTTCATACAACTGTTTGATATTGCTGTGAAATCTAACGCACTAAATGACTACCGCAATATCGACGCTAGAACAAATTTTGAATCTGGCAATCAATATTTTAAGGAGGTATATCTCTGGATATTCATGGATTCTTCTAATGTACAGTATGTTGCTGTTGATGTTATTTTTGATAATACAATTTTCATTACGATAAAGATATTGCTTCAGTCTTATCAGCAACTATCGCTTTTTGAGCAAACCGAAGTACAAGTTAATGCCTTGAAAACAATGGAAACCAATCGTAGCGGTTAGTTCAAATTTTAATACGTGATGTATGAAATCTAATATTATAAAGCCTACTAATCGTGTATTTTATGATTAAACCAATTGATGATGTGGAATAGCATTTATAAACAATGGTGATTGGTTGGAAGCCGAGCTAATAAACCTTCTAAATCGTATTGTCGTATCCGATACATCAAATGAGGATGCCAATAGAACTATTTTTAGCACAATGTCTTTTTTAGCTCTTACTTCTCCGTACATTGTAATTTATCAAGTTTTACTAGCAGCAGTTCAGCAAGTAAATAAAAGCGATCCCCTAATAGAGGTATACTGGCAACTTTTAATAAATATTGAATTAAAAGTTAATAGTTCAATTAATACTATTTTTATCTTAAGTTTTTATTTAGCGTTTCGACAATATGCCGCTTCCGTTCTGCCTGTCAGCGTCTAACAACAATTTGTAATGCAGTGCATGAATGTGCACATCAAGTGAAAAGTGACATGCAAATTAAGTGTTTTCTTCATCTTATTTCGGTGATACTCAATGTGAGTTATTTAATTTTAAACGAAGAGAAGTGATTAAATACAGTAATTTCATTGATTTATCTAGAAGTTAGAAGCTATAGCTGATTGAAGCATATTAAATCAAGGTTCATCTTATATATTATATGAAAGGATAAATCATGGAACATTTCAATCCTGGATGAGTCTATTCCAGTCACTGTAAAGAGCTTAATCCATGTAGATAAGCTGTTACAAGTTGTTGTCTTGCCGTATTTGAATCTCCATGAACATGGAGGTGTCGGAGTTATAACAACTTTAAAGTTGTTGAATATAGCGATTAATTTTTTAGGTAAGTTTACGGTAACTATGATGGCGTTATGAATGTATCTCTAAAGGAATGTGGCTTTATTAATACAAGGAATTCTTTTTCTTGAATAGATTGTAACGACGATATCACATGGACATCGCCAATATTACCTATATTGAGGCGTCTTTGTGAGTTACTTGACAATGTAAGACTAATCAAGGATCCAAATTCTGCAGAAATTTGTACATTAACCGCTAATGCAATGGGTAGGCTTACACAGATATTGAAAATGGCAATGAGAAATGGTTAGTTTATCATTTAATAGCTATGAGTTGCACATAAGTTATATTTTAAAACGGTTGACGAAAGGTTTTGACAAGCTATGCATTCTTTACACTTAGAAACTGAAATACTGAAGAATGCTGTCACATGGTTATTCAGAAGTATAAAACATTTAGGTTTGCATTTAAATACTAAAATATAGTGGGTGCAAGACTGATATCTATAATACTCTGAAAATATAGTTTTAAATCTTATGCTTAAAGTAATATTTTCTATAATATAAGATTGGCAGGTTGGACTTTACATGGAAGCACTGTATGAATTTACTGAATACCATCAAGAGGTCTTCTTAGGATTAATTTAGCAGTTCGGGCTACTATTTACATTAGCATTAAAGCGAAGCAGATTCAAACGATTATAATTATTCAATGTTTATATCAGATCCCCGCCTCTATCTTTAAGATTTGCGCAATATCAAATCATTATTTCGGAACATTTCGTTCACTTCCTTACGGTAAATTTAATGATATAAGCTATCAATTTATGCTACTTTGTGTCAAGTCATAGAAATATTTTATTTTTATAATTATAGTGATGATGTAATCACGTATAACATAACTTTTATTACAGACGAAGAACCTTTTGTTGGCTTTTTTCAATGTTGCATGGCATCTAATTCCTTAAAGGATTTCTTTACTGAGGTGAGCTTTGTTTGTTATGGACGATTAATATAATCTATATTTTTAAGAAAATTCTTTGGATGTTTCTATTCTGTGCATGTTAATCAGGCGGCAAGCTATGATGTATCTTTATCAGTTCAGAATAGGGAAAAGAAAGTTATTCATGCGTTAGGATTGGTAATATACGTAGTGCATGGAGTCCAATCTATTCAAAATATTGTCATAAAAAATCTCAAACATATGTGAAAAATGATATCCTATGCTCGATTTTTTATTTACATTAGTTATTGCCAATTTGTAATGGAGATGAGTTTGGAAGAATTATTTCAACTTTGATGATTTTACTTGAAAAACGCATTGTCGTAGTCTCGAGTGAAATAATGGAAAATGTCACAAACGCGAAAATTAAACAACGCTTAACATTATCGACTATCGTACGTCGTGTTTTTGATAAAGTCTTGCAGTTTTACCGTGAGGAATTTGTCAGTAATTATTGCTTGGGTTATATTATAAAACTCTACGTGCAGTGGATGAAGGTTAGTACAGAGTACTTCATTTGTTTCGTGATGCAATATGCTCGGCGCAATGACATCCTTTTTGCGTGGATATTGCATATGAATATAGTGTGATGATGAATATTTTTTTATTGTGTCTGTTGTGTGCATGCCTATGAGACCATTTATGTGTCTTACGATGCTTTTACTACAATATTTTTATCAGAACCTTTGTGATGTACATTTGGACGAGTGCAACAGAGAAACTGATCAGGTTTGATTTATTATATTGTGGTTTAATTTGGTCTTGTACGTCAGATGTAGTTTATTGTCTTGATATTATATGCAGTCATTGTGATTTGTGAAATAAATCATAATTTAATAGGTAGATCAAGTGAATATCATGCTTCAGTACCTATTTGACGACGTCGCGTCTATAACGATCTTACTTCCAGAGTGCTATCAAGAGCTAAGTTTATCGTTGCTTCTCGAAATTATTGCAGTGACTGAATTGCATTCAACTAAATTAGAAAACGGTAATTCCTTAGAATTTATTTACAGCGTTGTTAAGAAGATGCGTTTACATAGTGATCACGACAGCAACGTTATCAAACAAAGAGTCGTTTCTGCATTGGACAATATAAATTCTTGAAGAAAAAATCCTACGGAGTAACTCCTGCTTTTACTGGATTGGATAAAAAATTATAGATTTATATTGAGATGAGAGTATAATTATATCATTTTTATTTCTAAAATTGAATACTTTGCCTGGAGTCATTTTGTGAGTTATGTGGAGAATTAGGTGATTGACTGAGAGTTTACTGCGAAGGAACAAATGAGATGGTTATAACTATGCAATACAGTAATTCGTATCAAAGGATAGAGAAAGCCGATCTCATGAGTGTTGTACAAGGAATTCTTTGGAATCTTACTAACCTTTATTAAAGAGTATCACGCGTTGTAGACTGCAACGATTCACGTGGACTACTCTGGGCGCTGTTTGTTTTGTAGGATGTACTCACGTGCGAGTACAAATAATTATTTCCATCTATAGTTGTAGCGCTTTCAAATAAGGTTTGACAATTTTACCTTCAGCTTAACGATTCGATTAATTCATGGTTCAGTAATATTATTGGCTTCTATGGGCTACGACTTCGTAATCGTTATGTCCGATTTTAATGATGTAAGAACTAAATGAAATATCATGAACGTCAAGTTGACAGTAATAATTTTATTAAACAAAGTCTACTTTAAATCAACAACCTTCAAACTTTAAATCAATGACATTATGAACGGTGTTGCATTGTAATATGTACATGTATACCCAATATGTTTAGAGTGTAACGCTATGTTAAACCTGTTCTTATTTTCTGTATTGCTATCCTTTTACTATAAAACAAGCAAAAAGTAATATTTGATGGTGCGTAGTTTTCTAAATCAACTTTGACATACTGCTGATCTCGATATCGCCCACGCAAATCCAGATTTAAAAAATAAGTTTTTACACTTCTAATTGTTTACATCGAAGAGTTACAAAAAGTTTGTTTTCATCACAAATCGATATTGGCATATTGATTGAAGTAGCGTAAACCTTCTTCATATTCAGCTACTTTAGTAATGGTTTGTAAATCAATTTTATAATACAGGCAATGTCATCACTTTGTGAGAAGTGTAGTAAGTCTTTTTAATCGCTAGATAGCATGCGAATTGTCAATCTCTTGTTATAGCTATGATCAAAATAGGATTGTTACCATACTATAGTCTATGTTGGTCAATCGTTATTCCTGAGAACTTTTATAGTGAGACATTTGTCGATAGCTCAAGGATTCGAATGTGGAGCTATAGAAAATACTATGGAATACCACAAATTAACATCAGTACTACTGTATGATTATGATGCATTAATATTAGAATGATACAATTTAATATGAATAGAGTGACTTTTAATTTTTCACGATGCGGGTAATGTACTGTAGATCTGCGTGAATGGAAAGGAGTAGAACGTATGTATCTATTTGTATACGTATGGTTTAGAGAGTGATGTTGTTGCAGCTTTTCTATCACGCCCTTAATAAAAGGCGTAAAATCGGAAGATAAACACCTTGCTTAAAATCAAATTATTATCCACCTAATAGTTCTATTTAACGATACTGTACTGTAGGTGAAATTTCAGTCTTGAATGCATGCATTGATAGTACTTGATACTTTGGATTAGGAGAAGTATAAGAAGTCTTGTATGGTACTGCATGCTACTCGCGTACTTTCGTCAAGTTATCGCTCAACTGTGGTCGGCCTTTGCTGTATCGAGCTGAATGCATTCCGATATTGTATATCATTATGCTAGTATATACCTCTGCATCCCTCAATTATTCTGTTTTATTATTAATGGCGTTGATAGCAGGTTAACTGGAAGCTATTGCAGAGTGAGAGTGATAGCAAAGGAAATGCGATACCCATGGACTACAGATGACCCTGCTACTGTACTCTCGCTCTTTAGTGCCTACGTTGCTTATACCATGGATTCCCAAGATCTAGTGATTGTATCTGTTGGAAATTTACACATAGCTACTAGTAAGATTACTGTATACTATCAATGCAAGTCGTCCATGGCGTTTTTGATCATTCTTGGTGCAGCACTGCAGATCGCTGATTGATTCAAAGCTACTGTGCTGTGCACGACAGTATCTCGAGGCAGAGAAATGGAAAGCCGATACCAAAAGACTACAGACGACTATCATAGCGTACTTTGAATGCAGGTAAATTCATCACCAATGGATTGAAAATGATATACTGTACGCTGTTATTCGTAGCATAAAATAGGGCATTTTATTACTATTCGTGTGCACCATAAGCAAGAGAAGGCACGGAGAAATGGAAGCTCCATGCCATCATGATCAGGCGCAAGCCATGATTAGATACGATCCAATGGAGTCGGAATGCGGAAGGAAGGACGATTGGCTGACGGCTGACCACAAAATTGGCACGGTTGGATACGACGAGTGTAGTGTAGGAGTGCTGTCATGGAGTGGATATACGCACGCGCAAATGCATTGTTTACTGTGAAGTGCTACAGGGCTTTTGACACCCTACTCACTCCTACTGGAAGCCTACAGTCTACAGTATGTTTTGGGCTAGAATCCTTTCTAAGAGTACTGTAGTAGGGTTAATACGCAAACAATCGATTGTGTATTAGGGATGTGTATCATACACCCATGATCCATAAGAGTATTGTATGACGCAACGCTTGAAATGCCCAACATGCGTCAAGCGTTGAACGCGTCAATTGCCACAGACAATTCACTCACTCGACTGACCCTATTGTGATTGACTGGTGTCACTGTCGCTCAGATGCCTTCTACCTAATCCACCGCAATCATGGCCGATCAAAGAGCCTTAAAATTAGCCAATGCAAAACGCAAAGTAAGTTATACAATTTCAATTTATTATGATATTATACAATCTCCTTGATGACTAGAGTAGAGTATCCTATATTATGGAATAAGTTGTTGCTGTACATGGATAGACCATCAATTATGACCGTCCCAATGATCCTAATGGTCATGAGTGGGATAGTGACAGTGTGGTGCACGCCATGACAACATGGAGAGCAACGAACTGCACAAGTGCATAGACTATTCCACTGTATCCAATGGATAGTTTGTTTGACATACAGAATAAATTAACAGCGAGACAGTGAAGAAAGTAGCATGGACTCTTTTCCATTGGTCCATGTCGAAATCAATAGTACTGTGGTAGTGGAAGAAGTCCCCCACTGTTTGTATCCAACGAGTACATAAGTCTTTCTTCATCAGGGACGCAATGACAGAATACGTCGATGATAAGCCGTAGGCTAGGTGGAACAATTCCATTCTCTTACGTTGTAGATATTCATATCCAGCTCATCGTATTACATATAGGCTACGTTATTCATAGGATAGTTTAGGTTGTCATCATAATCGGTCATGGTAAGCAATACACGATGATAGATGGATGTTGATGCTAATACACTCTTTACATCACCCATTATAGTAACTACTCATCATACTGTGATAGCAAAGGCACCAAAATCAACTGTTTACTGCCATCTAGTACAGTATAGGTAGATTTATATTTCAATTCTTCATCTCTTATGACTAGAATAGGATTAAAATTACACATTACTGGTAAAATGAATACATGACTTCTTGTATTCTGTGCCTTCTAGTCAATGTTATCGATAGATGAATCTACTGCAATTCCCACAAACTTAAAACTAAAAGACAACACTCCAATCATTTTGATAGTAATATGATAGTAATTATGAATTAATTTATTCTTACACTTATCCAGTGTATATATATATATATAGTAAATACAAGGAGGGAAAACACTGGGGTAAGAAATACTAGAGTCAACTTTCCTCTTCTCTCGTGTTTCTATTACAATCCCTTTTATATCATCTGCGTTGCGCTACTGTCGATTTTAAAGTTACAATATACTCGTATACTCGTGCCTTAATTCGAACGTATTCTGTACAAGGAGGGAAAGCACCGCGTTAAGAAATACGAGAGTCAACTTTCCTCTTCTCTCGTGTTTCTATTAGAATATCTTTCATATCATCTGCGTTATGCTGCTGTAGATTATAAAGTTTCAATATATGCTTGTACCCATACCTTAATGCTAACGTATTCTGCACACCACGTACATGGAACGTCCTATTTGGGATAGAACGGTACGTTAGATGCATAGTTTAGAAAAAAGTTGGTCATCAAATCGAGTACAGAAAATGCAGCAAGACAGAAGCCTGCTATAGGAACAGCAGGTTATTGTATGATCAGGAACAAATATCACGTTTATTGAAAAAGTCCAATGCTGAGTCTGTATATTGTATGCACATGCTGTCTACGAATACAATTGTACTTACAGATATATTGATCGAGAACTACCTACCATTCCTGAAGTAGACGGACCATTTTGTACAGTATTTCGAAATGAAGGTCCTATTTGTAATTTCTCTCCAGTAGAACTGTAGTGCTACTACTTAAAAAGATCACTTCTATTACACTAGACTTGATCGCTTGAATACAATGAAATAGTAGGCGCAAAAAGTGCAAGCTTAACTGACAATACCTTATACCTTTAAAGGATGTAACAGTATCCTGTGTGATTTTAGAATCCAAAAATCTACATAGTGTAACTCTACTAAAATATAGTATCTACTTCAATGTATATAGTAGTTAACAGATGGAGACATGTACTTATAGATAACTGAATTTTTTGGTTCTCGTCGGTATTCCAAGTGTGAATAAGAAATAAAAAGTGTATCGAAGTTCGCACAGCAAAATTGACGGTAGTCAGTGTTGAGTGGGTTTCTGTATCATAATGTAAGAAAAGCTGCATTGAAAAAGTATCAGGATGGATAGTACTTACTGTAACTTGTAAAAGTTAAGGCTCTTCATGGTGGAATGACTAAATCATAAAAAATTCTTCCTAGTTTAAACATTGCGTTTGTAATAATAACATAATCGTTTGAATGTCGTATAGATAGGTATAATTTATTGTTGCATTACATAGTAATATCGTGCACTATTGCTCTATTACTTTAAAATTGCAACATCTCTACTAAAGTTATGTTGCATAATGCACACCAACAGTGTAGAGAATCATCTGAATTGAAGTATTGTTAGCGGTTACTGAACAGTTATATCACCATCTAACTTTCTTCCTCTGTAAAGTATACCCTGCAGTTCTTTAATTATAGAAGGATCAAATATAATGTAATAGTTAATTATACTAGTGTTATAGCTATATATATATATCTTGCTGTTGGATGTACTACTTTAATTATGAAATTATAAAGTTCCTCAATCTTAATACAATTACTCGTCTATTATTTTATCTAGCTAAAAAAATTCCAGAAGCGGCAATTAGATGACAGTGGTACTATACCATCGACGGAAAGCAATGATAACAGTCTTAATCAACTCAACGTATCTTCTAACAATGAGACAAATGTGGTAAATTCAAAATAGCGTTGCTAACTGGATGCTGCAAAATCATGTCATAGATGCCATGTTATCTTAGCTACACTTTCATCTACGATTTGCCTTCTGGCATATTGGCATATTCATGCCAGTTATCTCTATCTCATAATACATATTGTATTCGAAAATACAATATCGGGTGTAGATCATTAACCTATTTTGAAATGATGTATTTTTGAATGATATTAAGGAAACTCCCACGGCTAAGAACACAGTGCAATCACCACTACAACGTATATCTAGGTATGCTTCCATAGATTATTCTCAATTTACGACATTGATTAGTATTCAGCTCCGATACGGGATAGTTAACTTCTTCAGTAGAATTTTACAAAGGAAAGTGCTTAATACCAACCTTGGTCGTATTCGAAATCTACATTCTCGAATAAAAAATAACCTTTGTCTACTTAATTTACCTTAGCCGCGGTCATAATTTGTCAAATAGCTTCAATTCCTCCGTGGTAAGATGATTGACTTGTAATTTTAACCTAACTATATCATAAATATTGATTACATTGGTTGCAATTTAATAATTCCTTTATTGGATGCAAGTTCTTAAAATTAATTGTGCTCCTATATCTATTTATTTAATGATATTATAATTTATCATTTTTATACGTTGGGATGGTTTAATAAAATTGTATTAATACCTGCAATTAATTTTTATTAATGACAGGATGGGAGCATAGTCATTAATGGGCAGGAAAATACTGCTTCTATGGACAACACGGTGAATAAGCTATAGATAGGTTTTAAAATTGTACAGTCATTATATCAGATTACCTCATGCATTTATTTGGCCTTTCAAAATTACTAGACTTCTAACTGAAGTTGGTTTCACATTTTATACGCTTACTGTACCAGTAGTGTTACTTTCTTGTAGTTATTAAAATAGCATTTATGCATTTATACAATTACTCTGTTTTTCGTGACCTTTTTTTCGAAACATTTTTTGTAGTCAAAGATAGAACGGTAAATCATGATCTGCTAATTATTTTACTCTAAGAAAACTTTATTA